CCCCTCGGGCCTGTGATAAGTTTTATTTTGAAGTGAAAACTAAGCACTCTAAATTCTCAAAATTCATCTAAGTCCATCTGAAATCCTTTGGCTTCTGAGGGGAGCGTTTGGGGCTTCATGCCTCGCCTTGGAAAGACACCTTTCATTTTTGGACCCCTCCTTGGGCATTTTCTAGATACGTCCCTGTATACGATTCTTAGTGGCAATCCATTGTCAAGTTCAAAATATCTACATACTCAAATATATCAACTAAGAGTCTTTAAACGAGATTTCTTTCTGCATAAATTAGCCCAACTATACACTAGACAAATCTGGATTTTAAAGCCATATTTCATGTTTTGCATTGAGTCGATCGGATTTTGTTTTAGCCAATTCATATTTCATTAGCCAAATCAGTTGGTTACTAAAACATCAGGGAATATAGGGTAGACAAAACTTGATTAAAATGCAAACTGGATGCGTCGTTGCATTTTTATCATTTGCTCAACTACTACAGGTTGAACTAAGTCCATGCTCTATTTAGGCTATTTAAATCAGATCGAACTAGATCCATGTACCTTATTTTAAACTTTATATACTTGTATGATCAAAAGGCAGCGTACTCTTAAGTTCTAAAGGTCTTTAATTAACATACTGACACACTGTAAAATTTACAGGCAAATTCTTATAATATTTATTCGTCGTATTTCATTCAAAAACTGATAATTGCATTTAAGATCTCGAATGAGATTTGGGGGCTGTTTTTAAAAAAGGTCTACAACTAAATCCAAAACATTGTAAGAGATAAAGCGTTTCTTTAATTTTCTAACCGACTTCGGTACAATGAGGAAGAAATTTAATTCAGATAAGCATGAGCTTTAAACGGTTTCGATTCAAACTTAAAGGCGCAATTAATGCCATTCCACGGTTGAAAGAACATATACAATTTTAATAATGACTATTGAAATGTCCTATCTGTAAGACATAGCCACAAATATATTCTGGAAACACATTAATGAATCAACAAATGTTTATGGACAAAATAAATGAAGATCACATAGTTTCGGTTGACTTGTTCATTCCCTTATCTCTCCTGATTTTCATTTCAACTGATTTTGATTTTTAATTATCAATAAGAAATGCCGTTTTAGTTTTGTTACTTGTTGATACAACACATGGTAGTACTAAATTAATCGTGATATACCTACCTGTCTAATAAAAGTCACTTCTGGTTTGTTATCCTACCACTATACTAGTAAATACTAACTTGGCCTTCAACCACTGTACCAAACGTTGCTTCACTGTAGTATAACGTTATCGGCTTAAAATTTCACAATAATAATCCGCGCACTAATATGACAATTATTACATACTAACTGTAGCCTAAACAGTGCAGAGGGTGAGTAGGTGTCCTTATTACAGCGAACCTTTAATAGACCCGGACCAGTTGTCAGCTATACACCATATTGTTAACAGTTAATATAGGCCTAGGTTACTTCTTACTGGAGTTAGTTCACGATCAATGACTGACTGACGTCACAAAATCTAACATCATTCAGCCAATCGGCCTTGAATAAAACACACATCAAGTATTTCTAGATAAAATGGTAATTATTTTTCACTGAATAGCGCTAGAATTTCCTCGATTACTTTGGTCCTATAATAGGCTAAGTCCAGCAAAAAATGTCGCTATATAAAACAGTCCTTATCTGGGACAAAACCCGAGACAACTATCGTGACATCAATTAAAAGCAGAATTCATGCGTTTAATCAGCTTTTATCATTAATCAGACATAAGATTAAATGAGAATCAAGACAACATAGAGGATGAAATGTGATCGAGATAAATGAAATAAGCTATTTCAACTGATAATATATTATTACTGAAATTATAGTTAAAAGCATATCTTATAATATATACGTCATGGATTTTATTTGGAACAAACATGATAGGTCTACTCAGAGTTTTGTTTTAAAATATCAATTGGAAATATTTGAATCAATTTTAATTTTTCACATATTTACCTTAAAAAATTTATCTGTGGTTATCTTGAAAAAAATCTTGATTAAGTCGAGTCGAATAAATAAATTTTTCTCGGAAATGTATTCCGTATCAGTATTTAAAACAAGTGCTGACTAAACTAATATATTTAATGGATAATAAAATCACGTGTATTTATTCCTATTCACTTGTTTGTTTATCTCTTATTCGATCACTTTCTATAAATAAATTTCTTTAACATGATTATAGATATACTGTCATTATCTTCTCTCACATCCTCACATGACAGTTTGGAATAGAAAACGTAAAAGGAGCGGTTAATGCCACTGTTCTGGCAAAATTCCTTTATTGCAAACTAATAGACTTTGCCCGTCATCAATAGCCCAGAAACAGAAAGTAAGAACGTAAATGTTCATTGCGTTTCATTACTTATCTTTATTATCAATTACAGTGACTTTGCTTTTTTACTCTAAATACGGACTTAACTAATAATTTTTACTCTAAATAGGGACATACCTAATGGTTTTTACTCTTAATAAAGACCTACCTAATGGTTTTTACTCTAAATAAAGACTTACCTAATGATTTTTACTCTAAATAAAGACTTACCTAATGGTTTTTACTCTAAATAAAGACTTACCGAATGGGTTTTACTCTAAATGAAGACTTACCTAATGATTTTTACTCTAAATAAAGACTTACCGAATGGGTTTTACTCTAAATAAAGACCTACCTAATGATTTTTACTCTAAATAAAGACTTACCTAATGGGTTTTACTCTAAATGAAGACTTACCTAATGATTTTTACTCTAAATAAAGACTTACCTAATGGGTTTTACTCTAAATAAAGACTTACCTAATGATTTTTACTCTAAATAAAGACCTACCTAATGGTTTTTACTCTAAATAAAGACTTACCTAATGATTTTTACTCTAAATAAAGACTTACCTAATGATTTTTACTCTATAGGGACTAACCTAATGATTTTTACTCTAAATAAAGACTTACCTAATGATTTTTACTCTATAGGAACTAACCTAATGATTTTTACTCTAAATAAAGACTTACCTAATGATTTTTACTCTAAATAAAGACTTACCTAATGATTTTTACTCTAAATAAAGATTTACCTAATGATTTTTACTCTATAGGGACTAACCTAATGATTTTTACTCTAAATAAAGACTTACCTAATGATTTTTACTCTAAATGAAGACTTACCGAATGATTTTTACTCTAAAGACTTACCTAATGGGTTTTACTCTAAATAAAGACTTACCCAATGATTTTTACTCTAAATAAAGACTTACCGAATGATTTTTACTCTAAATGAAGACTTACCGAATGATTTTTACTCTAAAGACTTACCTAATTGGTTTTACTCTAAATAAAGACTTATCCAATGATTTTTACTCTAAATAAAGACTTACCTAATGATTTTTACTCTATAAGGGACTTACCTAATGGGTTTTACTCTAAATAAAGACTTACCCAATGATTTTTACTCTAAATAAAGACTTACCTAATGATTTTTACTCTAAATGAAGACTTACCGAATGATTTTTACTCTAAAGACTTACCTAATTGGTTTTACTCTAAATAAAGACTTATCCAATGATTTTTACTCTAAATAAAGACTTACCTAATGATTTTTACTCTATATAGGGACTTAACTAATGGTTATTACTCTAAATAGGGACTTACCTAATGATTTTTACTCTAAATCAAGACTTGCCTAATGATTTTTACTCTATATAGGGACTTAATTAAAGATTTTTACTCTAAATAGGGACTTACCTAATGATTTTTACTCTAAATGGCGACTTAACTGTTAGCACTCTAAACAGAAACGTTGAAATTGTTTATGCTTTACTTGATTACAATATTGGCCTACTCTGAATGTGGTGAATATAAACATTGCAAGTTTACTTCACGGAGAGTTATTAGTCATTCTATTCTTAAAGGAATACTATCTATTTTTAAACTTTATCAAAATGAGTCTTTGGTCATCAGTGGACCTACCTAGTGTCAAAACTATACGACAGAATCCCTCTATAATCCAATAAAAAACAGCTTAATAATAATCCACTAAACTAAGTAATTTGAAACACACTTAGAAGCGCTTTATAATAGTTTCTTAGTTTAATGGATATATCGTCTTCTTATATATTCTTTAGTAATGACACCTGATAAGTCTAATTAATGAATATATATATTTACTCTTATTGACCAAGTTTGAGACTTCAATTTTATGTCCATTGTAAGAGGTAGTCTTCCTGTGATATGCCTAGTAGTTCGGATTTTTTGTAATGTTATAGGGATCTTCCAAAATGCATGTCGTCTGAAAATTTGGCTTGGCTGTGGTAAGCCATAAAAGTCCACCTTTTTTTTTATGATAATAGTTCCTTGTTGTAGGCTTACATCAATTTTGTGGAAAACGTTGGTAGAGAATTTTGAGACTAATACGAATGAGCGAGCAGAACAGGTTTAATCTTTAGAATTTATTGATTTATGGACACAAAACAATTAGCTAATATGGTTTCTTATACATGCATAATACAATAGTGCTAGTCGTTATGGACACATTAAGCTTTTATGCCTAATACATGGTGTAATAAAATGTTTCAAATAGGGCCTAAATTATTCCTTTTGTGAAATCCCATGTTAAGATTTTGTCTTTTTAAGGCTTGTGTGCTGTGTGATTCATGAATAACATTGAGCTTGGTCATCAGCTGAATATTTCGGCAACTATCAATTTTCATTCATAGAGAGTAGTTGACAGCTGTTTTATTCGAATTAATTTAATATTTGTCGCAGAGAATCGTGGCTTTCGGATATTATATATCATGCTTTTACACGCATTTGAATCTGATAAATCAATCGCAAAATATTACCGTAGTCTGAACAACGTATAGATTTAACGATTATCTTCCCCTGAAATTAAATAGGTGGCAGTAATGACGATTTCAACCAATCAACAATCTTTGTTTACATCACATGGCGTACCTCGCGGGAATCTCTGAACTTTATTCACAACATTTTCTCATAATTATTGGTAAATCTAGTAATATTTAGTTTGAAAAAGTTTCCATTATGTCGAGTGAAACCATGTTTTCAAGTTTAACGAAGGAACAAATCGCCCTAGAACAGAGGTTTGTTTTTCTTCATTGTTAAAGGCCAATTTTTGTTGGCCTATTTTTTAAGATTTCTGAAAAATGTAAACAAAAATCCTCGGCATTGCCTCTTTGGTGGTACCACCAGAGTCCGTAAGTAACGTTTTAGTAGGTTCGAGTACCAACCTTTCGGGCTCTTAATGCACAGCATAGCCTACTAACCCTAACAATTAACATGAAAGAATGATTATTAAGCTCATTTTCTAAACAGCTGTGCAGTGTCAGTCACTGAGTCAGTGCACCTGGCTTGCTGATCGCATAATCTTACTAGCTTAAGCATAGAACTCCTATTTATGATATTTAAATTGAGACTAATATGGATAAGAACTAGATGAACTCACCTTGTCTTCTTGGGTACCCACCAGTTCCAACCTAGCTACCCTTTGGATGTCTTCAATAGAGATGTTTGTGATGACTGTATGATTGATATGATATGAATGAAAGACTGCATTCTCAGATTTAATCAATGTGAATTATGAATATGTGATTACTCAGACCAGTGTGGGATCTGAGATTAGCTTTTAATATCGCTCTGAATTGTCTTATTGCCAATATTGCTCCGAATGGTCTGCCAAATTATCATAGTTTACCTGTTTCATTTTGTCTATTTCAGGTTTAACTGTATTGTGTGTTTATGTCCAAGATTACAGATGGTTTATGGTTTGTGTCAGCATCGCGTCTGTGTATCCTGTCTTTATAGTGAAAGTGGTGCCATTAGACTCAGCATGTTAAAATGTCCGATCTGTCAAAATTCAAATGTTTTTCCACCTTGGAAGTAAGTAAAGATGTAACAGAGATATTACAGAATAATTCAAGCTTATGATATACAGTTGCTTCTCTTGGTTCAAAGATATGTTGTGAGGCATAAGCATCCTTTTTCCCAGCTGGCAAAACCTCTTTGCATTGATCTTTCCCAGATTATTTGTACCCATTTACAGCTGATTCGACTGGAATTATGGGTGAATAGGACTTATTCAAGGTAATCAGACTTAGAGATCATCATGCAAAATGACTTGCACACAAAATCTGTTTGAATTTTCTATCTTTTTAGCAATACCCGGTACTCTATTTTTATGTAGTCAGTTTATTATTTTAGCTAAAGCATATTTTTGTTCAATAAGTTAGTATTAGTATAATAATTTTCTTCGTTTCAGACCAGATATTTTAGAGGATACAATTGAACTACAAAAATGTCTTGGAATTCGACAATGTTCGGGATGCACTATGGAACTCTGGGATTGGGAGATTGAAAATCACGAAGAGTAAGTTTCAAAGCTGAATTTTTCATCCTTCATTAAAATTGTGTTTCATTACACTGAAATTCTTGGCCATGTTTATTGTTCAATCTAAAGATTTAAGTTATCAAAAATTTGCTCTTTCTTGTAGGTATTGCCAGAAAAAGAAGCAAGTACCCAAAACACCATCAAATAACAAAAAAATAAAATTCTTAACGCGTAGCGAAAGTGCTCGAAAAAGTCGTTCTTCAACAGACAAGGATTGTGATTTAAGTCCAAGGCAAACTCGAAGTCGAAGAGTTGTTGGAAGTAGGATGTTAGCAAGGTTGCGTTCCTTCAGAAAATAGTAGAAGATGTAATGATTGTATTGTGGAATCACCTATTTATTATTTACTATCAGTGCTTTCAAATTAAAGTAGAAGTTGCTTAAGGGCAGGAACCTTATATGACCACACCAAATATGAATTCAGTGAAAAATTGTGAGATCTATAATGAATTATATGGAAAGGAACATAAAGATGACAGAAGTTTCTTATTTTTGTGTTTCTTAAATGAAGTGTTTTTTTTTTTTTAAATATCTATATAAATGTATTTTTTTCTTTAACATGTATTTGTTCATATTAGATTCTAAAGTTTGGTTTCATCAATTTTTTTATATTTACCCAATTCACATGTAACATTGGAACAAGTTGTTATTTGTAACTCTTTTGTTTTAATCACTGAAACTGATCAATTTTTGTCTTGTATATAAGCTAATATTTAAATTTGTTATGCATGGACTAGTCAAGTGATTTCTGAATATAATTTTCTGTGAAAAAATACTTGTTGTGATCCCAGTTATCTTAAATACATAAGTTTGTTTGGAGAAAGATTAAATAATGCATTGACAGAATTTAATTTCAAACTTACCTTTTAGAAAATATTAAAGAAAATATCTAAAAAAAAAAAAAGGATTGACTCATTCAGTGCTATAGTTGGGATTGTCAAATCTCATCCAGACAGTAAGGATAATGTAAAATTGTAACCAATGTAGTCTGTGTATATGTCTAATTTGTATATATTGTATATTTTGTTCAGATATATTAAATGTTTGTAAATAATATCGCAAAGATTTGTACATTAAACATATTTTGTTTGAATATTGATTGGTGTTCCTCAGGGATCATACATATAAACTTAGAAGTATTATCTAAGAGTTGTTGGATTTTGTATGGCAGCTTGAAGAGTCTGATCAATTGCTGGAAGTTTAGATGTCAGTTGTTCAATTCCACCAAGTAATTATTAAATAGAATTTGGTTGTTGAACTGAACAAATATGTTGACCACCATATCCCTATGACAGGGATTATAATAATTGTCCAAAAATACTAAACAACAAAGCACCCTATTATCCCCTGGTTGAAAACCTCTGCCCTATAAACAATACATGATGATGATTCAACATTTATTATCTAATGAGTAAAATTAAATACAATTAACAAAAGATATACAAATAATATATATATATAGACAATTATCACAAATTGGCAATGTTTTGATTCGGATTCCAAACCCTCTTGCAGTATTCTATAAACAACAATGTTCATTTGTCACTGTAGGTTTGTTTCTTAATGTTACTGGCACTCTTCACATTAGTCAGTAAGAAATTCAAAAGTCCCTTGCCGTGAATATGAAATTTTGTACAAAAAGAAAATATACAATTTGACAATAATAGAACAAAATACATAAATATTTTCTGGCATGAAATACTTCAAAATTGGATTTCTACTTCTACTAATTCTGGTCTTCATTATAAAAACAGCAGACTTCCGTTATTTTTATCATCCTGATTGTAAATTTGTGCAATACTTATTAATCTAATTTTCTTAATTTCAAATTTGAATAATGGGAAAAAAATTAGAATTTATTTTTAAGTGACCTAGCTTTAAGAAGACTTGATCACCATATTTGGTTAAACAAGAACCTACAGTAAGGAGTCTGTTTTTTCAGTATCAGGACAAAGAACTTCTTTGACATGGTCAGGTATTTTATCAACGTACCAATTGTGTTTGGACAATGTTGCTAATACGCCGCCAGAGTTACGTTTCTGAACGCCTTTATGATAATATATTTTGTTGCCGTGCATGTCTGTCAAAGTTCCACCCACAGCATGAAGGACAGCCTCTGGAGCACATGTATCCCATTTTTTACAACCAGGACTGGCAAACACATAAGCATGAACTTTACCTTCTATTAAAAGTAACACCTGAAAAGATATTGGGGAGATGAAATCAACAATCTTTCTAATGTGCTCATGTTCATAAACATTCGGTTTTTTTTTCATATTAAGAAAATTTTCCAGGTGACTCATTAATGGGGTTCTTAACCTTAGCGGTTTACAGGCCATATATTCCCCAAACCCGCAGTAACCAAGTGTCATGCTTTAAGTTATATTACTTGGGAGTTCAGGGTGTATTCCAGTTTTTTTTCACTTACACTCTGACAATGTTTAAAGTTAAGTAACGGTCAAAACATTTGATTCCAAATATCCAGAAATGGCCATGAAAAAGTGATATATTGATGTACTTAATCATTTCATCAACTTGTCCAGGGCTTAAAATAAATTTAAGATATCTTTAACATTTGAAGAAGGTGATACATACTTTGTGCCCTGCTCCACCAACTCTTACAACTTCTGTTGGTTCACAAGCTTCAACAGACTCGGTTACTATTCTATTGGAATGAGATCGAGATGTTGTTATGATATTTTTGTCCGCTGGTGGACTAGTGTGTGTAAAACCAAATGAATCTAAAATAAATTGACATAAACTACAAATTCAATAGAAAATAAAAGATAAGAGGCAAAAGGTTTTCAGATAACCTTGGACGTAGTATTTGGAAAATCTTAACTGAAGATGATTTTAGTGATACAGTCATCTGATTATTGACTCACTAATACCAACTTTAAAATCAGTTTTATTATCAAATCAAAGTCAAGTTTTTGCAGATGAGGCTCATATGCATTCGATTGTTTTGTGGATAGATGCAGTTAAGGTATAAATCCAATACATGTATATACATGACCATATTCTTGTAACAGTTGTAATGCCTCTCACCTAAACCAACAACACCCCATATACAACGACCTCTTTTGACCTCTGGTGGTTCCTGGTAATTATAATATGGTTGATAGATTACACCCCCTACTGCTGTTCCTTTTACTGCCACCCCGATTAACACAGTCACATGGTCTAAATAACCTGAAGAGAGAAAGTAGGAAACTTTGGTAATAATACTTCATTGTAAGTTTAATACAGATGTATTTGTTGGTCTTCATTATTTTACCGTTTTGAATAGTATCAGCCTTTTGTATTCAAATATCTTTCAATTATATATAGCTTTATTCAAATGAAATCCAAGGAAAAACTTAAAACTGAAGATAAATATGTGACCAAAATAATAATTCAAATCACGCTTTTTCATAAATTATAGAAAAAACAAACAAAACAACCACATCTTTATTTTTTTAATCAGATTGTAGAAATAAACTGTTGAGGGTGAACCAAAAAGAAGGGTCTGCAAGCAAAAACAACGAGAAGCCATTTATACCTTGTTTAAAAGAAGGAATAGTAATAGGTTGAGATTGATTTTTTAAACCTATGAACAAACAGAAACATATTTCAGTGGTTACAAAAAAAAAACTACATTACAAACAGGTTTAAAACAGAACACCTTGTGATTTTTTTGAGAAACCAAAACATTCTATGGATATGTTATTGTTATAAACATCAATTTTGCAAAATATTTGCTTGTTTGCATAATCTACTTTTAGCTGATATAAATGTTATTACCCTGTGTGTATTCAGCTGTTCCATCTAATGGATCCACCCAAATTACAATCTAAAATATATCAATAAATAACCAAAATATGTAATACATGTAGGAAATTTTCAGATTATGCAATGGAGATCAGAAATGATGATGCCTTGTGTAAACCAATTAAATGGAATGCTGTACTTAGTGAGTTCCTCATTTCATTGGTACACCTTCACTTTATATTGAACTATTCCGCACCATAAATCATTATAGCAATGGTATGATAGTTTATAGGAGTTCATTTGCAAAATTGAAACCTTATCGGTTGCTTGACAAACTATTTCCAACCTCAAGTAAATTTTTAAAAAATATTGATTGTTGAAATCCCTTTGCACAAAATTTCTTGATATATTCAAAAATCATACCTCTTCATCTGTGACATTTTGTAAATATTCAGGACAATTCTTCGTTAAAACTTCTTCATCATAATTAGTTTCAATAAAATCAGGTTCAATCTTTTCTGTTGGGTCTAAATCCTAAAATAAAGATCACAAACTTCTGATAATATCTTCTGAATTTTCCTTGAACCTCTAAGCATTTGGCCATTTCTGAAAGTTATTGATGTTAACTCAATGGCTCATTCCTCGTGTCACACCTGGGGTCAGAGTGATTGCAGAACAATTTTTATGGTGGTATAAACACTAGAAAATTTTTTCCATTTTCTTGAATTTTTTTCATATAAAATAACAGCGGAAATAAATAATTATTTCATCCGATTTAATAATTACAGTAAGTTCCAACAATCGATTTTCTTTGGTGCCTGAATAATAGCCACTGTATATTATTTATTGATAAAAGTCATACCTCTTCACCAAATATAGAAACTTTTGGAAACTGTCTGTGGAGAGATGCTACAATACATCTTTGAGCTGATCTGTCTGCTTGGGTTTGAAAATCATTCTTTCCCTGAAATAAAATTAAAAGTAATTATCAAAGAAACAAATAAGCAATAAGAAACTCAATCTTCAAATATATCACATTATGTTACTGTTTAACCATAAAGTATAACTATAAGAGGTAGTCCTGATTATCACATAATCAACATCTTGTATCACTGAACAAAAAACACTATCCAGTCCTAAATCATGCGTAACAAGAAAAAAGAAACCGAAAGACAACAAATACTTGACCATGAGTTGGCTTGAAATTTACCTTTTCAACGATCCCAAGTTGTCCCTTATCCATAACATCTCGGATAATTCTTCCTGCTCGGTGAGAAACGGCGACAGAGGCGGAAATAATCCGCATGACAAGTGGAGACATGGCATTTCCTGCCATTTTGAAATTGTGTTGCCGTTGCCAGTAAATATTGTTGTCGTAATATATAGGCAGACTTATGTTCTACTTTTTTTTTAGAAATATAAAGAATTTACTGCTAAGTCATTCTTGGCGTAGTGAATTCATGATATGTGACAATATATTGATATATTGTACTTGGCCTACTTTTACGATAGTCGTCTTAAGTAACGGGCACCTGCACGCATGCGCATGATGAACTTCCGAACAAAACAAGAAAGTTGACACGAAGTCGAATATTACAAGTTGATATTGTAAATATACTAAAACATCAAAGAAAAGTCTATCCGATCTTATTGGCAATGACAAGATGTGGTCTTTCTTTAGCCGAGATCCCACCAAAGACTTTAATTATGACATTGGGGAACCAGTGCCGGGATTAGAAGGCAAAAGTATTTGGACCCTCCACAATGGGAAGAAAAGGGTAGGTAACTCTTGGGGTCTTACTTCAATTACTGTCCAGTAAATTTGAGACCTTACTTTCATCCAAGCGTCCGAGGTTTCAAAATTATGATTTGAAAATATTATCAACTTTGTTTATTTCTGGTCTTTTAAATACTTTGAATTAAAGCATTAAAATTAAACACTTTAGTGAGTGGTTAATTCTAGATCTACATTATTTACCCATTACAGGGTGGTTAACTTTTATTATGTAATTATAGGGAACTGGTGAAGCTGTCAGTATTTTTATGTTTGATGTGAAAGCAGCATCTGAATCTCAGGTAAAACTTTGTAGCTCACTCAATAGGGAACACCAGTTGCGTATGGTATGCACATAACAATTACAGCAATAAGTTTCGAATACAACTCTCATGCAACTGAGTTATTAGCTGCGTTTGTTATTCATGACCTCTTTCATTAATATTCACAACCGTACAAACTGGTAATCACTCTTTAATATATTATACAGCCGAATGATATTAATTCAAGTTGATATCACCTTATCATTTAGTATGATTTTTTTTGTGTTTTAGAATTAAAATAATTTTTTGTTCTATCAAACTTTGAAATGTAAGCAAAATCCATAAATGTTGATCTAAAACACTCCAGTATTAAATGGCATAAAAAACACATCTGTTTCAATTAGAAGTTACTTGTTAAAATTGTCTAGGTGATTTTGTCTGGAAAAATGTTTGTTGAACTGTCATGATAATAACCATTTACCACAATAATGCAATTCAGTATTTTTTAATAATTTGAAATTAGTAATGATATTAATCCTTATACCGTTCTGAACTCGTCTCAAAATGTAGACTTGAGAATAAGTTCTACTTGTCCAACTTCAGTAGAGACTCAGGTTGAAAATAGGTCTGAAGATAGCATACTGTGAAAGTCTGAGTAAGTTTTTTAGGTTCTGTTTTAATATATCAATATCACTCTACAATTAATGTATTGAGCGCTATTTTAACAGTGAAGATAGTATACCTGTATTTATAGTGATACCAGTATCCTGCCCTTTCATGAGTTTTTGGTTTTTTCACATTTAATCAGATATATATATAACAGATTACAGAATGGGGGCAATTCCTTTGATTTTCAAAACATGTGTAAAAATACATTTTAATTTAAGGTCTTTGTTTTTCAGCTGACTGTAGCTAAAGGAGCTTTTAAGAGAATCAAAACACTTCGACACCCAAACTTTCTCACATTCTTAGATGGCTTAGAGGTAATAAGAGATATATTTTATGATTTCAGTCAAAACAAAAAATTAAAAATAATGCAAAGGAATGCAATAATTGTAAAATTGCTCAATTCATTTATTTGAACATCATGATTTTAAACATTTCCAATATGGCACTGTGGTTATACAAAAAGCTTACCTGATACAAGATTTACCTGCAACATTGAAACAAAGTATGTTGAAGAAACTTAATCTATTATTACATAGGACCCATGAAAGAATGAATTAGTAAGACATTCATTTATTTTGTAATTTTAGACTGATAAAGTGTTATATGTAGTAACAGAGTGGGTTACACCATTAGAAACATATTTACAGAATGATGATGGAGATAGTAAAAATGGGCTGGCCATTTCCTGGGGTCTTCATCAAATAATAGTAAGATTTTTTTAACCTACTTGATATATTATAATTATGGAATTTTTATTTGATCAAATATTTGATACAAGATAGACCTCCTTGATTTTAGTTAGTTAAAAACTAGTAGAGAAGGCAGTCAGGAGCATTTAGTTTAAGTCCTAATATCACTGATACTAACTATTCCTTAACTACTACTGGTTTATATCTAGCGGGTCTCTTTTTTTGGCCAGTACTTTACATGATTTAGGAACTTCTTCACTCTTAATACTACCTTATTACCATAAAACCTTGTGCTTAACAAAATTGCTTATTTTAGCAAAATAACAGTCTACTTTGCTTTTAATATAATAACTTTTTGATTATTTCAGAAAGGATTGTCATTTTTAGTGAATGATTGTCACTTGATCCATAATAATGTTTGTTTGTCATCAGTATTTGTTGATAGGGCTGGGGAATGGAAACTAGGGGGAGTAGAGTACATGTATTCTACCCAGGGACCAGATTCTTACCCCCCAGTTAAAATATTCCCAGCTTTAGAAAGATATGATCCTCCTGAAAAATCTGAAGCTAGATCAAAACCTAAAGGTGCAGTTTGGTAAGTGATATTTCATTAATAAGACCTACTGTGAAGAAGCTATTTAAATTTAGATGCAAATACAATGTGAGGTTACAAATTGAATCTTCAGGTTTTTTTAACTGAATTCTTCATCACTCATGTGGCGATTAAGCCCTGCATGTTAAAAATTTTTTTTTTCATTTCATCTTAACATCGAATTATAATTCATAATTCACAATTCACATATATAAGTTTAAAAGTTTGTTTTGAAAGTATATTTTGTGTGTTGATCTGCAGGTCTAGTGATATGTGGGGTTTAGGATGTTTGATTTGGGAGGCTTTTAATGGAACTTTACCTAAAACATCTTCTCTCAAAACATTAGGAAAGGTAAGATCCCATTCTTTCTCCCTATGACAGTAGAATCAAAACAGTATATGGGCTAAAACCAGAACAAAACATTTGATTGATTGTCAAGGAGCATTCTCAATTTATGGTATTTCCTGCACTGTTCTGACCTGTTTTGCTGTGTTTATCAAAATAATTATAATTTTATCTTCAGATACCTAAAAGCCTTGTACCATGTTATTGTGAATTAGTAGGAGCAAATCCTAAAACTCGTCCAAATCCAGCTAAAATGATAGAAAACTGTCGAAAACCTGGTGGTTTTATGAAGAATCAGTTTGTTGAAAGTATGTTATTTTTAGAAGAAATCCAGGTGAGTTATTTTGAAGCAAATAACTATTCATATGAGGAGTTATATCAATCATGAATTGATGAAGAGTATGTGATTTTTGATTTGGTTTGATGCAAAATCAATTGGAGAGTCTTGATAAGTCTTTATCCCAAAGTACACTATAACAAGTTGTAAAGCAGTATGTTATTTCAGGGATGTGAAGGAGTAAGGTTTGTTTGCCAGTATTGATTGGAAGAAGATCTTTAATGTCTGACAGGTTATCATTACAAAAATGACAATTTTATTCCAGTCTTGTCAAAACTATTCATCTGCTCTTGAATAAAGTTCTGTTGGTTTTTATTTTTTTAGATAAAAGACAGCTCTGAAAAGACTAAGTTTTTTACAAGTTTGACATCATCTATTGACACCTTTCCCCCTATGTTCTGTAAATATAAAATCTTACCACAACTACTCAATGCTTTTGAATATAGTAATGCTGGATCATCTGTGCTCACACCACTGTTTAAGGTATAGTCGGATTTTGATTTTCTTATTTGAGTGTACTACTTTAAGGTGTTCAAGGCTTAAATGGACATTCTGTATGAACCCTGTTACTTCATCAAGGCATAGATATTTTGCAACAGCCAGTACTATGAGGCAAATCAGTGCCATAGGAAAAAGGTAAGATGTTTGTTTCTTTGGCTTCAAAACAATCATGACCAACAGGCAAAATGTTTTAAGCAGTCAAAGTCAATGAAAATCATGACTTATTGCCACATGGAAAAATTCCTGCAGAATGTTAGATTTGTGCCATAGCCATAGAACAGATTGTACTTAGATCTGAAGTGTTGGTCTAAATGGATCATGCTGTTCAAATATTTGTATTGTATCTTCAGTTAGGTAAAATGTTGGATACAGATGAATACCAGAAGAAAATCGTCCCATGTGTTATAAAGTTATTTTCTGTACCAGACAGATCTACTAGAGTTAAACTACTACAACAGGTAAGCCTTGATTACTCCTTTATTTATCTCACAAAACTATTTATTACTTTATTGCTAGGGACCAGTGTGGTAGCACTTGATGAATGGCTATCCTGGAAGCTGGGGCCTTTATTTCTTAAGATTCCCCTTGTCAATGATGCCGGTTTGAGAGATTGACTTAAAATTTCATCTAGTTATTTCTGTGGGGCTTAAGATATTATATTCTAGAAATTTCATTATCAGACTCATATTCAGATAACATGTATTTTGATTCAGATATCATGTTCTGTATTTTAATTCAGATATCATGTTCTGTATTTAGATTCAGATAACATGTTCTGTATTTAGATACAGATATCATGTTCTGTATTTTAATTCAGATAACATGTTCTGTATTTAGATTCAGATATCATGTTCTGTATTTAGATTCAGATATCATGTTCTGTATTTGGATTCAGATATTAGATATCATGTTCTGTATTTGGATTCAGATATCAGATATCATTTTCTGTATTGAGATTCAGATCTCATGTTCTGTATTAAGATTCAGATATCATGTTCTGTATTTTAATTCAGATAACATGTTCTGTATTTAGATTAAGATATCATGTTCTGTATTTGGATTCAGATATCATATTCTGTATTTAGATTCAGATATCATGTTCTGTATTTAGATTCAGATATCATTTTCAAATCATATTGATACCAAATGAAAGTTGTACAATGTTATCTGTTTTGTTTCAGGTTGAATTGTTTGTAGAACATCTTAGTACTGATATAGTTAATAATCAGATCTATCCTAATATAGCTACAGGTTTTATGGACACTGTACCAATGGTTAGAGAATGTACCATTAAGGTGAGCATATCAAGTGAATCTCAATGCTCCAACCCTCATAAAAAGCAATGATGTTGATGAAAGGCTTACTCTGCTATGTCTGTGTATATTTTTAGTTCTCCATTGCCAATAATATAAATTTGTTGGAGGTTTGTTTGTGACACATGTCTGTTTAAGATTTGCGATCACTTTTTTTTGTGTCCATGAAGTTATCTTTTAGATGTTTTTTTGCAATCCTTAGGTTATTTCATTTAATTGTAAATACTTGTTTTTGTTCACTTTATTCACTTGAAATATGATTTACTGTGTTAGTGACCGAATATTGCTTTTTTGTGGGGGTTAATTTTCACAATGCTTATGCTCTTTAGATAACTTGTAAATACCAGTGTTTTTCTGTATTTTTTAGGCTATGTTACATCTAGCTAGTAAGTTAAACTATAAAAATTTAAATGAAGAATTGATGAAACAGTTCGCTAGATTACAGTCTAAGGATGATCAGGTAAGACAAAATTGATATAAGTTACTGATAGATAATGCCTACTTATGTCTCAGAGATTCAAGTGTTACAGTGTTATCTTGGCCTTATGTAAACAATGGGATATTTACTTGAAGACAGTCTGTAGATCAGTCATCAGATCTCTAGCCCTACATTTTTGTTATCCTTAATCTTTCCTTTCTTTTCCTTATTCTATCTGTCATAGATACATTGTTTTGTACATTCACAAGAATTGTGACATTACTAAATTCTTATGATTATTTTTAGGGTGGTATAAGAACTAACACTACAGTATGTTTAGGTAAAATAGCCATGTATCTCAACCCATCAGTAAGTAATTCATATATCTTTTTGAAACATTGTCTTTATCTTTTATTGATCAAACCTCATTTTGGAATTCAAGTTTCGTCTTGCAATTCTGATTTTCAGTCTTTGTTTTTTGGGGGTATTTCTTTTGATAATTTCATCATATAGATAGGGTTGGTTTCTTTTATGTTGGTACATTTGATGCACAAAACTGTCACTCACTCTTGCTTTTAGAACCAATTCTTACTTTGATTTTCAGATAAGACAGAAGATATTGTGTTCAGCGTTTTTACGAGCGTTAAAAGATCCATTTCCTCCACAACGACAAGCTGGTATACTAGCTATGGCTGCTACCCAGAATTTTTATAATTTATCAGAGATAGCTCAGAGATTGTTACCTGCACTTTGTAGCATGACTATGGATCCAGAGAAAGGTGTCAGAGATCAGGTACAAAATATTTCATTAAAATTGAAGAATAATATTATTACAGAAAGAGTCATTTGTTAATAATGTTTCACGTAAAAATGTTTGCCTGATTATGACTAGTAAAGTTGAATTATAAATCTTTTTAGTTAATCAAGGATGATTCCTTACAATCATAACTTCACTTCATTTTTTTATATCATCACAACAATCAAGGACATTTTATCTTAATTTCCATTTCATTGTAGAGTTTTAAAGCTATTAAGGGTTTCCTTGCCAAGTTAGAAAAAGTTTCTGAAAATCCTGAATTGTTGGAAGAAATTGGTAATTACATTAAAATTTGTGTAAAAATTGTCAAATTGTAGTTGGTACCATGTGATAAAAAGTATTTGACCTAAAAAAAAGTTTGGAACTGCATATCTAAATTGTATGTATTTGTGATTTGCTTGCAGCATTCCTACTAGATTAGATTCATTCTCAATGTTCAATTTTTGCTGAACATTTATTTAAGGCTGGATATAGTGTGTCAAATCTCAATTGAAATCTTCCACACATGTACCTCTATGAGTACAAAACTAAATATGTCTCATAGGAAGAGTTCATTTCTTAAATTAAGTTTAAATCCTGCTTTATTATCTTCTAGAACGAGAAGTGTTAACTGGGGGTAGTAACAATAGTTCTGGTGGTTGGGCTGGCTGGGCGGTTACAGGCATGACCTCATTGACCTCTAAAATATACAGTAAAACTAAAGCTGGTAATACTTCAGGTAAGAACTTGTCTTCTGTGGATTTCTTACAGCTAGAGCTAAATGCTACTAACTTTGGGCCCCCATTTTCTTATTATTTAACATTGCCTGTGAGTTTACTCTGGGATCCCTACTTAGCCCCGTCATTTAATGATTTGTAAAGCTTAACATGTTAGCTCATTTATTTGCATTTTGGCAAAAGTTTTTAGCAGCATAACCTATTTTTCGTTAACAAGGTACCTTACCACAAATTTGACTTTTTGTTTGACGTCAATTTATTTTTCCAGGCAACAGTTATCGAACTAGTCCCCCAAAACAACCCACATCAACAGTGTCCTCTAGTCATAAGGAGCAGAAAACTCCTACTCAACCAACTGTAGGTGTAGATGAAACAAGAGCTGATGAAGAGGAAGAGGAAGAAGATGGTGGATGGGAAGATGATGGTTGGGGTGATATAGAGGTCAGTTTCTAGAATTTCTTGAATTGTCAGGGTGCTAGGGTGAATTTTTTGTCAAACTGTTAAGAGTCTGTTTTATTCTTGAAAAGCTGCAAAAACCTGAGATATTCATGATTAATGCTTCACTATACTTTCAGTAGCCCAGCATCTTTAATTTTTGGTCTGTGTGTGACTGTTTTGTCTGCAGGATACTTTAAAACCCTTGACTAGCATATATCATATATGGTAATCTATGAGCTAAGTTCATAATAGTTTGACTGTAGTATTATGTTCTATGTTTGTAGGAAACTAGTAAAGAAGTAGAAGTCTCATTACAAGACAACAGTGTATCATCTGGTAAAAACACAGGCTGGGAAGATGCTGACAGTAAAAACACTGGCTGGGATGATGATGATGATGATGATTGGGGGAGTCTGGAAGATACAAAGGTAAATATATAAACTATTACTCATCCTCTTATGATACTTGATGCCACTCTGCAACTGGGTCTATCAACTTATTACATGGATCGTTAGATTTTATCCTTTGTTTAATTCTTATTTTATCACAATTTGTGCACAAGACAATTTTTATAATATACTCTACTAAAAGGTTCGAAATTTCTTTGAATTTGATTGTAGGGTTTAGAATATCTAAAATTAATTCTTGTTCTGATTCATCATATTTTCATTTTATCTTTTGCATTTCAGTCAAATAAAAGTAGAAGCGGTACTGGGACAAAGGGAGGTAAATCTAATAAAGATTGGGGAGATTGGGGTGATGAGTTTTCCAGTACCTTAGACACTGGCCTGGCTACAGCTAGTTCCTATGATTGGGGACAGGATAACGCATCTTCTGGAGGTGATGACTTTTTCTCTGAAAATATGTCTTCCAACAAAAATAAGGTATGTTTTTGTTCTAAATGTAGATCCATAATTGATGGTGCTTGATTGGTGATTTCATAATGCTAAATTTTGAATGTGACATATTCAGTTTCATACCATTTCATGAATGAACGCTTGAATTGGAACAGACAGAACCTGTACAAATCTCAACTTTTTTATCTCTCAGAGCACACTACGTGATATAGCCCATCACCACAGAAGGACAAATCATTTGTTTACAAATATATAATGTAGAATTGAAAAATATTTTAGCCGAGGTCACGACAGGGTACACCAGTTAGAAAGACAACACCACCCAGGCAAACAGAAAGAAAGACAACTCCTCCCAAGACAGCTGTTTCTTCTAGTCAATTTACTACAGATAATTGGAGTCAAAATGATAGTGGGTGGGGTGATGGTGATAATTGGACTGATGACAGCTGGGTCTCAGGTAGGACTATTACCTATTTTCTGCAAGTATTCTATGTCTTATGATTCCACCAAATAGTGTTTATTATTTGATATACAGTTGTTTGTCACATGATAAGTGACATATAAATACATCTCAAAGCGAAACTATGACTCACTGTAGTTTGTGAAAGATTGGTGGCAAATAAAAATAACAGCTCATTTAATATAATGAAGTTTGTAATGTTTTATGTCCAAATTATTCATTATAGGAGGTACATCTACAGACGAAGCAAAGAGGTTGCGCGAAGAAAAAAAGAAGCAGCGTCAACAAGAGCTACAAGAAAAACGTGAGGCAAGAAAAGGTGCAATGAAACTAGGTGCAAAGAAAATGCCTCAATCCTAGCAATAACTTATATTATTTATTTATCATTTGTTGATTTTTCATTATCCATTGTTTGCCAAATTCGTATCAGAGCTTTGTTCACTTCTAATAATAATTTCTGTTTAGGGTAAAAAGTATCTCCCCTTTGCTGCTTTGATTAAATCATGGTCTGAAGGTTTTTTTTTTTAAATGGCACTAATTCCTTCTGAAAATTGATTTCACTGTTGAAGTTATTGATGATCTTCTTTCATCTTTTTCTGTACTCCACTTTTCTTTCTCTTTTTTTAAATCCTCCAAAATATCACTTACCCCTCTATTCAAGATCCTTTGATCCATTCACCCCAATAAAAGTGTATCTCTCCCTGAAAAACTTTGACCCTCTTCTTCTTCTGAAGTGTCCTTAACATTGCCACTTTATCCCCCCCTCCCTTTTTTTATCCTCTATTGGGCTTTGGCTAACTCAGTTCATGTACAAAACTCCCAAAAATTTTTTTAATCTCTTTTCAGTAACCCTACACAATCTCCTGACAATTCTCCCCCAGTAATGAATTATTCACCCCTGTTTCATGTCTCCCAATCCTAAACTTTGGTAATTCTGTGAGGACTTTTTTGAGTTTGCTATATTTGTTGTATTCATGAATCCTTCAAAATGCTGGAAATGGTGTGATATTTTGCAAAAATTAATAGAATATAGTTGATAACAAAATTTCATATTTGACTCTACTATAAGTTTGTCTGTTTGATTTGAGAAATTATCAACAGCAAATGAAAATTGGTGAGAAAATGATATTAGCATTGCCCATTGAAGAAATGTTCTGAAACTGATCATAAGCAAATGTGTTAACATAATTATATAAGTAATTGTCAGTAAGTATAGTCTGGTTGAGATATTTGTATACAAAGGGTCAGAGTCAAAACATAAACACAAGCAGTCCACTTTACGTTTAGGTAGAAGCTATATAGAATAAACTTACATTGTGTTGATTACTAGTTTACTACTGAAACTACCTTTTATGTTTTGAATTTGACACTTTGCAGGGTGTGCAAAAAATATCTCTGCTTGACTGTTATGAAAAATGCTATAAGATTTGTTATTGTGTGGTGTGATATTGTTAAAAATGATATATTGTTGTTTTGTATCATTACATAGAAGATCTATATTATATTGTAAATAAAAGGTATATCTTATATGATCACTTAACATATACATTGTGACTTATAAGAATGCACCAACCATCTGTCCAATCTAAAGTGTAGAGGATTGTTTGGTTTCTTGGTTAGAGGACTACATGTTGTCTAAGACAGTGTTCAGAATTTGCTCCATGTGTGCCGAAAAAAGGTATAGACAGAATTCAAAATGGCAGAGATAGGAATATAAGGGAATATTTTAAATGTGACATAATCTAGTTTGGTACCGTTCGATTGCGGCACTCCATATTCCAACATAACATTCTTAATTGCCAATCTCTTCTATTTAAAGATAACAATCATATGAAATAATATTTATTTTGTAATATTCTTTGTATTCAGATTTGATTATCGTTATTATTATAAACACAGCAAAATAAAAATAATAAATTTGGAATGATGAAGGTAAAATAATTTAAACAAAATAGTACAGTGACATAAAAAATATTCACATCGAAAAATCACTATGTGACGGAGATATGGTTAATCTAATAGAGTTTTGGCAGTCAAAATTGCAAAATAAGTAGACAATAAAAGGGAAATATTGCAGAGTCAGTCATGATAAATGAAAAATTCCTTTAAAAACAAATCTGGACTAGAAAAGGCAAACTTGATGAAATCTCAATCAAGCAGTATATGATATACTTGATGTTGCCCATTAGCACTGTCAATAATATAATAATCATAATCAACAAATTATAATATTAAAAAAAAACATAGGAAACTATTTGTTTAAAACTAAAACTATTCTTTGTCAACCTCTGCACCCATTAAACTTAATCTCTGCATGTTACAAAAAAATAGATTCAAAACTATCTTGAAGCAATATTTTGCAATTCAAGTTTTTCCATAACCAATCAAGTGGGAATGTGTGCTTGCAATATCAAGGTTTAGAAATCATTGCTCGCACACTCTTGAATGAAAGATGATATGTGTATAAAATTGCACCAAAAAGCCTAACTGCACTAGACGTAACAAGATATTGCATCATCCTTTCTATTTTTTGCCACTATTTTATTTGTCAATAGAGCTGCATCACTTTATCAAATAATGCCCTTTGAAGCTTTAAGTTAAAAATATTGGACTAATAATATGTAGCATCAATAATTATTGGAATAGCACACACTAAATAAAAAAAACAAAGGGCCTTATTCTCGAAAAATTAACAAAGATGATATAAGTGTTCCCGTCAGCCGACTGTATTTCTCATCAATTGGATTTTATCAAAGTGAAGTATTCCAGAATAAAGCCCTTATATTAAAAAATCAGATATATTATAGAGATTCTGTGGGTGGACTTGATTCTTTTAATTTCTTCTCCTGGTCAGCAACTGTGGCTTGTAGTTCTGATTTCTTCTGATTTAGATTACCAATTATATCTAGAAATGAAATTACAATCTTGTTTCAATTGCTGGTACTTGGCAAATAATAAATGTACCAAATAAACAACATTAACTATGTGGACTCTCTGAAAGGGATCAGGTGATCTGAATATTGAGCACAGACTGATCAGCCATTCTGTTGAAGACTCAGAAATGATTATTTCTGTTTCTATGTGGACCCAGTCATAGAGTGGCATGAGGTGTTCCAAAAGAGTTAACTAGCCCTAAATATTTCTGAAAACCTTTATTAAACTTGTATGAATACTATAGTGATAATGATAATGATAATTTCTCTGTTTTTTAAGAAAACTAAAAGTTTCAATACCCTGTATAAGATCTGGGTAGTTATTTGTTTGTGTTATAATTCTTTCAGCTTCCTGACTTGCAGACGCTCTATTTCTGATACCAGCTTCATCATGGCACCATTTATTTTCCATTTCTATTTCTTCTACTTCCTGCAATAGAATTAATTAATATATTAAATAACGGTACTACAGCATTAATTATTTAAGAAAAAGTAAGAACGAATTGAATTACATCCATGAAATACCTGTCAGGATAACCAACAGAAATATGTGTAGATGAGTTAACTCAGTGTTGTAGACAAGTTAACTCAGTGTTGTAGATGAGATACCTCAAGGTTGTTGACGAGAGATAACTCAAGGTTGTTGATGACTTAACTCAGTTTGTTGACGAGATAACTCGAGGTTGTTGACAAGTTAACTCAGTGTTGTAGACGAGATAACTCAAGGTTGTTGACAAGTTAACTCAGTGTTGTAGATGAGATAACTCAAGGTTGTTGACGAATTAACTCAGTGTTGTAGATGAGATAACTCAAGGTTGTTGACGAGAGATTACTCAAGGTTTTTGATGAGTTAACTCAGTTTGTTGACGAGATAACTCAAGGTTGTTGACAATTTAACTCAGTGTTGTAGACGAGTTAACTCACTTTGTTGACAAGATAACTCAAGGATGTTGACAAGTTAACTCAGTGTTGTAGACGAGTGAGATAACTCGAGGTTGTTGACAAGTTATCTGTCGACAAGTTGCCATGTAGACGAGTTGACTGAATACCCTTTGGATGACTGAATACTTCTAATTCCACAAAAATAAATGAACTATCGTCAGCATGCATGCAATCCGCAATAGGCCTAATTTCAATAATGACACAACAAAGAAGAAGAGAGATTTGTTTTAGTCAGGTGACAGAGTGTCTCATTACTCATTTACTATCCTGTCACAAATATAAATACTAGGTAAATACCCTTTGAGATTCCTTGACATCATTCTGAACATCTTCAGCCAGTTTCTCGAGAGCATCGTATTCATGTCTAATTGCAGCTAGTTGCTGGTATGGTTCTCTAACAACGTCTGGCTCGTTTTGTGGTTCAGCTTCAGCCATTTTCCAATTCAGTTTACAAGAGTTAAGTTTTCTTGGATTTTGTCAAGATTGGGAATGGCTATCATTTTTGAACAATTGAACAATGGTGTAACTTCATAATGTGTTTAGGTTGAAAACATTGAATATTTGAATTTCCTTGACGTTTTTCGTTGTTTGATATGAAATAACAGAAATATAAATTATTTCGTTTCTTTTTATATTTTATCATCGACTAAAACTACCTCCTTTCTAGAAAGCTGTACAAATTGTAAACAAATACACGTGTGTTTTGTCTTGAATTTAAGTATTGTGTTAGATTTTAAAGTTTAAATTTTTGTTTTATCCTGATGCTGTGTCAATTTTTGAATTTGCTGAATCATTATTTATTAGTTTTTTGGTCTAAAGAAATTGTAATCACACGGAAAATGGAGAGGGTTTGATTTTTACCTCCCCTACTAGTATTTACTATTGCTTCAGACCACACATATATTCTCAATATGTTAATTTCAATTTTTTATTAAAGGGCTTAATTTTTTCCTTCCAATACAATACTTATACATACATGTGATAAATTCTTTTTTTTCAGGACTGGCATGTAATGTTACAGTGAATTAAGAAATTTTTTTGAATTGATTCTGTTAAATCTATTGAAATGGAGCCTTGTTCTGATAGTGAAGATGAGGACTTGATCAAATTTCAACAAAAATTTAAAACACAAACTAAAAATATAAAGAAACAGAACGAAGAAAGTGAAAATGATAGTGATTATTCTGATGATTTAGGAAAAGATTTGAAAAAATCTTTGAAGGGTATAAAACATAAACGGTTTGATAAACATGGAAACTTGGTAAGTGATGATGATGATGATGATGGGGGCATGGCTAGTGAAGATCAAGAAGAATCAGATATAGGCGATGAGTCAGAAGAAGAGGACGATCAAGAGGGTTCTGATGAAGATTTTAGCGAAGAAGAAGACAGCCAAGTAGTCGAAGAAGAGTATAACAAATTGAAGAGGACAGTTTTAGAAAGTTCTGATGAAGAACACATTGAAGATGAAGAAGAATCAAATGAGGTTGACCCTTATGTAAGTAAAAATTGGAAGAATTGAATCAGGTTTCTGATTTAGTTGTATTTGCCAGTTCACGTCTGATTGAACATATGAATTCCTTGTCTGGTATGTTAAGAATGTCTCTAAATAAATTTGCATTAAAATGCAACTGTTCATATCATTCTTGCATTATTATTGAGGTCACATCTGTTTGTCTTTTTCAGGCCACAGTTAGAAAAGGTAAGTGAATTTGATTTGAAATGAATCATTAAAATGCTGTTTCAAGTGGCACCCAATACAATGCATTTATTTGATACGGCAGATGGCATTTATCTCATTATTTTTTTCTTTAAGGTGAAGCATTGAAGCTGTTATATGATTGAACTTCATTTTTCAGAATTAATTGATATGTCTTTTGAAGATCGTCAGAAATTGAAAAACAAACTGGGTTCCAAAATGTGAGTAATTCATAGACATCATGATGTTGGCTTACTTTATATTTCAGATTATGTTTTCAAGTTTACAACATAGTAGACATAACATTTCATAAACATTTTCACTCTTATTACTAAACTGTGACATTTTCATGATAATTAAATGATAAGGCTACTTTACTTCACATTGAAGTGGATTTTTTTTCAAGAATTTTTGCGTTCTATGATCTTCATTCTGTATTTTTTTTTTGGTAGATATAACAAAATAGTTAACAGTGGTAAACAGAAACAAACAACAATACAAACAGCTTCAGAAGTTGACAAGGAACATAAAAACAGGTAGGTTTAATTCATATTGGTTCATATATGAGAGATCAAAGATCTAGAAAAATGGGGAGTATAAGGTTAGAATTGTATTAACAAGCCTGTGAATATTTACTAGTAATAATGTGATAGGTGATCATGCATATTCTAGAAGCAATGGCTGCGGCATCAGGATCTGCATACCCAGGGCACCTGTAATATGGTTGATTTCATGTTTTTCAGACCCAAAGAAATGTCGTCCAAGAAACGGGTACCAATTTTCAGGAAAGTTATTGAAGTGAAAAGAAAGGTAGTTATAGTATTTTAATTTAAATATGAAGATTATAGCACAGATAGATTAAGATGTATATGGTCTGAGAAGAAGAATAAATGATTTAAACCAATTTTCAGACTGATGGTCTAAGTGTGGCGTTGGGTCATCCCCATACATGAACAAATTATAAAGTTAGCAGGTAACACATGTGGTTTTCATTATGATGGGTTTAATGCCCCAATACATATTTATTTCAGTTAAACAGAGATCCCAGATTTGATGATTTGTCAGGGACATTTGATGAGAAACAATTCAAACATTCTTATGCTTTTCTTGAAGAAATGAAACAAAAAGAGAAAAAGGTTAGTTAATTTTTTTAATAAAAATTTGAATAGCGGTTGCATTGATGTTCATTTACTGCGTGTGGTTGTACACTTAATTTCAGCATTAACTAGTTACTTAATCTGATCGTTCTATATGGACGTAAAGTTTTCATATGTGATGATTTGTTTGACATGAAATCACAATTATTTTAATTTATTTTATTTCAGCAAATTGTAAGAGCAATGAAAAAAGAAAAAGATAAATCAAGAAAATCTGAATTAAAGTCTTTAGCCAATAGATATGTAAGTTTTGAAAAAAGAAGGCATACTCTAGTTGATAACTTTACACTTTTTGTGTGCACTTTTAGTATTTGTATTTTTTGTCCAAAAAATAGAAGGATAATGAGCTTCTTCTTTATTGCATCAAGACATGAAATGTAGATAAAATTTTATTGTTAATGATTTATTTACTTTTAGAAACAATGGTAAGATTTTGAATTTTTTTGTGATCTTTTTATCTAGAAACAATTAGAGGACTCGAGTAAACGGAAAGAAAAGACGAATAGTTTATTGAACCAATGGAAGACAAGAGAAAGGGAATTGGTACGAGATGGGAAGAAACCTTACTTCTTAAAGCAATGTAAGAAATTTAACAAATATCTGAACTGATGTTTCATCAAGGAGAGCAGACTGTAGCTCAGTTAGTTAAAGCATTGGAATCATGCTCTCATTTGTTTGGTTACAGGTCATTTTTGGTACAAATTATATTCCCTATAAAGTTTATACATTTTGCTTTAAAGTTAATACAGAAGAAATATGAATTATTTTTATGTCTATTGTAGCTGATGTAAAGAAACTAGAATTAGCAGACAAATACAAGGAATTAAAAGAAAAGGGAGGGCTTGAAAAATATCTCGCTAAACGACGGAAGAAAAATGCATCAAGGGAAAAGAAAAAACTTCATATGTGATTTTCTCAGCTTGTGACGAACTTTTTTATACACTCAAATCATATCTTTTGATATGGACAATGATTAAAATAAGAAATAGCAATGTTATAAGCTGTGAAGTCTTTAAAGAGAATGCTGAGATGAATCCAAGCTGCAAAAGGGTTGATATCAGATGGCAAGAAAATATCTTTCTATTTTTATAGACATGGACCATCAATTCAGTTTATTTGTGAAAGAAATATGTGGGAAAATTGGCAGCTGTTTGACTTGATATAGCTATTCATGTTTGAACTTGGGAAACATTTGTCTTGCATTTACAGTTAGATATTAAAACATTGCATAAATCCGTTTAGTTACCATCATGGCTGTACAACTCTTATCAAAAATAAAACAGTTAAAACAAAGATATTTAGTTTTATTTTGTTCCAAGACAAACAGAGCAAGGAATCCATGCGCGCATTGAAGAGAAAATATGAAACTATGATCCTTTTTTGACTAACATAATTCGTAGCTCTCTCTTTGTAGTTTATATGGTACTATATTAAAGAAAAAACTTCTTTTTACCACATTTCAGTAAAGTCAAAATATTTGAGCACAAAAGGGTCCAATTCAATATTTATAAACACGAGCTGTCCACTTCTTTAGGGTAGAATAAACAATAATTGATACTATACAAAACCAGACTCATATAGTGTTAATTACTTCTTAAAGTACCTAAAAATAAGATGGACTATTCATGTTATGTTTTAAATTGGTCCCAGATGTGGACAGAAATTATTGCTTTACCAAAACACTATACCAATACATGCTTGATGTATTGAGCACTAATTTAACAGTAGTATTTCTACATTACTCTACAATTATTGATGTATTGAGCACTATTTTAACAGTGGTATTTTTATATTGCTCTACAATTGATGTATTGAGCACTAATTTAACAGTAGTATTTCTACATCACTCTACAATTATTGATGTATTGAGCACTATTTTAACAGTGGTATTTCTATATCGCTCTACAATTGATGTATTGAGCACTAATTTAACAGTAGTATTTCTATATCGCTCTAAAATTGATGTATTGAGCACTATTTTAACAGTGGTATTTCTATTTCACTCTACAATTATTGATGTATTGAGCACTATTTTAACAGTGGTATTTCTACATCACTCTACAATTATTGATGTATTGAGCACTAATTTAACAGTAATATTTCTACATCACTCTACAATTATTGATGTATTGAGCACTATTTTATCAGTAGTATTTCTACATCACTCTACAATTATTGATGTATTGAGCACTATTTTAACAGTAGTATTTCTATATCGCTCTAAAATTGATGTATTGAGCACTATCTTAACAGTAGTATATTTCTATATCACTTTACATTTGATGTATTGAGCACTATTTTAACAGTGGTATTTCTATATCGCTCTACAATTGATGTATTGAGTACAATTTTAACAGTGGTATTTCTATATCGCTCTACAATTGATGTATTGAGCACTATCTTAACAATGGTATTTCTATATCGCTCTACAATTGATGTATTGAGCACTATCTGAACAGTAGTATATTTCTATATCACTTTACATTTGATGTATTGAGCACTATTTGAACAGTGGTATTTCTATATTTCTATATTTGCAATTTGCATAATACCACGAAATGATACATTTCTTTTGCAGGGCAATCAAAATCATCTGCTGCAGCTAGAATCAGAATTTCTAGAATCTATTATAACACAAGCTTTTAATATTTCTATATGTATAATATTTAATGCTCAATCTTCAGTGCATTATAACATATGGAACTATATGCATGTAAAAAGGCTGTACTCTTATGCTTTAAAACCTACAATATTTCTGAAAATAATCATAATGGGCATTCCTGTCTTTGCACTTCTGAACGGTATTGATAATGACCCTTCATTGATTCAAATATAAACTTTTGTAAAACAACAAAAGATTGAAACTTACTTTTTGCAGCCCCTTTCAAACAGCCTGCAGCTTGTTTCAGGAAAAAGGATACTGGTGGATTGTGAATTTCTAATACAAATGTTCTATCTGGCTGTAAGATACAAACCGAATATATAGATTAATTGTTTAGAGGTTTTCTAGACTTTGTGTACACTTTGTATTGGGTACATTTATAGGATAGCTTCCACTTGCACTAATCCAACTTCGTACCTGACTACTATGATAGTATTTTGTCAATATAAACAACTACAAGGCAACTACAATCTATTCAACAAATGCAAGATATGACCATCCCTACCTTACCCTAAACAAGTCATTCTGTTACGACATCCATAATTTGAAATAAAGATATGTGTAGTCTATATATAGGCACAGCTTTATGGAACAACAATCACTGGTTAAAGTTTAATGCAACGTTTTGAAGTATTTCCCTATACATCATGTGCCTGGGGACGAAAGGAGAAACACATCAAAATGTTGCATAAAACTTTAACCAGTGATTGTTGTTCCATAAAGCTGTGTCTATATATTGTGCTTACAATTGCTAAATGCCATTTAAAGACTTCATATGTTAAATATGTTATATATTTAATTAAAATTGGATTACAATTTTGATTTTTTATTTTTTTTCAGACTCTATTGTAGATGAAATTGTATTCTTATTTTAATTAGATTGCTGCATACAAATCTACACATAGCCTATCTTTTGTTTTCTACAGTAAAACTGAGCCTAACAAAGACCCTACAGGCAGCTGCACTCAAGAAAGATATCTCTGTCCCTACTTTTCCCTAAACAAGTCATGACTGTCCTAATAATAGTCACTTCCTACACTAAATACTTACAAAAACTGTTATTCTTGTTGGTAAAGGAATTCCTTTTTTTATATTTGCTGTTCTTTCATTAAATTCCTTACAAAATGCTGCAATCTGAATGCCTCTCTACAAACATAAATAGAAACATGAAATTGAAACTAAATGAGTAAATGATAATAACGCCAACACCATCATAAGGCCTGACTTTTTCTATGGTGCCAGATTTTGATTTTGAGTTTGGTATCTACCTTAATTTAAAATAAGTATCTGTCAGTCATGATTAATTTTCATATTGTCTGCTTTTATCCAAGTTCAATTAAAATACCACAAAAACCAAAGAACAACAGGGCAAGCATTTAAATTTATTAAAAAATTATTTCTTTGACATTTTCCTTGATTGGTTTTAAGACAAATTTCTGGCCTGTTGACCTTTAAATGTTTTTGAAATTTTGTCACAACTCCACTTTTTTTTTATGATGCACACACATCAAAATCTATTTAAATGTCTATTAAAGGACAGTTTACCATTCCCGGTGTAACCCTTGAGCATATTTTATTTGTTGTCTGGAGCCATTGAAATAAATGACCTTTCTGAACAAGAGAAATTTCTATATAAATGCTGTACTGTACCTGTCCAAGTTGTGGGCCGAGTGGTGGAGCAGCCGACGCCATAGCAGCAGGGATATCTGTTTTCATAAATGGATGATGTGTTACCTTTGGGATAATCTTTTTCATTACCCCTTGGCCTGCGGTTTTCGCTGCCATGTTGCCAGATGAGTTATCTTTTCCTTTCTGGCATACTTCTTTATCTTAAACATGTCCTCCAATTTCTACGAGGGTTTACTTCTTTCGAAGTTCATAATGTACGGTACTTATTGAAATTAATTTCAACTTCAGACAAACACTAAACTGTTGATTATAGCGAGGATTAAGAATATCTAATATTTCTTTATATAACATGCATAATTTTGAACATTAAAACAACGCATACAATAGGCTAAAAGGCTTTATTATGTAAGTCTTGATGCGAGAATAAAATAATATCCTGGTATAATCACCCAGCAATAAATTAAAACTGGAGGAAATTGACAATAATGAGACTAATTGTTATACGCTTTACTTTGAATTTCATATTACTCCTACGCACATAGGATATGAGAATTGGATTATTTAAAAGTTGAATAAAAATTCTGTGTTGCATAAGCGTATAGTAGTATAGCCTACTGGCCTACTGACTACACAAAAAACGTATTTAGGCTTACGGGTATCTGATGAAAAAATTTCAAATAAAACACAGGTACCCCTCCAACACACACCCTCCAACTTTACAGGCTCGGTACCTATTGGAAAACTTGCATACAAAACACGCGTATCTTTTGGTCATGTAAAAAGAAAATTTGTGATATTTTCGTACATATCATATTCTCAGATCCTTTAACCCCCAAACCATATTCTTTGGTGTATATTTTTGTTCTAACATTCAAGCGAATTTTCACACCCCGACCAATCTTCGAGATCGACAATACAACGCTTTTAAAACAGTATCCATAGATCTGTGCTAATAATATTCCCACCCACCTGTAGTATTTGCCAAGTTTAATGTAAGGTTTATTTAAAGAAAATAAATCAGCCCGTTTCGGTGACGCCAGGTTCCAGGAATAAAACTTGTGGTCACTTCTGGAAGTTATAAATAGAACTGATGAAAGTTTCTAGGATTGGTCAATTCTAGGGAACGGCTAAAATGATAATTATCTAAATAAGTTACGAAGGCCTATTCAGGCTTTTATGAAAATCGGGCATTATCATTTATCATTCTATGAGGGCTAATAGTGGCCATTTAAATTTGTTATCTCATGAAAACGAAAGTAATCGATTACAGTAATTTCGATAAAGAGATTTTTTAATGTAATATGCAAAGTAGCAACAATAGAATGTTTCCCCTTAAAATTTGTTTCAAAGAAATCAAAAGGCCAAGATGTTGAAGAATGCAGAATGACCGTGTGTTAGTCACCATATCACCGAAAACCTTACAGATAATGATGTATAGTCTATATACGTATCGGATGTCTGTATCCCTCATAGATAAATAGAGGCATGTCACACCAAATTATCACAAACCAATAGCTGATACAAATTGTTGTAAAGAGTAATGATAATGTAAGTCGTACTACACACCTACCAATATATTTTCGGCCATCGACGAAAAGGTATTTATTACGCCGCACATAATGTAAGCCTTTGGAAGATTTTCTATATAACTTCGACACTACACATTTTTAAAGTGATACTACGTCTTAGAATGAACATACAATTTAATTCTCAAGAATGGTCAATATGAGTATATATTCATCAGTGAACTTACCTAGTGTAATAAAGTTACAACAGAATTCCTGTAAAATCTAGAAAATTGGAAAATTCATAAAACAAAGTCATTATTGAAAAACGCTTAATCATAATATTAAGCGTTTTTCAATAGTTAATTGCATTTTTATTAAGTTTTTTGGATTTATCGAATTATATAAGGATCCTGTTATGTCATTTATGACACCGGGTATATCTACTGATGAATATATGCTCTTTTTGACCAAGTTTAAAATGTTCAAATTTTATGTTTATTCTAAGACGTAGTATCCCTTTAACATACCAAATCAAATTTCTTGCCCAACCAGATTCTCCATGAATAAGTTGGTGATCCGGGAACTGAACAGGGTGGGTAATCATTTTGAAATTGGTCATTGGCGTTCGAGCAAGTTATTCTGAATCCACCTCAAATCAAATTTAAATTGGATGAAGTATATCCCTATATTCGTTGACTGAAGCTGGGCTTCGAAGCGATTAAACGAATTCTGTTTTACGTATCTATAAAGATATACGAGGTAAATTTCGTACATGTTTACTTCAATGTATCACACGGTTTCGATAGTAAGATGACTAATTCAAATAGCCAAACTTTATGAAAATATGGTGTAATTTTGTTATCATTCAATTAATGTCTTGCCAGCCCACAGATACGACATGTAGACTGTACAGAAACTTTCATTAGCTATAGGTAAGCGATATTGTTTCAGATATTGCTTGTTTCAATTGTTGATAAAACTGTCGCCTGTTACATTAGGCCTACTTAATATGTGTAGACTTCTGAACGATGTGATAATATCATAACAAATAACTTCAAACAACTTCATAATTGGAATGGGACAGCTCGTTTTATAAATGATGTTTTGAAATATAGATTATAGAATGTAAATATTCCTTACATTAAGGAAAATTTGTCACCTCCAAGAAGTAGGCCTCAATTAATGAAATGGAAACGTTTATTTGGAAATATACCTTGAAATGACGCACTTATAATTAGATTAACAATATAGACAAAAAAGCCTAGTTTCGCTTTTCAATAGCAAATTTAAAGCATACGAATGAAAAAATGGGATCGAATTAACATTAGGGCTAGCGATATTACGAATCTTGTAACTTCTGAATTCCATGATATTTATCACAATAATTAAACTATTTGCTTGAGTTTGCCTTAATTATATACTGCATCAAATTTGATGTAGAATAAAGAATAATACGGAGTGATTTCTTTTGTTTCCTTTTGTTTTTTCGAACTATGGTCATTTCAAAGCATTCGGAATAATTATATGTAGACTAGTGTTTAGGTTCTTAATGATCTACTCAATTACAATATAATAAAGTCTTTGAATGGCATTTAGCAATTGTGAGTACGATATATAGACACAGCTTTATGGAACAACCAGTGATTGTTGTTCCATAAAGCTGTGTCTATATACAATATAATACCTTCATGACATAGCGCCCGGAAACAAACAAGAAAATAACATGACAAGGATATATAGATGATTATAAATGATTAGGCCTATAATGAAATTCAAAAAAGTTATAATATACCCCAATATCATAAAAAAAAATAATATAAATATATCATTAAAGAGAATTTACGACGATGACTGTTAATGACTGGAAATATTTGATATAGGCCTATAGGTCTCCCAAATTTGAAATTTGGACTACACTGTCTGTGTTTGAGCACCTCGTACCATTAATTTATTCAAAATGAAACTTTCATCGGCGATTTAAGTAATTTAAACTATTCAGTATTCAAAAGCCTATATTAATTCCAAATTGAAAATTAAGACGCTGTAATTGTATGCCTAAAAGACCAATGCCAAAAGATTTGACCAGTGACCAGCTCTATTTAACAGGATCCTCGTGAACCTAAGTTGTTATTATGTCTACAGCATATTAACAATTATCATAAATCCTACCCCCTGATAACAACATCTCAAAACACATCTACATTTCATTAAATTGTGAAATTTAAAGTAATAAAAGTGGATTTTCTGGCTTCTGTCTCAATATGAATCTGGCAATCGTTTTGAAGTTGTGCTGTGTATGATGGCAAGTTCTATTTTCATACCCAGGTTTTTACTCGAAAATTACTTTTTGGGGATACCTTTTGTATCATCAAATGGATATCCCGTGAGCCGTCTTATTAGTAGATGTGAGTTTGATTTTTTTAAATGGTTCATTTCCTGGGTAGCTATTAGCTATTGTTCGTACCAAATGGGTAAGCCTAATAGGTAGTACAAGCTGGGTTCTCAGTAGGCTACCCGACGGGTAATTTTAACCCGTTTTATTTGGCAATATTCATTCATTGTTTATTCATAGAGGCTATAAGTGACCATGGAAATATATGCAATTAAACATGTCAATATCCTGGCATTGATATTTTCTTAATTTGATTCGAAGATTTGAAGTTCCGAAATTAAAAGCACTGAAGAAACGTATTAGCCTAGAAGATATTTAAAGGTATGACGTCATTCTATTTATAGTAACACATCCGGGCGTCTATGTCACGCATGCTCGATACCCTACTTCCTGTACATTGATCTTGTCAATTTGAACATTTTCATTTTTGGGTGTTTTTGGAGACAAATGTTGTCTTTGTATAAATAGTATCGTTTCAGACAGCCAGTAAACTAATCGATATATCTTTGATAGATTATCAGTATGAGCGATTGTCCGTGTGTTTCAAATAAAAAACTTTTGTAATAAGTTGATGGGCATGGCGTCTCTCGCAAAACTGAATCGTGTTCTTGTTCGTTCAAAAGCACTTTCATAGTTGTAGTACGAAAAGTATTGTTGAGAGTTTAATGACAGGTTGAGTTTCTGTTTGAATTTGATTGTGTGTTATAATTAAGGTGAGACTAATCATCGATGATGACATAATAAATACATTGGACTCTTTCTTCTAAATTTATACAATAGTATAGGAATAGAAAAACAAACACTTGTTTGTGAAACAGCATGCATGTACTTGTAGTTGTAAGCTTATCTAGAAGTGTAAATGGATATAGGCCTATGCTTTTGAAGAGTGACAGTGCAAATATCATTGAAATGATTATGACATTTGGATCAAATAACAAGTGAGCTCTGTTATCCAAATTTATGTTAATGTTCAAAAACCAGAATTGACTGGTTTACATCAAGTGATCATTAGCCAGCATCCTAGTCCAACTCGAACTGGTGATGAAATCGATGCATTCAGTAGATGTAATGGTTTTCTTTGAATGGTAAACATGTTCTCTTTTGCAGATTGAAATATGGGTGCCTTTCTTGATAAGCCAAAAACTGACAAGCACAATGAAGAAGGGATTGGGAATGGATTAAAGTATGGGTTATGTAGTATGCAAGGATGGAGAGTGGAAATGGAAGATGCTCACACTGCTGTGATTGGATTACCAGCAGGGCTCAAAGATTGGTCCTTTTTCGCAGTGTTTGACGGCCATGCAGGAGCTAAAGTCTCTGCGTATTGTGCTGAACAACTTTTAGATCACATTATCGCTAACGAAGACTTCCGTGGTAAAATTGACATTACTGACGGAACAGAAATTCAGCCATCGATTGAAGATGTTAAAAAAGGATTGAAAACTGGGTTTCTTCAACTTGATGAGAAAATGAAAGAAATACCTGAAATGGCAAGTGGGGAAGATAAAAGTGGATCAACTGCCATTTGTGCCATTGTTTCACCAAGTCATGTTTTCTTTGCTAATTGTGGTGATTCGAGAGCAGTTTTGTGTCGAGGTGGTAAATGTGCATTTGGTTCAACAGACCACAAGCCAGTCAACCCAATAGAAAAAGAGAGAATTCAGAATGCAGGAGGAAGTGTTATGATACAGAGGGTGAACGGGTCTTTAGCTGTATCAAGAGCTCTAGGGGATTTTGAATACAAACAGGTTGCAGGGAAAGGCCCATGTGAACAACTTGTCTCCCCTGAACCAGAGATTTTTATTGAAGAGCGTCACCCCGATGATCAGTTTATGGTTTTAGCTTGTGACGGAATTTGGGACGTTATGTCAAATGATGAACTTTGTGCATTTGTCCAAAGTCGAATGAAAGTGACTCCTAGTTTAGAGCAAATATGTAATCAGGTTGTTGATACATCATTATATAAGGTAGGCATCACATGCCAAATAATAAATATACATGGGAAATGGGCAATTATTGTTTTGAATTTGCATATTTGGAAACCCTTTGACAAGAAAAATTCAGAATTTTGTAATTTTCTCCATGGTTATTTTTGAGAAATGTATTTTCTTGATTGTCAACAAATGGTTATTTATAAATGGTGGAAATGGAATTGATTACATGGAAAAGAAATTATTCTTATATACCCACGTGAAATTCAGAATATGTCATCACCCATGGATGCACAATTCTAAACAGAATTTGACCAAATTTGGTAGAATTGTTTATAACCATTGAAGGATGAACTATCAACAAAATATTTTTAGTGATACGTTCCCCTTTGTTCAATTTTAAGACAGAACACACAATTCTTGACAGATTTTGATTGAAGTTGATGAAAGGTATAACAATGTTGGAAATTTTTTACCAGTAATTGCCCTTGATTTTTGCTGTTCATTTATTACTCTTGAGCACCCATAATGGTGTCTTCAGACTGACAATTATCAAGGAATTTTTGAATGAAGTTTATTTCTGAATATTGTAGGGAAGTCGAGATAATATGAGTATAGTAATTGTGGCTATGAATGGAGCACCAAAACAGTGCGAAGAGGCTATTAAAAAAGAGAAAGAGTTAGATGATAAAATAGAAACTACAATTAAAGGTATTGTATTCATTCAGTACTGGCTGTAAGTAATTTGGCCATATCGCTTAACCATTTGACCGAATACTGGACCAATTGCTACCTCATTCTATCTATTTTACTTTGTCCATAAAGTCTCATCTAGTGGAACTGTGGCAAGAGACATCTCTAAACTCAAGCACAGAATAAGTTTAGGAAAACAGCTATGATTATTGGAATTGGATTGAGATTTTCAGTTCAATACTTTCAAAATTCATTTGTGATTTGAGAAGCTACCAATGAAAACATGAGTGTACATTCTATGAACTATTTATTTTTATTACAGAAATTCTTGAAAATGACCCTCCTGAGAATCAAGACCTTCCGTATATTGTACATGTGTTAGCCAATACCTTAGAAGATATGTTTCCACCAGGGGGTGGCATTGCATCAAAGTAAGTGGGTAGTTTGAATTGGTGTGCTATAGTGTATGCTAACCAACAGAAATGAAATCCTACTCTTCTGCACCTAATTGGGCTGATGAAGACGTGCAACACCTTACTTTGGTCAATGATGGAAACTTTGCCAGGACGGCAGCATTAGCCTACTCTTTTACCATTTTTTAACTGTCGAGGGATCTTTAACATGCACAGTTTGTAGCACATTGGACCTTGGCTAAGTGCTCATCCAAAAGACTGTCACATTTTCCAAGTTGGGCCCTATTTGCTTACCAACAAAATATCAGGCATACAAATGGATTTCCTCAAAAATAAAACCGGTTTAGTATGTAGTTATGGAAATTTTGACATGAAGCAATTTTCCACTTTTGAAAGGAATATGCATGCTCTCAGACCAATTTCAATATCTAGATTATGGTACTCTGAAAATCTTATTAAATCATCCTGTCTGCTCATATTGAAGCACCTTATTTTAACATTGTGACTGGATCCTCATATGCCAGTCTGCCAATTGGAGTAGGATTGATTAGCTTGTAGTTTGACAAAGTATTGATGTGGCATTGTAAGGTTGTAACTAGAGACGCACTGTTATTCTATAAGTTAAAGATAGTGGTTCAGACCAATCAAGAGATTAATATTATGTCATATATTCCGAATCAATATTTATTTGTTTCAGACGAACTTTAATAGAAACAATTTACCGTAAATTACGACCTCAGGAAGACGTAAGTAGAAATTTTTTTTCATATGTTTTACATAACATTTGATTAGTTAAAAATAACGTCATTAGAGCAGGACTGCTGTAGAAAATGTGTTAGATTACAATTTAATCGAAAAAAAAAGAAAAGATAAACAAAATTTGGATTAGAAAGGATTTATTAGAACTTGCTTTGCAAAAAGAATTTTTCTTGAGTGATGGTAATATTGAACACAGATTGTCCATAGATTGTAGACTGATCAGTATACCTATAAAGTTCCACTTGCTTGTCAACTCTGCCTCAATTTCTGCAAAGTGATATTGACTCCATTTAGACTCTAAAGTTCGGTTTTATTTTCATGTCTTTTTCTAAATTTCAGGAGGATCAGTAGCGGTCAATAACCTTTAACCTTTGACTTGACCTATATAGTTATATATAAATATGATGTACAGTCATGTAAAAAAGTGGTTTATACCATATATGGTAATGTATGTACACATGTGAACACAGCCTTATCAAAATACGCTCACTCTGAATTCTTCAACAAAGATTCAAGCTATTTTCATCTTCAAGAAAAACTCATCAAAATGGAAGTAGATGCTTGCAAGGAACTTCAATCTTATAGCTAAAAGAAAGAAAACTGCCCAAAAAGTACTAATACCATAGAGGTATACCGGTAGTCCATAAAACTAAAAAAAAACAACTGAGAATTAAAAAATAGTGGTTAGGAGGTATTTACTGTATGTATTTAAAACTTTAGGTGACCAGCACCATTAGATTTTGGAGCCACAGATTGAACTGGGTTTTTTTTTGTGGAATAATCATTATTTTGTTACTGACTTTAGCTGTTTTCCCAGCAATACAGGCCTGTGATGAAATTCTTATGAGGGCATCTTTATTATTATAGAGACTTGAATAGAACTGTATATTTATTTAACAAACTTCAAACATTGAATTTATATTATTGTTTTTCATGAAAAAATTTGATGCAAAAGTGTATTCATGTGTCATTCAGAAAAGATTCCATGTTAGATTTTTTAGATGCTGTGCCAAAATATTTAAATTTTCAAGGAACTAAATCATTTTAAGTAACCAAATTAACATGTATGATAACTGTATAAAAAAAGCACAAATGAGGATTTATTGGCTAAATTGTTAAAAGAATTGCAATTGAGAAAACTCTAAGAATAATCTTGTTTCTAACCAAGCTAATGAGCAGAAGCTTTTAGAAAGTTGTAACTAATTGATCTATTAATTTGGAGTTTGTTAAATTTTCCCTATCCTACTGTATAATTTGTTGGAAGACTAGTGTGTTTTTTTCTTATATAAGTTTATCTGAATGTTTTATGTTCTATACTTTTTGTTAAAATTTTGGATTGAGTTGCGATATTTTGTAAGAGAACATATCTTTGTGTCCAATTATCCATTTTAATTTCTAATCAAAGCTTAAAAGCTGCCTTTAATACTTTTGAATTGTTGAGTTAACATTTATAATTGAAGAGAAAATTTGATTGAAATTAGAATTATAGAAATGTGCATGATATTTATATGAAAGCATTACATTATAAAAGGGTAAAACTATTTCCTTATGCAGAAAATTCATTTTCTGTTTCCTCAAAATCACTGCACTTATAGGAGTAATAACCAGCATACAGTGCATTATATTAGAAATATTATTGTTTTTCTGGCTGAATATGTCTCTATCAAATGAGAACCTTTACTATATAACAAATTATCATAGAAATGATTGAACTAAAATTCATGTGGGAATATTTAAATCATGAATATAAAATATATCAATGATAACACAATTAAAATGTTTATCTGGCATTATTTACTGTATGAATTTTTTTTTATCAAAATTGTCACTGTATTGGAAATCATATATTCAGAAATGAAAATTCATTCACTGTCCCTGTACTTCATTTTTGAAGTCAATGTTGATAAATATTTCACAGTAAAAAACCAACTGAAAACTTTGACATTAGAAACAAGAAATTGCTTTTATATATGTATTGAAGATATATTGAAAATTTGAATTATCAGATCACGAGAAACTAGATATGTTACAAGTGCTACTGCTTATGAACTTATTTATGCACAATTTTTGTACCATTTTCCAACTTAGTTTGATGCAGCATCCTGACTGAAACAGGTCCAATTGACTGTATTTTGTGTGTATCAAGGGCATATGCACAAAAGTGTTAATGGTTGCTGAGCAGCTAATAAATTCGAAATCAAAAAATATAAATATATAAATGTATATTCAACGAGTACAGGAGTCTAAGTGTTATGGTAAAGGATGAAAGTTAACCCTATTATTGTCAACATATTTACTAGAAAATTCAGCCACAGAAAACGTACATAAACTATATAATCATTTATTGGTTGTTTTACTTTCAGTAGGCACGTCAAGTGTGCCGTCTTTAGGAGGGCAATCATCGTATCCCGAATACGTGTCGACGAATGACAAATTGGCGTGTAGTTCGGACACGTTGGGATGGCAATATACCCTAACAAGCGTGAAGATTGTACCAAAGATCGATATTTAGGGGGGTAAATATGCTCCAAAAATTGTCCTGACACTAAGATGGTTTCATGTGAGAGCAGTTAATCTTAACAATCTGGGTTCCAATCTGGCCATTACGTCACATGAATGAATGTACAAGTCTGGGGAAGAAGGCCTAACATTTGATAAATCTGAATGTTGCAAAGCCGTTTGTTGAAGTATGGATTGCTTACATGGATTATATTTAGGATTCGTTAAAATCAAAAAGTCATACCCACATTCACTTTTTTTACTAAATGAAATGAGTAGATTAAAATATTAAGACCGGGCAACCAGCATTCTTCATCGGATTACTGACTGTTTTTTTGGAGACCAGTGAAGATTACAAATTAAGTTGGGTCAGCCTGAAACTTATGATATATAACTCGTAATTAAAGCTAAGATCTAAGAGTTGTATTCAGGAAACATTGTAAAAGGGAAATTGTAGTTTAAGTGTAACCTATAGATAAACTGAAATTTCACTTATCCAAATCACTTATTACAATACAAGGAAAATCTGCCCTGGATTTCACAAGCGAACTAAAGTGTGGATTGTAATCTATCAGAGATTGATTAATAATTCATTAGTTTGAACAGATCTTTACTAGGCTAATTACATATTGTAGACGGACCTTACACCCAAGTGTCTCGGGAACATAAGCATCAAAATATATAGGAATAAAGTCATACGAATAGAAGTGGCGGAACCAGGTTTCCGTTCGAGAGGGGGCGAGATATCTGAGATTGCCGGAATCTCTAACCCAGTTATGAGATTTTTGCCCGATAAACTTGCTTTAGGGGCCGCGATGGGGGAGTGACAGCCCCCTTTGGCTCCGTCACTGACGAATAGGCCTACATATCGAATGGTAGAAATCAATTTTATGTATATCAAAACTCCAATCCAGCTAGGTTTGCATTTACTAAGGAGACTACTTGGGCTTGACCATAACATCTCCATGGTAGAATGTAACTAACTTTCAACGAATAGCCACAACAATTTTACTGATAGACTAAAAAAATGTTACCGGTAGTTGCCGAAAAACAAGACAATGCGATTTTTTAAAAGTCATGTCAATGAGTCTGGCGGATTAAACTTAACCAAATAATTTTTGGAAAAAAAATTGTTGATACCCCTATATATGGAAGTAGCTGAACAAGTTGTCTTTTTTTTCATTTCTACGAATAATAAACGAGAATTTTATATAATTACAAAAAAAAAAATTTGGAATTAATGACGTCATTTGATTGACAGTTTGATTTAACTACCTGTAATTTGAAAACGTGATAAATTTCTCAATAAAGGATAAAACCATATAAAGTCAAGTTACGGGATAAGAAGCCACAATAATTTATAATGGAAATGTAATATGCAGTTAGCTTGGATTGGAATAATTACTGTTTTAAAGTGAAATTTGTCGGCATACAAAATGCAAGGTTTTACTTTTATAATATGCTTGGTAAGTTTATTTTCTATCGTCAGCATTGCATTTTTTCAACATTTATTCCATTAGCTTATAATTCTTACACTACTTGCCGATAGAACTTAATTTCAGCGACATGCATAACTGTTAATAATTAGGATCCGACATGAGGTTTGAATTGCGATCAGGGAATTCTTACAGATAGGCTATCATCCACCTGAATAAGATAGAAGGGTCGATCATATAATTATGCAGGATTCTCCCTGGGTTAACGACGTCACAGGAATTACTGGTTCATTAACGTCATAAACCATATTCCCCGAGAAAATCGAACCGTGGCACCATGATTGACTTTATTCTACCTTTCATGAATATATGGAACCATGGCAGTAGTTTTTAAAATATTGAGGATCGATTTAGTTTTTGATGAAATTTTGTGTTGTTTCATGCATATTTATTCTATTAAGCGTTGAATATATTTGTTAATAAAACAATAGACAAAGCCTGTCAACTATTAATCCTATTAAATTTATCTTTTTAATCTAAATATATTTAAAGGTAATTCTTATTGTTGAAGTCACATCCAGTGAATTTTTAAAAAGATTATTAAATCACACAACGACCTATCCTTGTAATGTAAGTAAAATTCTCTTGTAAATGTACGAGCTTACTTAATTCAATTCCTTTTTATACGCCCACATGAATATGTGGTGGTATATTGTCGTCGCCCCTGTCCGTCGGTCCGTCGGTCAACATTTCTTGTGAGCACTATAGAGACTCAAGTTTTCATCTGATTTTGATAAAACTTGGTGTGATGCTTTAGATTGATAAGATCTCGGTCAAGTTCGAATTTGACATATTTCCGATGAACGGTTTTTGAGATATTGCCCTTGACTTTGTTAAAACGCGTCCAAAATTTTTCTACAGTTTTTAACCGATTCTGATGATCTCGGACAAGTTCTAACTTTCTAACATTCTCGATGAACGGTTTTTGAGTTATTCCCCCTGACTTTGTAAAAAAGTGTCAAAATTTGTTCGTGAGCACAATAGAAACTACAGTTTTCAACCGATTCTGATGAAACTTGGTGTGATCATTGAAATAGATAAGATCTCGGACAAGTTCTAACTTGACGCATTTTCGATGAACGGTTTTTGAGTTATTGCTCTTGACTTTGTAAAAACGCGTCAAAATGGAGTCAGGGCTACCTCATACGTCTTGTCAAAATGTGTTCGTGGGCACTATACAAGCTACAGTTTTCGAACGATTTTGATCAAACTTGGTATGGTCATTGGAAATAATAAGATCTCGGAAAAGTTCTAACTTGACGCATTTTCGATGAACGGTTTTTGAGTTATTGCCCATGACTTGGGTTATTGATATTGATTTAAAAAAATTTTGTGAAATTACTCAGCATAAATAACTGGCATATAATTTATATATATAAATGAATTCAAACTATTAAAATATCTTCCATATGAGAAAATTCGTACAATTGGACTAAAGTCTGTTTTATCACTTCTGACAGCTGCCAGAGGGCGTATGTTACCATTCCTTGCAAGCTATCTTCATCTAATATATTCAAATTTATTCTCAGTTTTAAAAGGTTGACATTACGACTTTTTTCTTGACAAAAATTCCTTTTTAAATTTTAGCACATGGATCCAAAATACTATCCAATCATGTCAACAAGGAAGAAATTTTCCAAATCCTACTTCTCTTGAATGTCACCTTGTAAACATTCTGATATCACCGTTTTTTATAACTTAAGCTAAAGCTTGGGTGTGGTGTGGAGTACATGAAATATTAAACGAACCAAGATTTTGACTTTTCTTTCCTTAATAGACCCTTTCACGAATATTTTATAATGACGGGTCTGACGTGTTTACTGACGTACTGACGTGTGACAGAGACCTTACTCAATGTTTTAGTGATAAAAATAGTTTACCCTTTTTTCAGAATATAAAATGTCCAGGGAATAAACTATGTATATTAGAAGTTAAAAATAAAACATGTTCAGGATGTACTGTCTCACCCCTTTGTATATCTTCAGGTTAGTAAGATTTGACATTTCATTTTATCCCCTGTACAGCATTGATTTAACCTTTGTTGTGTTTTTGTTATAAGTCACAGAGTATATAGAGTACGGAGATCCTCTAATTATAAGTCCAGTTGGTGAGCTCATCGCAAAGCAACACCCAGCAATATGGCCTATAGAAGAATAATTATGTGTTAGAAGTTTGTCTTATATTCTGTTCACTATAGAAATTGTTAAAAACATATAGTACAGAAAGTCCGCATGGACAGACAGAAATCTTCACATTATATATAACTTCACAAAATTCAATAAAAATAAATTACTCTGTATACTGGTGTAACATATAATGTTGATAATAGCGAATAGCCAAACTTAACGTCTAAAACCGTTAAAATGCTTTTTAAATTATGTTTGTTCATCTTGTCTCATTTTCAGATAAGCTTCCAGTATCAGAATGTCCAATAGAATTTCCTATAGTTAACACAAAATCGGACACCATTGTTCCTTTTCGCTGCTATCACGATGGGGATTGTCCAAGTGGAAGTTTTTGTTATGGGAAGGAAATGAACGGAATATGCTGTTCTGGATCATATTCTATCGGCAGACCTTTTCTTCAAAAAATGAAACATTTCATTGCCAATATCAACGATCATAATCTTCTGAATCTGATGGAAATTATTCTTCAGAAAAGCTTTCAAAATAAAGATTCAGGAAAACTTGGAGGTTCTGCAGTCAATTTGAAATTGAACCTTGATAAATCGTTAAAACAAATTGACAGCTACGAGAAAGTTGAGAACTCAACATTTCAAGACAAATCTCCGATTGATTTTAGAGCAGGAACTCACATAAACAGAAAAAAAATCGTCTATTTCAAACATCGAAATCGTCGATCACCAAATGGGTTTTATGATTCTCTTCATCCTTCTGAACAAGGGTTGGAAGGTAAGTGGACAAATAGTACAGGTTACGGATTAGTATTAGACTGAAAGAAATTAATTGTAATATATATAATATAGAAAAAGGACAAAAAAAAATCTGTATTTCGCATAGTTAATTAGACTGACACCATTTAAGATTTATTGTAAATCTTGAAGAAACAGCAATTATTTTTACTTTTTCAGTTCCTTTAGATAAGCCTGGAGAATGTTCCAATGTAAGGCTAGGAAAATGGTCCGGTGGTTGTATGGACACGTGTTTTAACGATGCAGATTGTTATAGTAATTTAAAATGTTGTTTTAATGGCTGTGCCAGAAGTTGTCAGTTTCCAATAGTCAACTATAATCCTGATATACCATCTAAGAAACCAGGCAGGTGCCCGAGATTATCGTCTTTTGGATTATCAGATTGTACTGGTAGTTCGTGTACAATGGATACAGATTGTCCAGCCGATGATATATGCTGTAATTCTGGAGACTGTGGTCGTATTTGTCAGCATCCGATTCCAAATAGTCCTTATTGGTGACTCAAACGCAACTTGTTTTTTACCAATGTTAGTTTTCTTGAACAATTAAAATATAGCCTCTATCATTCAGTCCCTACAGCTCCGACGAATAGGTCCTCGTTTGGGCGTCAGAGACTATTGAAATACTGTGTGCGATGACTGAGATGTCCATACTCTAGATTACACTTGGGTGAGGTGAAACAAACATAAACGATCTAAATGGTTCATGCCCTTTATTTAAATGTAATGCGGGACCTGAAGTTTTTTCAAGTAGAGTTAGGCAAGGTAAATCTTTATTTATAATATCTGAATTTTTTTCATTTAATTTATTAGTTGTACATTAGAAGAAATAAATAATTTTATAAACATTTGTCCTTTCTGAAATAAAAGGCGACATTCACAAAATATGACTACTGACGTTTCATTATACAATACAATCTTATTTTAAAAAAATTAGATAACATTTATTTAGATTGTAATAAACGTCCTATGCAATGCCGAACTGGCGAAATATAAAACTGTTAAGACTACAAATAAACTACCATCCATTAACTCCCTTCAATAGCTCTTTAACGCAGGGAGATAAAAATACCCCTCCATGATCAAAGGACAACAAATAATACAAATGAAATTCTGCGATTTTTAAAGAAATTTTAAAGATTTTGGCCAGAGTTTCAGGGAACGAAATGACTGATTTGGAAGAAAATGGCCAGTTGCTCCAAGCTGAAAGAGAAGAAACGGTAAGACTGTCTTTGATTTAAATTTGTAAGAAGATTGTAATTTGCAATCAATCATGCTCAGATTTGGTGTCTCCCTTTGGCGAATTTCTCAAGCTTGAAATTGCATTAAATTGCATTAAATATGACATGTTGGTTTTGTAATTAATGCAAATAATGTTTGATTAGATACTGTTAATTACATTTTTTTCTTTTAGGAAGATGACATCATATCAGAGGAAGAATTGAACAAAAGAAGAAAATATTTAGAGGATTTAAAAACTTTCCTAACCGAGCAACAGGAAAAGATTTCTTTAACATTAGAGCAATTAGGTTGGACACCAGAACATTTTATAAAGGTAAAAAATATGGTATTTTGTATTAAATCATACATTTAATGGCACATGAAGGTTTTTTTTTGATAAGCATTTGATAATCTTTTCGCAATTTGATAACTAATAATAACAGATATTAGTTGGATGTTAACAATGACAGAGTTCTGATGTTATATGTGCCCTTATTGTATTTCAGCCTCAGAATAAAGTGACTTGTCCTTATAACCCTAGTCATATTCTACCTGAATCTAGCCTAGATAAACATTTAGAAACTTGTCAATGGCTATCTAAAGGAGTACCTAGATATCAGTTGGTGAGTCAATTGTTTTGTTTAATGCTTCAAACTTGAATGTCTTATGATATGATATTTTGTTTTTTTGACTGACCTGGCAGCTATACTTCCTACAGAGCCTTGTTATTCTTAGGCATTTGAGCTGCCCTATTGCCCTATTGGTCGTGTCTGGAAATTAGAGTCAAATCAACTGCTCTGGTCTAAAGGTTTGATGATATTTTTGAATTCATTTTAGTTTGAAAATTGTGTGTTACATGAATTTTTTATTTTCCGATAGAGAGATGTTTTGGGTGAAAAAGAAAGGTTGAAAAATACACCAATTTCAACAATACAGTTAGGTAAATGGATCTTATTCTATTCTTTCTGTTGATGTATAGTAGTGGTCAGAAATGCTTGGATGTATAAGTCTATTTTGTTTCAATAGAAAACTTAATATATTAGTTCTTCCCAACTGTTATTTAATATTTTTAGATGAATGTAAACTAAATGGTATTCTATGGAATAAAGCTGTTAAATCAGGTCAAGGTGAGTGGAATCTACTTAATACTATATGGAAATTTACTTAATATTAAACATTAGCTGGGCCTTGATAATAATATTCAAATTTTTTTGTTTGATAAAAAATTATATTACGGTGTCTCTAATGTCATAAACCAGAAATGAATTTATTCCTTATTTGAAATTAAAGTTTTGAACATAATCTTCAATGTTGCCAACTACCCTTGATAGTTATTTGAAGCTGTATATTTTTCCATTTACAGTGTACACTGGTCAAAGAAAGCTACCTGTAACACCAGAAGATGATTCTATCATTTTAACACCAGATGAGAGACTGGCAGTGCATGAATATGTAGTCTCTGAAGCCCAGTCTCAGGGCATTATGATGAATGTTGAAAAAGATGAACATTTGACAATAGATTGGCAGAAAGTTATAAAGAAAGGTATGAGATAGTTTTAATAAGTTACTGACAAAAAAGCAACAAACAATCTTTTCTATAGATGTCCCAAGATACTTTTCTTTGGTTGTAAACCCTCATTTTTGAGATGTCCTTTTTTGATTAAAGCAAGTCTCGTTTTGATTATTTTATCGAAGCAGAGATCACAAAGATTTCGATTTTCATCCCATGTGTTTTCCAGGTGTATTGGAGAGTGAAACCAGTGATAAGTTAACTCCCTTGGAAAAAATGCAAGCATTGAGAGATTTTAAACGCAGGAGGCAGAAATATCGAGCTAAAAATGTTCATATCACCAGAAAATCTTATACAGAGGTAAGATTTTTTAGGGCTGATTTTGGTCAGATTTTATCAACTTATCAATTCACAGTTTTAGTAATCCTAGACTAATATGGTCAATATTTTATTGGACAAAATATATCGATAATTCATTGTGTTTTTATAGGGGTTTCTTCAATGGCTCTCAATAGTCAAAGAAAACACATAGTTGTGTCTAGTAATTTTTTCAAAAGTTTTATTGGAAGTCAGTAGAAGTTAAGTAAAACATATGTTTTCTTTCAGATAATCAGAGAGGTGATATCAAACCAGGTAGAAATGTGGGGTGCCGAGGAGAGTGGGGGGGAAAATGTGGATGATGTAGAGGTAGTAGAGGGTATGGATTCAGGATATTTGAACAGAGAATCCAGAGGAAGCCAAGATTCATCAGGTTATGGTCGAGATTCAGGGAGGGGTTGGTCTGATAGAGAAAGGAATGACAGAGGTAGGGATAGAGAGCCTGATAGAAGGAGGAGCTACAAAGATGACAGAGATAGGGGATCTTATTGGGGCCAAACCAGGGAATCATCCTACAGGGATTCAAACAGGGATCAATCCAGGGAATCGTATGGGGATTCAAGCAGGGGCCAATCTAGGGAATCAAGCAGGGGCCAATACAGAGAATCATCTCATAGGGAACAATCCAGGGAAACCAATAGGGATTCAAAGAGGGTACCTGACAGAGAAAGGGAAAATGAACGGAGAGATTACGAAAGGGAGAGAAGCAGAAAAAGGGAAAGAGAGGGAAGTAGGGAAAGATCAAGATCATCAGACAGAAGACCTCCAAAACGTGAGAAATATGAAATGTCCCAGATGAAGTCAGAAAGAGAGACAACTCCAATGGTGGACCATGAGAGAGAAGATTCCACTAGTAAAACATCACATAAGGACAGGTAATGACATTATATGATTCAAATGTTTTGGTATCCAAAAAGTAAATCCGAAGTTCTGATGAAAACTTTGACTTTCTGACCTACATTATCATTGCCTGCATTACATGAAAAAAAGTCAATTTTCCTGGTCTATGTGAGGTTAGAAATGAAGTCTTTTCAGTTAGATTTTCGATTTTGACTCCAAATTTTGTAGTTCGCTCTGATTACTGGTAATTGTTTTTTAAATTTCTTGGTTTGAAAAAATCTTGCACAGTTGTCTTGTTTTCAGATATCAAGAAGAGTCCAGTTCCAGATCACACAAGAAATCTAAAAAACACAAACATAAAAAGAAGCACAAGAAACATAAAAGCAGAAAAAAATCTTCAAGTTCCAGTGATTCAGAATCTCCTTCTTAGTGGCTCAGTGCTGTTTAAGCCAATATCCATGGACATGTCTCAATAAAGAAATCATATTTGATGGACATCACCAAATAACATTGCTTGCACCTTGGTATATACTGTCATAAGTTATATCATAGCATGTTATAGCTCAAGTAATATGATTCAGAATCTCCCTCTTAGTGGCTCAGTGTTGTTTAAGCCAATATCCATGGACATGTCTCACATATCATATATCAAGTAATATGTCTAGGAATTTTCAGATGCAATGCTCAGTATCATTATAATGTCAATATGAAGTCATTCAACTGCAGTTGTATACTAACAGTATATTTTGCTAATCAATGAGCTGTAGAGTTGTCTGATGCAACACCTAGTGCCATTAACTAAGCGACTGAAAGAAAGCACTCCTATCTATATGAACATGAAAATAATAGAAATAAAACACTCTACATTATTTGAATATTTAATTATTTTTTTTGTTGATGTTAAGTTTTTGTGTTTAATTAAGAAATATATTAATTAATTATAAACATTAATTCTCTTTGTTAATGACAAATTTTTACTAGAAATATACAATCAATTTTTCATATATTATTTTTTTCATTCACAGAACTTTTTCACACTTTCATCAAATTTACACATATATCACTAGATTACAAGTATTTCACAAAAATTTTAAAACAGGTATAGCTGAAATGAACTTGTTTCAGCTAAGGGGATCAATTTTCAGAATCAAAATTGAAGTTGCAGTTTGTCTGTAAATAAAGAACAATGTACCAGTGACAACAACACTTTCACAATCTTGGTTGTCAGTCTCTGAACATAAACAATATTTATATTACGTTATTGATAATCACTGCTTTTAAGAACTTTGTAAAAGCCTATTCTGAGACTGTTGTCCCTTCAGCTGGTATGTTTCTTAAATTACGAATAACAAGTGTAACAAGCTTGTTTCCCTGATGATGTAATTTTGCTCAGAAAGCATATTTTTAAACAACTATATTCCTCAGCAAATTAAAAAATTGTTTAAAAGATGAAGACAGTGGTTTAAGCTAAGGAATAGAATTGTGATAGAAGTTAGTGAGAATTAATAGGAAGTGAGAAATACAGAAGTACTACTGTCTTCACAAAGGCATTATGTCTTCCTTCATCTTATACCTTGACTGCAATGGCTCACTTTCACGCACAGCGATTTCATTGGATTGTACGCAAGTGAACACAGTCAATCAGATTATATTTTACATTCTTTTTGTCGAGGGGTCAGTTGGGTTGTTTTCCCTAGCGTGCTTTCCAATAAAATTGTTGCATTCAAAAACTTTTGAGAAACAAAGTGGGCCATTGCAGTCAAGGTATAAGATGCAGACATAATACCTTGACCATTGTGAAGATGTTGACTACTAGGAATGCTACATTACAAGCAGACAGTCCATTAGATAATTTACACAATTTTTGATTCATATAAAAGAAAGCTTTTTTATTGGCTAACATGGTTAAAAAGCATTATCACATGTTACCAAATAAACTGATTTGAATAAGCTTATGGCAACATCACTCAATCTCAAAATACAATGAATATCATTAACAAGTTAAAGATAAGCTACAGTTTTGCCTTATGTAGTCATAGGGGTTTGCTCAGAAAAACAAAAATTCTTAAAAACAGATTATATAGAAAAGAAAGTTTCTATGATCATGAAGTTTTTCATCACTAAATATCCATCAAATTAACTGATGAACTTTAAGTATTCAGGTGAAAAATTAAAAACAGAAAGTATCACAGTCACAAACCTTGTTGGACAAGTCAAGTCACATGATGAGGTCACATGATAACCATATATGGAATGTAAATTACAATTTCAAAGCACATCTGGATAATATTGAGTACTGGTAGTTTTTGCAGGTAACTGTATGTGATTAAGGTATTGGTTGATATGATATAACTATTTGTTCCATAATTTTACTGAGCACCAAGCCTGGAATCTGTTGCAATTTCAATCTTAATAACTGCAAAAAAAACTTGACATAGCACTAATTCTAACCGGTATAACTTGTTTTTGGTGGTTTTAATTGCAATAGTTTCTTCATGTTTTAAAAAACAATTGTCCTTTAAAATTGTGCCACAGTATATATTATCATCAAACAGAACACAGCAACATTACTCTATATTAAAACATATTTCCATTTTATCTTAATTCATCCACTTTTCTTGTACATTTGACTTATTTTCATCTTTCAGCAACAAAATAATGGCAAATGTGCAATTTTCCAGAAACTCAAACTACTTTCAGAACTCAGTTTTTGAACACACATTTCTTCACACACATTGTTACACTTTAATTTGACCTTTGTGTGTGTAAAACACCATCTTCATTAGACTGATCAGGTGCTGACATGAAGGACATAAAACTTCATTCATGTCAATTTGTTTCACACAATCACAGAATTATCGCACCAAGAACTCAAACCCATGTTTCAAACCTCAGCACCAAGATCCATGACTCCAGCGTCTGCTACTGGCACATATCGTTCCCCAATCTGCACTAATAATATCGTTTTATCAACATGAGATCGTTTATTAAGGTCACGATGTCCAGGTAACCATCGATGTACCACTGTCCCTTCAACACCTTTAGATGGTCGCCAGTCATTCCAAGAATTTTTACCACCATTTTGTTTCCAATCGTCATTTGGCCACTGTACATCAATTCTTCGTCCCAGATTTAAATTGTCGTAAACTTGATTAGGATCCATTATCTAAATCAATATAAAATACAGAATTTACTTATTTTATAAAAAATTTAAAGAAAGCTGACTAAGTGACTGAACAGTGTGGCACTGAGGTGATTTGAAATATAATCTGGCGACCTTTAATAAGTCATCTTTCCTTATTATTCAAGTCCATCCAGTTGTAAATGGGCATAGATCAATGCCAAGAGGTTTGTCAAAGAACAACTGGAAGTTATTATCCTTGTTAACAATGCTTATTATATTAAGCTAAAACTGACACTAGAAAAGATGATTCAATCTTACAGCTAAGATTCTTGCCATGTATGTAATTATATCCTTCACAATCATCAAAGCAGAGATAAAATTACAAAAAAAACTTACATACCCTGACTCTATATGGTGTTATATCTTTATAAGATGACGGATCCACTATAAGGTTAGCTAATGAAGCTAGAGCACTGGGTTTACTTGCTGAACTAGCTGTAGATATCAAACTACCACGGTTACCTAGATTCTGCAGAGGAATTTCTTGACCCTGATTGGTTGGAGTAGAAACTGAAATTTTAAAACAAGAGTAAATTGGATTGAAATTTTCAAGAAAATGGAGCTTGCATTTAATACCAATGGAATAAAAAGGAACCCATGATTTGGATAGAATGAAAATAAAATGTTTACCTTCTTCAGATTTGCCCAGGGTAGCTACTGCCACCTGTTGGCTATGACTAACTGTATAAGGGAGATCATCATGGAACGCTGAACTTCCTCCAACACACGTGGTGTCACATTGGTTACGTAATCTGAAATGAAATGAATTGAAATGATTGGAGTATAATTTGACAAGAATGGATTTATGGCTTGATATTGAAATGATATGAATTCTATCAGGCTGTTAAACATCTACAGTTTTAGTAAAAAAACTGAATTTCAACAACATAATTGTAATGAACGTAAATAACCAATTACTTTGCCAATATTTCCTAAAAATCTGGATTTAGCAAAAATAAGGCCCCTGATAAAAAAGGAACACAAGAAATACACACTAATCAGACTTTTACCTTCTCCAAATTCGATGGAAGAATCGCTTGACGTTAGCTAAAATAAATTCACCGCCAATCTGTTCATGTGTCGAGGAATAAGATGTTGTCAATGGCGACACGTAGATAGGATACCCAATAGGTTGATCACAAGAGGAATTTATCATATTCCGTAAAGCTTGTTTAGCATTCTGTATACTGCCTCGTTCTGGATTACGGTTACGTAAGAATATTAATTCTTGTTGTTGTCCGGCCCATAATCCTCTCACACATTCACGATTGACCTAAAATAGTGAGAAAAATCATATAATTTTCAAATGCCTAGAATCCTACAATACAATAATCATTCGCAAAGATCATTTGAGTTTAGTTTTATACACGGCTACAACTACAAATAATCTTACATCTAAAGTCTGGTGCAGAAAAAAATCACATGCTTACATCACTGATTCTGGTAGCTACAGAGAAGTTGGCAAAACAAATTAGCATGTTGTGATAATATAATGCTATCAAATATCCCTCGGCATTCTGTCATAAGATCTGACAGTGTGCCATATATAATATTCTGTCTCAGTTGAAATTACTAGATGATGAAAATCCAGTATCCTACCTTAACAACTCTAAAACTAAGATATCTTTTATTTAACATAATAATTTTATATTCATCAGAACCTTCATCAAAAACATGTCTGAAATACAGGATAATAAACATCAAACTTTCAGTTAAATTAACATCAGGTACCTAACATGATTCATTGTGGGAGGCAAATGTCCCATTTAAGGTAATAATATTCATGATGTCACATGATATTTAACACACTTTCAAAAAACTCATTTTTTTACGGTTTGCTTAAAAAATATGAATAAAATAGAGTGCAGGCAAACCTTGTTTTGATTGGTTAAATGCGTCATATACAACAAATGGATAAAGTAAACCAAGACCCCATTCTTTTCTTGATAAGGGGTGCTGTTTAAACAATAATGGGTCTAATGATATTGATTAAATCTAGTAGATCTCATAAGTTTCTTACCTCAAAGCTAAAAGTGAGGAGACGTTTGATAAAACAGCGTTTCTCCAGGCAGGATCAGCTTCATGTGAGATCACCATATTGGATTCATGATTTGTGATGGCATCATACAAACATTCCACATCATCTTCTTCATCTGGTGACGTAAAATGATCCTAAAATACAGAAAAAACATTGGTCAAAAAAAGAGAATCCAACTTATTTCATGCTCAGAATATAATGTCTCTTTTATTCAAAAAAATATCTGACCATTTAAATTTTTAAAACATTTAAATTTATTAAAGGTATATTACAGGTAGTGGTCTTTGTACAAAGAAAATTCAATTTCGTGCGGTTCAATCACAAAGAAAAATTCTAATTCCACAACCAATAAAAAAAGTGAAAGTAGCATCGCTGCCTCCAATGAATAAGTATCTCTAACCTGATGTAACTTCAAAGACATTCTAATGGCAGGGGCAACAACTCTTCTCATCATTTCCATATCAGCAAATACCCATTCATCTCTGGGAGATGTGATACGGAAATCTCCTTTAAATAAGGCATGTAAACCATACAGGAAAAAATCAACACTGAAAAACAAAATGGATTCTTCAAAAATTTCTACATATTGATATTAAAACAGAAATTTTACAGATTGTTTCATGCCAATTCATGTTGTTTCACTTGCAGAGTTGAACCACTCTGTATCCATTTTCCTGTTTGGGTTGTTTCATGCTTAACTCACTTCCATCAGAGTTAAACCACTCTGTCTCCTTTTTCCTCTTTGGGTTGTTTCATGCTTAACTCACTTCCATCAGAGTTAAACCACTCTTTCTCCTTTTTCCTCTTTGGGTTGTTTCATGCTTAACTCACTTGCATCAGAGTTGGACCACTCTCTATCTTATTTCCTGTTTGGATTGTTTCACTTACCTAGCTGAAGCTACATTCTGTGAGGCAGCCCCTAGAGCTCTTCTACCCAATAAACTGAGACTATAACATAATGATACTAGATCACTGCCTTTCTCACAGTTTACACTCTGTAAATTATCAAACATATTACATTGATAAATAGTTCTAATGTCTGACAATGGAAAAAAAAAGTCTAGTTCTTTGAGGCCCCATGTGCTGTGGATGGTAAAAATTCCCCACTAGTAGAAAATCTAAAAAGAGACAACTAATACTTCTGTCCAATAAAAATTTTGCTCATTGCACACTGCATGACATTGTCCATTAGCGCAATCAGGTGCAAAAAAGTAGGACATAAAAATTTTTTCATTAAAATAACAACTTTCTTCTGATTAGGAATTGTAGAAGTTACCTACCTTGTCTCTTCTAGAAACGCAGTATTGTATCCAGCTATGATAAACTCGACAGAAACTGGTCCTTGATATACCAGACAGCTTTGGATCATAGTCTTCATCAACATGGATATTAAATGTAGGATCAAGGTCAACATAATCTTCATTAGTTGTGGTCTGTAGTGCCTCCATAATACTGGAGTTATCTAACCATTCTACCAACCTCGGAGAGCGGACTGTATAGTAAATTATACTCTAAAACAGAAGATTAAATTGTGATCATTAGATTATGCCAACTGTCCTAAAGTTGAAATTCTAGTTAACGACATCTGTAAACTGTCTAACAAAGCACAGTGTCAGTTGCAGCATATGATTGGTATGCAATTATCGAAGAAAATTTAAAGGTACGGGATCACACACAATGCAAGCATTATTATTATCCTACACCAGAAACCATGTCTTGTTTATTGGCCTCTTCTATCTTCTTCTGTATAATAGATAAAATGTCACACAACATTATTTCTGAAAGACAAAAGGCCTGCAAGCTATGCGTGTACTTGTTCAGCAACACTGATCAAATTGACAAGAGAATCCAAAATGTTTAAACAAATCACTCACCTTAATGTAGTAAGTTATTAAAACTTTTCGAAGATCAAATATCTGTAACATGGAAGCAGCACTATTATCTGAGATACTGTAACCCTCTAAGACATATTTGGTAACAACAACTTCCCAGGCCAACCAGCGCTGGTTGAAGGCTGTGTTTAAACTGAGAAAATGAGGTAGATGACCAGGCTCAAAACAACATAATCCTGAAAAACAAAACAAGATTTAAGTATTCGATACTATTACATCAGCCTAGCATCAGTCCTATTCTAAAACTACAACATTTTGTCTTACTTTCAGTGAATTATTGTTGACATGACATGTTCAGTAGAAAAAAACAAAACATTAAAAGACTTTTCCCCAATTCAATGCAAGATCTATTAAAGAATCTGGCTGCTGAGGTTCTTAAGTATAGGTAATGAAACAAAATTGTCCTTATCATCTGTTACAAGCCATGCAGTGTGCAACTTGTGAAATTTGGAAAAGGACAGCTGTAAAGTGTACAAGGGTAAAGGGAAGACATTTAAGAATCTTGACACTTGTGAGGGTAATTTAGGCTATATAATAGGATATATGTACCTTCATTATCTTCTACTCCTTCTGTTATAGCTTCTACTTCTCTCTGTTGACAATATGTCCCTACAATCAATATTGATGAACAAAATTATATCACATATTGTTATTGAAGGTTGCAAGGGAAAAGGTAAATGCTTGTAAAAAAGTAATTCTAAAAGACTGGTTGCCCATACAGCGTGGCAACCTAAACTACAAATATAAGGTCTATTACATACAGTCAGCTCGTTTAGAGGGCAATAACAAGCCCATCACTTTACATCAAAACATGTTATATCTAAATCAGTTCATCAACTCTTAAAATTCAGTAAGTTACATTACACTGTATATTGAACCTACCTCTAAATTCTAAACCACGAAGTTGAAATGTCACCAGACCGTTTCCAGTTTCTACGATATGTACTAGAGCATTGAGGTAATCTGAGGCCATAATAAAACAATCACCCTGGGTATAATTACCCCATCGTCCTAATATTAGATCTCCACATAAACTATGTTGTAGAGATCGGGTTAGATGTTCATAAAATATTGAGTTTAAATTATTATCATCTGCACCTACAAATAGAAAAATAAAATGAAATGAATAGAGTTTTACATCCTACTTGGGCTAATCGAGATGGGCAGTATGCAATAAGTGAAATTTTGCTGGGACAGCTGCTTTAGCTAAACACAGAAGAAAATCAATGTTAACCCTTTGAACACCAAATATCAGGAAATAGAACGTCAAGCAAATCAATCTAAGCGTATGAAGTTAATATTTGATGCAGCTTCACAGGTCTCTCAGTATTTCATCATGTAAATATGCTGCTTTGTTGTAAAGGTTAAGGAAAGAGGCAAACGATGACTTTAGAAATATGAGGATTTTGCTTTCAGCCTTTTCCTGTCATTCATTATTTTGAGTGTAATAAATTTGAGTTTTTTTGCTTTTATCACAAACTTAAGAGAAAAATTTTTACCTGGATTTCTATCTAACTGTGAGGCAAGTCTGGTATTGGTATGATCAACTCTCTTTGTACTGAAATACGAAAATAATATCAGTCACTACACACATATTCACAGGGCTATTAATTCAAAACATCATCTTTGGCAGATAATTCAGTGCTCATCTCAGAATTCTTTTTAACCAAGGTGAGTTGAAAGCCAGTTTAAATCTTTAAATATCTAACCCTAACCCAGACTGAAAAAGGTCAGTTGACTGAAGATCGTAAGCATGAAACTTTGAGTAATAACATGTTTTAAGTTGTTTAAATTCTTCTATTTCTTTATATATGCTATAAAAAAAAAGACGCCATTAAGAAGAAAATGTACTTACTTATAATCACGTTCCCAGAATTTAACCGGGCGTATATAGGAGGTTATAAATATGGCGCTACCCAGAAATGGATTTAATGGGGTAGAAAATATGGCTGATATTACAGCTTGTAAAAATAACATGGCAGAATCTACATCATAATGTTAAAGAATCTAAACTATTTTAATAAAAGGAATAAATTTGTTATTCCAGGTAGATTTAATATCACTCTGGTATCTTAAGATCTATCATAGACTTCTTAACAATAAATAGAGCAGAGCATTCTCTAACAGGAACCCACAGGCAAATGATAGCAAATAAATTCTGTGAAACTATTAGGCATTGAGTCTCCAAATTTCCATGAGTGGCATTTAGTAATCAGAGGGTAAATAACTGGCTTTATTATACATTGCAAGTTATATATCAAAGTAATCCATATAATTTGTGTAAAGTTATCTCAAGTCTCCAACTGGTTATGATGTCATATTTTGAAAGGATACGAGGTACACTAAATGGTTGAGCAAAGGCATGGAATGCTGAGCCCCAGGTGATCTGCCATGGAGCTATATAAGTTATAATAAACTTCATCTTTAATACCCAATCACAAAACTATAAAATATAATAGAGAATATCATAATGATAGGTATAGCATAAAAGTTAGTTATGTATAAAATCTAGATCTTAATCTAGTAGACAAAGATGAAATTGAAGACAAACAGTTTGGTGGCTCAAATGAGTTTTGTTTCAGGCAAGTCAAAATTGATAATGGGATGTGGTATACAATGAAGGAAACTTCAAAATGTTGTCAGTTCATTGATGTGCAGTCTGTAGAATGGTGGCATCTGTTTATTGACCATTCCATGTCAGCCTCCCTGACCTGCAAACTGATAAAGGAAACATATTTTCTCTGCCGAAGCCTAGATTAAGCCACAGACCTTCGTTAAGCAGGCAAGGATCTATCGAGCAGAATCATCCACACGAATTAATACATCTGCCATGTCTAATCAATATACACATTATAACTAATTATACAAAAAATACAACAAACCTTATTAAAGAAGATGGACATGAAGAAATAATCAATAAGAAAGGTTTCTGATGTTGTACGATGGTCGTATTTAAAGAAAAATATAGTAAATGTTAATATCATATATTGTCTTGGTGTGTCACTGAATGCAAATCTCAGCAGTTTCAAACCACATATAACTATTATTAATGGCCCCATACTGAAAATAAAAAATATGTTAACATTTAATATCAAACATCTTAATTATTACATGTAAAGTGTGTGGCCATTAACAAATATATCTGGCGAATTCAAATCTACAGCTCTATACTTCGTTTAATTCATTTCTATGGGTAAACCACAAATAAAGCAATGAGTTTTAGGTCATACGTTGCTGCACCTAATTAGGCAGATGAAGACAAACAAGTGAAGTGTGCAATGAGAGAATTTTTGCCAGGACAGGGGCATTAGCCTACTCTTTTACGATTTCTAGCTTAAGATACCCTGACAAAAGTCATCTCGTTTCAACTAAAAATTACTATTTAGTACAAAACCAACTGCTCTGATCTAGGAATTTTAGGTGGTAACATTTCAGTTAAGTAATGTTACAAAAGCACAGGCATACAGGAGATCTAGGGATGTTTCATACTGTACTTACTAATGTTTAAATTTACAGGTTATTGAAGGTGCTGATGTTGTCAAGGCACATAAACAAACCACAGTATATAAACAATTTCTCTCTATAAATCTTAACCATAAATATAATCTTTCAAACCACATTATCTTGGCTGGTTCTGAAAAATAAATAATATATAATAATCATTATATAGAATTCATCATTGTTTAGTCCATGTCACTCTTTAAAATATATTTAGGCAGTGGCGGAGCCAAAGAGGGGCAGAGGGAACAGCCGCCACCCTCAAAGACCCGAAAGCAATTTTTTCGGGCAAATATCTCATAACTAGGTTAGGAATTCGGACAATCTCAGATATTTCGTCCTTCTCTCAGACGCAAATCTGGCTCCGCCACTGTACTTGAGATATGTAGACGGAAAAAAAATCTAAACATTTTGAGGTAACAATAGATCTTTTATTGAGCTCCAAAAGTACCACTTAACATGCTTTATAATATATTACTCATGTAATGTCAAGGCTCAAGCTAGGTAAGCATTTGTTTTGCTACGTACGGCAGACAATCTTAACACAAAACCTCTATAATTTGAACGTAAGAAGTCAACACTTTGGTACAATAATTGCTTTGATGATCACTATCAAAGAAAGAAATTTAAAACTTACCTTTAACTTCAAAATAATTCCTTTCTTTACTTTGTAAAATCGGATGTGAACAACATAACCAGGGCATTTCTTTACGTAACATTGGAATTATATAATGTATTATAAATCCTACACTAGCTGCTAGTAGATATAGTATATCACTCAATACAGGCTGCAATAAATATATCAATTAATATTTTGAGGACTTCAGGACGACATTTTACTTTGTATTGTATGTCATATGAATAACAACACACCTTGGTGATTTTCAGCAGATCTGTTTTGATATTTTTTCGATCCAGAGCCATTGACTAACTCTTTTACTGTATACCTAGCACAGCCTGAAGCATCTGGTCTCTGTTTATTGGTCATCCCAACAACTAGATGCTTTCTCCAGTAGGAGATAAGAAATATACAGGACTCAAGCATATAATGGTTATTTGAATTATTATACTTACATGTAAAACTGGGCTAGTAAAAACAGTACTGACATGTATAGCAAATACTAATATAGTCACACATACACATACTATCATATCAGACTGTAGCCGTTCACTCTACAAAATAAATATAGTAACACACTACTGTGAATACTCCACAATATAAAGGAAATTCTGATACCACTGCAAGTGCTTCAGAGAATCTGGTGTTAGCATTCAAAAGTTGTTAGATATCAGCAAATCCAACATCATGCCTAAAACAAGCATTACTGATACTCAACACCCATAATTGGTGCCAGCAGACTTGTAACCATGAATGAAAACTCATATGGTTTTTAAACATCTGGGAAAGTGTGCCTGTGTCTCTGCTTTGGTAGCATTGCTTAAACCACAATGTTTAATTTTAAAGGGGAAAATACATTAAGTGAGACTTACAACACAAGTTTTAAGTTTATCTGGTAGCGGATCTATTAAATCTTCTGTTTCTTTTCCTTCTTTTTCTTTCTCTTTTTCTTCTGTTTTAAAAACAGAATCTTTAATAAACATCCTGTAAGATAAAACAATGAATCAGGATTGACAATATAATCAATTATGTTAAATAATGGGAACGCAATATTTTGGTATATTACTCCCGAGTTTGAAATGATGACAATGTTAATTGTTGAAACTTTGTGTTTATAAAACTTAGGAGCATTGTATCCCAAATATGGGTTTTACATTGAAGATTACTTAATATTTTCAAATTTATTAGGATATTTATTGTATTTCTTTATTTTTTCCTTGTGATGTATTCAAACTTACAATATCAAATCAAGATTACAGATTAGAATCAACTTACCACAATATACTGGGATCACTGGCACTTCTACTCAGATGATACGAAACAGAAACTAGAACTGCTGAGAAGATGGAAAAGATGGGATTCTGAGCTGCCTCAATATCTACCTGTTTATTACAAGGATATCGACTGCTACCAACATCCTACAACAAACACATATAGTTGTCAATTTTCACATACCACCTGTCTTTGTGGTATATAGACAGCCAACCAGGGCCCTAGTTAGAAAGACTGTTGCTGCCTGTGTAACTACTAGTGGAGGACTATATTCACTAGCGTACAATCCAATCAAATCACAGCATATACAAACTTCTGTGATACAAGAAGAGAGCCTAATGATGCAAACGTTTGAGATGGAGATCGTAATAACTCTATGTTGTGAAGAAGATGTAGGAAGAATTCAGTAGATGTTTACCTGTAAGGCTGCGAAGGCGAAACCATAAAGCAGAGCAACAGCAATAAAACTTCTACATATACAATACACTGAGGAGATCAAGCTTGTGGTTGCTTAAAATAGAAATCAAATCAAATATTTATTGTTATGTAGAGTTATTGTTAAAAAATCCTATTTATCTTTCTTTCTTAGTACTTTAAAATCCCTGTACTGTTTCTATAAGGTAATTGAAGGGAGTAATCTTTGTTTTATGTACCTTATTGGCTTCTATCTTAAAACTAAGAAAATAATGAGAACAGTTCAGTTTGAACTCTATCTAAATTCAAGACACAATTAAATATAAAAACACATTGTAAATATCAAAACTGGCTTACCATTTCCTCCAAAGAAGTTCATGTCTATCTGCTCTAATACGAACATGATAAAAGTATTAACTTGAGGTAGGAGGCCCAGAGTAAATATAATAGGGAAACATAAAATAAATACTGAAATAGAAAATGATAGCTTAAATACACAACATACTCAATAAAAAATGAAAATGAATGTCTTTTTTCTTCCGATAGTAAATTCATATAATGTATATTTGTGAGTACAGCGCACAGTTTTTTACCCTAAAAAGAGCTTGTCAAACTCCAGATACACATTATAAACAGTGACAAAATCTTTTGGAATAATTCAGTGGAGACTTAATTCTTCACAATGGGAGTTTGAAAAATTTGTGTATGTCTGACTCATTGGAAATATTTCCACAGGTGCATAAATACCACTAAAAGGCTAAAATTTGTGAATTCCTTGACAAACTGACTGTTAAATTGGGCTATTTGTTTATTTAAGAACTTGGGTAATGGGTTCTAGAAAGTTATATTGTATTACCTTTGAAAAGATGTGTAGTGAATATTAGAGAGGACTTCACTGGAAACGAAATTCCATATAAGGTCAAAACTTCATTGCCAGCGACCTGACTACAGTAGTTTAACAATAACAATAATCCACAAAATAAACAGAAATAAAATGGACGGCTAAAAACAATGAGTCGATTGTATCCCTGAAATAAAAACAGCATCATCAATTTTATGTCAGCCATTCAAATCTATCTGTAAATAAATCATCTTCACTCATACATATTTTCCCACCTATTCCTCTCTTCGTCATTTTAAATACACCTACTGTACCTATCAGTTTTATGGCACAATTAGATGCGTTTTATTGAATGTCGGATAGTTTTTGTGAATCCCAAACCTGCAGAACTGACTAATCCAGCTGCCTGCTATTTAACATATTAGACCTATTAATACTTACATGCATTGGTGAAGCAGCATCTGGTTGCACGCTCTGAAAATGAAAGTAAAATTATGTAAATGAAATTCATTTTCTATTTCTTTTCTCCTGATAGAGTTAATGATTCAGTGTGCATCTAGGAAATTGTCAGCTGTCAAGAGATCTTTAAATCCTGTAACACATGGGGCCTTGTTTTAATTGTCCCATTTGAACTGAAATGAAATGAATGGAGTTTTACATCCTACTTTTCTGCACCAAGTGTATTATCCTGTTTGAATAACTCCAACAACCCATGTGTCAGCCATAATGACCTGTAGTACCGACACAACATTTTCAAACACCATCTAAAAAGCCAATCTATATTGAAACACCTACTAATCCTAATTCTACTAACAATTTAAAACATGTTGTATCTTACCTTTAACAGACAGTACTGACAACCAGCCAGATTTAAACAGAAGAAAAATATCCAGATTTCATGGTAGAAATTCGAAGATAGAACCAGGGCCCCTATTGCTCCTACTGCTACAGCCATTATCACAGTTATCAGAGTCTCTATATATGATATGTTCCTGTAATTAAATTATGGTAAAAGAAATAATATTTTGGAAAGTTCCTGTATGTATTTCCACGTTCTCTTTTATGAAGATGACAAAGGAATAGCAAATTTGACAGAGATAACAGACAAGTCATTCAAGTCAGGAACACAAGTAATAATGATAGATTATATCGACATCGATGCCTTATATTGTATCACTTTCAACTAAAAGTAATAATATCAGCAAAAGTTGGAAGAGTGGAAGAACCTGTCCATTTTCTCAAGAAAACATGGAACGATGATAGTTGTGGATTCTAATGTAGGTCAGCAATCATTACATGTTGATTGTGTTTCCAAATCAGCTGTGAATAGGCATAGATATATCAAAAGAGAACATCAGCTATAGATCTGGCAAATAAACTAGCTATAAATTATGGATATCTTTTCTTTTTTAAAACTTATACCAATAAAATCAACTAACCTGTCTAAGGCAGCTAATAAAGACAACCGATCAAATCGTATTTTTAAAAACTTTTGTCGTAATATTTTTAATTTATAAAAATGCTTGGGTTTTTCTTCAGCATAGGCGTTATTATGAGTGGTGTCGCTGTCAGACGTTATTTCTGAGATAACAGTACGACTATATGGCCCCGCCTCTAATAACGCCTGTACATATGACTGTAAAGCACTACTGGTTGTTTGGATGTCAGATTGTGGACCAGTACGGAATCCATACATCATGCTGTCCTGTCTCTCTTCAGACTTCGGTGAGTCCACGATCAAGGTTGAACCCGAGCCACTTGAACTTGTTGATTCTCTAGAACAAAATCAAAATGAAACCATCAAATACATGTTAAGATACAAGATAAAAATCCTAAGATATGTTGGTTTTTGGAGAGGAATTCTAAGATGAGACAAGTTACACAGTAGCATTAGTTGAATGAATTCTTACGCTTTCGATTCTTGGGCGTCTTGCCAGTTATCTTTAGATTCTGCAGTACCAACTCGAACAGCATCAAAACTCGTCTCTCCGAACGTGTAAGTAAACCATTCACCTATAAAAGAAGGTAATTTAGGTACTATATAATTGAGAATACAATGCTCAATAGTGTACAGTGGTAAATTGGGGCAGTAAGTGAACTGATGGGATGAGATTGTAAACAATAGGACCTTTTCCACCAGTAAAATACCTCCTCCTTACAATATGATTTTTAACCTTAATCAATGTCTAGAATATGGAAAGCTTAAGACTTGAATATCACAGGCACCTGTAGTTTTATTTCTTGTATTATTTCTTTGATAATGATGGGTGGGTTTAAAAGACAAATACAATATGCCCTGTATTGTCTTTTATATACTATTGAGCTACATCTGTATAAAATATCAGTACTATGACCTTAATCTTAAAAACTTTAGATGATTTTAGTGTTCCAGTCATCTGATTGGTCAATCACTAAAATTAACTTTAAATGTAGGTTTATGTTCTTATTATCATAATACTGTATTTCTTAAAAATCTGCACTTTAAAAAATGAAGCTTTAAAAGTAAGGATCCAGGTCAAACCCTATATTTAAATCATTTTTTTTAACTTACCATTTTCATCCTGGAAGTAATGTAAAGCACCTTCACTTGTGTCCTCATGAGAAGTAGCAAGATGACCTCCTGTTCCAACTACTTGATGTAAAGCACCTGGTGGTGGAGAATCTCTTTTCCTTCTGGCAGCCAGACGCTTATTTCTACGACGTCTGTAAGGGCAAAAATTTAAAATAGAAATTATACAATAACTATATCAAAACTCATAAATGGATTTTTCAGTTTATTCTTTCATTCTGGATTTGAAAAAGTCGATCATCAAAAGATGCAAGCGTTAACACAAGATGTTGTCAACACAAAGCTTTTCATTTAGCTCTGTAATAACATTCAAAATTCAGCACTATTCATTAAAGCAAAATGTTTTAAACGTTTAGTAGCGTTCTATTGTGTTCTATTGAATGAGTCGTGTTACATTATTAATTAATGTAAAACTAAAGTAGAAAGTAAAGTAAACTATGTAAAACTAAAGTAAAAAGTAAAGTAAACTATGTAAGACTAAAGTAAAAAGACTAACTATGTAAAACTAAAGTAAAAAGTAAAGTAAACTATGTAAAACTAAAGTAAAAAGTAAAGTAAACTATGTAAGACTAAAGTAAAAAGACTAACTATGTAAAACTAAAGTAAAAAGTAAAGTAAACTATGTAAAACTAAAGTAAAAAGTAAAGTAAACTATATAAAACTAAAGTAAAAAGTAAACTAACTATGTAAGACTAAAGTAAAAAGTAAAGTAAACTAACTATGTAAAACTAAAGTAAAAAGTAAACTAACTATGTAAAACTAAAGTAAAAAGTAAAGTAAAGTAAACTATGTAAAACTAAAGTAAAAAGTAAAGTAAACTATGTAAAACTAAAGTAAAAAGTAAAGTAAACTATGTAAGACTAAAGTAAAAAGTAAACTAACTATGTAAAACTAAAGTAAAAAGTAAAGTAAACTATGTAAAACTAAAGTAAAAAGTAAAGTAAACTATGTAAATCTAAAGTAAAAAGTAAAGTAAACTATGTAAAACTAAAGTAAAAAGTAAAGTAAACTATGTAAAACTAAAGTAAAAAGTAAAGAAAACTATGTAAGACTAAAGTAAAAAGTAAAGTAAACTAACTATGTAAAACTAAAGTAAAAAGTAAAGTAAACTATGTAAGACTAAAGTAAAAAGTAAAGTAAACTAACTATGTAAAACTAAAGTAAAAAGTAAAGTAAACTAACTATGTAAAACTAAAGTGTATAAACTAAATTTACCTAGTTCCCTGCCAATTATGTTGTTGTTGTTCTAATAGTTGTTGTTGTTGTTGTTGTTGTTGTTGTTGTGCTGAGTTTTTATTATCTGGTGATGGAAGAAGAGCTGAGAATTCTGTTGGAGTAATGGATTTGGTCTCCTCCTCTCCAACAGAGGTCGCAGGTGCTCCCCCAACGGCTCCTACCTCTTCAACTTTCTCTTTACTTTCTGGTAGTGGACCAACTTTACCTACTGAGTTTGGTTCTAAAATTACCAACAGGAATTCTTATATTATCTTAATGTGTGTGGAATGTTATTCAATATATATTACATGGTTCTCCAGCATTTAATTTGAGTTAGATGTTGGAAGAACCAGCTGTTAGAAAATAATGTGACAACTGAAGTTTTGTTGTTCTGTCTTCTATCAATGTTATTTTGTTCTTGATAAAGATTCCCGTATGTGAATTGAAACTTTTCTAAAATTAAAGGAAGGAGTAGTATATCAATAATAGTGCTTTTATTTATTTAAAATGTTGATAGCTATTTCTGATCATTCATAACTGTATATAAGCAATATCAGTTAGAGATATCATACAAACCTGATCGTCTACGTTTTTCCTCTTTATTAGGTTTATCTTTATTAGAACTAGCAGCACTGCTGACATTATCATCACGATTAGACTGTGTTTCTAAATAAATTACAATATAATGACCCCTCTGCTTAAAATACATGCAAGCAAATGGAGAGCAAAAACAATTAATATAACTCATTACTCTGACTAATCAATTCCTTTTAAAGCATCAGATAAGATGAGGTCAAATCAACTTTATTCAATGACATAATTTTGACGTTTTTGGACTATTTTAAAGTTTCAAATTTTTGAAAGTTCTACAGCTTTTAGTTTTTGAATTTGAAAAGTTCTAAAATTTCAAGCTATTGGACAATTCTACAATTTCAATACTTACTCTTCAGTTTAACAAATTCTTGTAAGCGTTTCAATTCCTCAGAATGTTCGTTAGGATCTTGTAATATTTCTATAATCTTACGACTGATTGTTTCTGGATCACTGTAATCAGTTGAACCTGGACTAGTTGATTGAGTGTTGGCTATAAACAGAATTCAGAAATTGATGAATTTATGGAAAGTTGACAGGGGAAACAACTGTCAATCTTTCAAATAGATGCCAGAAGTGTACTTATGCTATATTCTTGTGAAGTAGGAAGCGTCACAGTAGGGAATAGCATGAGAAATGAAGTTGAAGTTGTATTTTTCCCACTAGGAAACTTAAGCAGTGAGAAGCTGTACCACCCAAGTTTAGTTTTATCAACAGATTGCTTTCGTCCATTCTGAGCTTCTGTTACCTGTGGGAAACTTTCCACCAGAGGAAACAAATACAGTATTACAGTTTCAATGGATAATCATATACACAATATGTTTTAAGATATAATTCCTATAGTCTTTCTACACACAATATTTTGTACAAAATGGCATGTCAAACCATCCATTGACATCCAAAATTCAAGGCTGATAAATTTCTTAAAAATTCACCTGAAACTTTTGGAAAAGGTTGTGGCAATGGTTGAATAGTTGGTTTTTTACTGTAGGTTTTCGGAATGGCACCCTGATTACGTAATGTTTGGAGATCTTCAGTACTGGGACTACTAGGAGTAGTGGTTGTATAATCTGAAATGATATGATGACTTTATATAAGTTAATGTGAGCATAGTTGAAAGGGTTGAAAGCTTGCTCTCAGAAGCAATGGCCGTGGCATCAGTTTTTTTTTTATTACAGGTACCTTGAGAAGAACTAAAGCCCACACCATCTTACTGCAGATGACAATTCAATTTATCATTGCCTGAGAAATTAAATTACCACAAAAACAGGGTGTAAGGAGGAGAGCATTAAAATAAAATTTATCAATTGCTTGTTATGATGAGACAATGATAAATAAACTAGAATATCATTTGCAAAAAAAACATATATCTTGCCCGAAAGAAAAGTTAAATATAGCTTGCCAGGCATGGTAACATAATAATATGCCCACTGGCAGAAATGATAAAACAGCCTTTAGTGAATAAAGTATGAATTTTCTCATATTAAAGAAATTTTAATAGTTTGAATTCAATGATATATATATTTACTGACAGTTATTTATGCTGAAAAATTCCACCAAATTTTTAAAAATCAATATCAATAACCCAAACGTATCAAATTATCGCTTCAATATGCATGATCAAAAACAAATTTTGATGCATTTTTCCTAAGTCAAGGGCAATAAATCAAAATCCGTTCATCAAAAGATCGTCAAATTTGAACTTGACCAAGATCCCATCAATATAAATGATCACCCCAAATTAAAATCAGTTGAAAACTGTAGTCTCTATTGTGTGCACAAGAAATGTTCCATGTGGGCGTATAAAAATCAAACAATATTGCTGAATGATGGTCATACCTGTAGTAGAGATACCAGTTGATTCACTCTCAGATGGAGTGTCTGCTGTAGATAATCTCTTTCTTTCCAATTCAGCCTCTAATAAATATCTTGATACTTTAAAATACCCCATGGAATCTTTATTTCGCTGTCTGTTGGCTGCTACCATACTTTCTGTCAGTGTTTGACCAGAGCTGGTAGTGCCGCCACTGCCAGGACGCGAACGTGGTTTCTGACTACGGAACACAGCCTCACCAGTACTATATTCGGAACTATCACTAATACTGGAATGTGAAGAATGGTGGATGAATTTATTTCCGTCTGTAGTGAGAATCAACGACCCAGGACGCGACACTCCAGGACTGTTACTAGCAGACGTCGTCCGCGAGCTGTCTGTCCATTCCTGTTTTAATTTTCCAGGTCGCAATTTTATTGCATCCACTGACTTTGAACTTGATGCTCGACTTCTTAACTTTGACTCTTGATCCAGTTTATTTTTATCTTTTTTAGAGTTGGGAGATTGTGATGGTTGAGTAATTATCGGACTTGCGTGAATTGTAGATCCTGATACACGACTAAGGGGAGGTAAGGACATACGTAAAATTGTTTTATTGTCTATTTGTTGTATTTGAGCCACTGTACATGGTTCTAGAGCACTTTTTGATCGTCTGACAGCTCTCCTTTCTCGACGCAGTCGTAATTTGGGAACATAATCCGGAGATAAATCTGAGTCACTTTCTTCTCGAAGTCGTTTTGTGTCAGTTTCTGATGAATCTTTCGGTATCTGTGGATTTATTTCAACCTCAACTTGAGTTGTTATTGGATGTGGAATATCATTTCTTTGACTTGATGTGGAATCCAGTGTATTTTCTGGAAAGATAAAACGATTCATCATATCAACATAAAATGCTGTTTCTTTTGTTAGTAACCAAGTTGCAGGAGTGACTAATATATAGTCAAAATCATTTTTAGATAACACAAGACAGTATCATTTTTTACATGAATAACAACTAAGGCTCATAAGGATCCTTCAGCTAGTCCTTTGTCAATGGCATTGATCATTCATGAATCTGTTTCCAGTTACAGCTGGATGGATCTACACGAATTATGGAGGAAGAAGACTTTTTCAAGGTCACACAAAGACCAAGATTAGAAGTAGAGATAGAGATTAAATAAATCAACCTAGATCACTAGTCTACAGAAGCTTATTTCTTACTGTACTAATATTCTAATAACTCAAAAATGTAAATCTTTAAACTCTTACCATCAACACTGCTAGCTGTGCTGGAATTTTTCCCTACTTGACCAGAATTTTCTGGGTTTAAATCATCATCTATGACAGCTAGTGGTGCTATGCCTGTTTCCCATTGATTACCTTCAAAAATAATATCGAAAAAATCATTCTGAGCAGGTATTTGATTCAATATCTAATTCTGATAACCATTCATAAAGGCCAATTACTCCTGCTAAATCGATTGAAAAAAGATCCAACAGCTATATTGAGGGATATAGACAAGAATATGTCACTGCATCTTCTTTTCTTCAACTCCTTTGAAACTGTTGCCCTTTAGCATGTGAACCTTGTATTAGGGACTGGGGGAATAACAACGATAACAAAGCCATTTATAGGTGTTGTTTTGTAAATAATACTAATAAAATAAGAGTGTGGGCCGCTCTTGTTGTAAGATAAGGGCATGGATAAAACGACAATGACGTCATTGGTAACATTCTTTAAAATTGTTATCTATACCTTTCACAAGTTTAGCATCAGATGAACCATGAATATCAGTCTCAGAAATTATTTCTAATTTATTTGAGGCTGTAGTATCCACAGGAGTAATGTCCCTTGATCTACCCATATTAACCATTTCAATATTTTCAGGTACCTCATTCTCATTGCTGTAAAAAAAGGAAAAAATGTCAGAACCTACATGACTATTTTTTCTCTATGTCTCTGAGCTTTACACATCTTAAATCATACTTGTATAAAATCTTCAGTTTGTCATTAGGATTAAACAATTTTGGGGAATTCTTATAACTGATAGATAAATTGTATTTAAACATGATATTTCAAAACAAAGTTTAATCAGAGTTGATGAATGTGTGAGCTAAGACAGCAAAACTTGTTTGATTTTCAACTGTCTCAAAATCTTAAACAAATGCAGCTTGCAGTTCTAACACAAGTCCTCACTTTGTCATCCTACAAAAATGACAAGAACCCATTTTCTTTTTGACTTAAAACACAGACAGAAAGAAGCAAAGTTCTAAATTTGTAAATTAGTGTTAGGTGTATTGAGACAAGTCTCAATGAAAGCACTGGCCTAGGTCACAGAGCAGTAGATAAGCTTATAAATTACGTCAAAATAAGTTGAAAAGACACACACACCCTGACATATAATATACTGTATATAGCACTGGTTCCCAACCTATTTCAGCCTTCACACCCCTGTAGAAATTATTTAGATTTTTCACACCTTTTCATGATGTAAGGTGCTCTCTCAATTCACACCAGGGGGTGAAAACACCACAGGTTGGGAACCGGGTTTATAGCAATATTAGAATAAGTCCTTTGTAGAAATATATTCAGTCAACAAACTTCATTCAAATATTCATAAATATATGAAGAGATAAATGCAATTTACCATATTTCAATGTTTTTATTTGCCGCCTCTGTGGAACCTGCTTTACTAGCTGATATATTCTCAAGTTTAGCATCATCCTGTATCAACTCCCCAGTATCATACATACGATGAAGATGATAATTTACAAATTTTAAAACAGAGAACAACACAGCTACAACACCACAATAAATAGCCCATATTCCTATTGATGATTCTAATGTCTGAAAAAAAAAGAACAATTCCATTAAAAATGAGAGTGACATCTATATTAGCCTACTTTAATCAATTGGCTTACCAGTACAGCTTTCAAGCCCACCAAAAGTTATTTTTAATATCTGCATTGTAACACAGTTAGTTATACAAGTAATATCAGATCATACAAAGGTTACAATTAACAATTTATTGATGCTTGATAATTAATAACTGAAAATAGCATAGACATCATGTAGTGGTTTCCCCCCTTTACAAGATCCACCCTAGTGGTTTCCATCTCTTTTTACTCCTAGTGGTTTCAATCTTATATAGACTACAAGTGATTAAGTATAAGAGGGTGAAAGCTAACACTGGTAGTGGGGAAACTCTCCCAGGCGCGATTACGGAGAGCATAATATCATCCACACTCTGTGCATCAGTAAAGACCGAATGTATATTTTGTTTTATACAGTAAAATGTGAAAGAATGAGCATCAAGGAGAGTAAAGACACAACATAACCAAGTAACATTAGTCATTATAGTCTGTAGCATTTATACATGCTTGCGACCATTAACCTCTTTTTACTTCACTGTAATCATTTGGGATATATGACAATATTTACTAAATAACACATAGAATAAATAACTTCATAATCAATTCATATATATATTGGACAAATCAACTTACTAAATGTATAATCAATGGAAAGGCCAGAAGAAACATCCATAAATAGAAATGAAATGTGTTGCAAAATATTCCAAGATTTGGATCAAAAAACCATCCCCCAGTCAGAGAGGCCCATATTCCCTGCAGGAGAATGTCTATGATATGGGACCCCATCTAAGGAGTGATAATTCTCAACCCCTAACGTTTCATTTTCCACTAAATTCAGAATAATTTTCACTTTTCATGTCACAACTTCCATCCATTTCCTCCATTCAATTGTAACATTATTTACAAACGTCAAATAACGTCGATATTAATGAATATCTAGTATATCGTACAGATTTAATACTGAAGACCCAAATACTAAAACAAACGCAAAGTAAAAATATTTAATTTTTTCGACATTGGATTACATCATCCGAAAATGGAAATAGATTTATCATTTGTAGATTGCATTTGAATACAAAAAAAAGTCTGACATCAAAAATTCCTTTAAAAATAAGTGGAAGGTGCTGTTTTTAAAATGTACGGAGTCGAGCCAAAATAAAACCTGACGCTGTTTAAATGACTATGTAAATTAGATGAAAGACATCTCCTCCCGTCTTTTCTCGTTTGACTGACTGGGATATTGCGAGATTTCTCAGGATTTTATTCCTTCACTTTATTCTGGTTTTATTCAGTTTTTAAGTTTATTTTTTACGAGAAATATTTTACAAAAGTTTGTAGATTTTTTCTAGAAGTGTTGAAATAGATTTCTCTAGTGTAGTAGCAAGGAAAAAAGTTGTTTAAAGCAGGAATCAAGGTCAAATTTATTTCCATCTCTGCAAAGTAATAACAAAGATGGCGTCCATTAATTTTGTCTGCTGTACAGACCTTTAATCATGGCTTTAAACTATATTACTGTATCAACTAATTAGACATAAAGCCCTTTAATGCCAACTTTGATTATAAGACTTTAATTATGCCGGATTGACTTATAGGAAGTTGAAATTTAGAGAGAAATAATATATTCCTAAGTTAAACCACATTCAATGGATAAATGGGCCAAGTTTTCTTTGACAAGTGTGACAGTAGACCTGAATGTGTTGAAAGGCGAGAAAATTATCGCCATCAACTTATGTTTAAATCTGGCTGTAGCCAATAAATTATTGTGGATCGATGGATCCATATAGGTTGGATAACTGGAAGCGTAACAGCGAGCCTGATAGGTTACCATCTGCTATATGGACCGCAGTATTCGATTATGCAGCAACCAAAGAAGATGAGTTGACACTAAAGAGAGGGGAACAGGTTCAAATTCTCTCCACTGATTCCTCGATTTCTGGAGATGATGGTTGGTGGACAGGAAGTGTTAGAAATACTGTTGGGATTTTCCCCAGCAACTTTGTTACTAAAGAAGACAAACTTCAAAATGTGCAAGAGTACCTTCCGTCCAGTCGTGATTCGAAGAGACCGTTTGAAATTGATTATAAAGAGTTAAAGCTATCAGAAGTGATAGGTGTGGGAGGGTTTGGTAAAGTGTATCGAGGAACATGGAAAAATGAAACGGTAGCTATCAAAACGGCGCGACATGATGATCCTGATGAACCCCACAGTGCCATAGAAAATATTGTTCAAGAGGCCAAATTATTTTGGTTACTAGATCATGTGAATATATCTAATTTAGTTGGTGTGTGTTTGAAAGAGCCAAATCTATGCTTAGTTATGGAATATGCTGCTGGTGGTTCTTTAAACCGTGTGTTGAGTGGTGGTCGAAGAATTCCTCCAGATATATTAGTGGGTTGGGCTGTCCAGATAGCTCGAGGAATGTATTATTTACACGAAGAAGCTCCACTACCTTTAATTCATCGTGATTTAAAATCTAGCAACAGTAAGTATATATTGTTATTACATAGACCATTATGGGCATTTATCCTGAAATGCACAGCTTATTACTGGTTAAGTTCTAAAAGTAATAAGTATTGGGTGTCATAGAAGATATTCTCTTATTGAAGCACTGGCTAAGGTCATTTAGTGTGATTTGAAGTGAGGCTGGGCCCTGTCAAGACTACTGTTACATGAACTGCCAGACTAATAAGTCCTGTTTATATTTAAAAAAAACCTGAGTAAGCTTATGTGTATTAAATTTTTAACTCTCTATTTCAGTTTTATTGAAAGAAGCAATTGAAGATAATAATTTGGATTATAAAACCATCAAGATTACAGATTTTGGACTAGCTAGAGAAGTTCATAAAACAACGAGAATGAGTCAAGCTGGAACTTATGCATGGATGGCACCTGAAGTTATTAAATGTTCACGTTTCTCTAAAAGTAGCGATGTGTGGAGGTAAGTTCTAGTGCATTTCTGAGTTGACGTCATGGGTTATGAGCTCTAGACTGGACTATTTAAACTCAGAATTTATATCTTTATTACAGTATTTGTAAAGTATTTATGATAATGTCTTGTGTTTTTTGACAAACACCTATAGATCAGTTCATGAAAGCTGGGAAAAAAAAGTTCTGATTTTGAAATGGAACCAAATTTATTGGAAAAAACATTCTGAGATATTTTAAATACAAGATAAAACCAACATGGCAAGAACATAGATTAATTTGGTGCTTTCTCCGGTAATTGAAGAGTTTCTGTTTGGTAACTAATGGAAACCTGTAAACAATGGAAGGTGGGAAATGGATACCATATAATAGGTGTTTTGAGTCTTCATATTTCTCTTAAATAGTTATTAAATTTCAATTGATATGTGATATTATTATGTTATTTATAGTGAATTTGTCACGTTTTGTTTTGTTGATTCAATGAGAAATATGAATTATACAAGGTAGAAAGGTTTAAATCACAAGTATTTAAAGGCAGATCTATTTTGCTAAAATTCTAGAAATATAAACTATTTCTAGATTTGATTTTAGAAATGAGTTTTAATAATGTTATAGCCTACATAGTAGAGATTAGGGTAATTGAAAGTAAATAGTTACTATTCAATAAAAGACACTGGTACAGAGTTAAAGTTTTGTTTACAACTATTGTGGTGTTAATATTTAGTAAAGTAACAGAAAATAATTTTGAAAGATAAACCTAAAAAAATAAAAATGAATGATTTCAGTGTATATTCTTATCTATCCAAACAATTAGAAAAGATTATATATGAGTAGGTATCACAGATAAAGAACTGATTATGCATGTATATCTGTACTAGGAATTTGTGTGCATGTAATGAATGTTAACTATGTTGATATCTAAAAGTATTAAAAAGTAAATTTTGAATCACAGTTTAAGAATGTTTGATAAATAATTTCTATGTCAATGTTAGATAAGATAAGAATAACTACTAGGTTTATATTTAACTGTATTACACTACATACTGTTGATATAAACAATTTATACTAGAGTTTTCTCAGGAAGAAGATAAATTGTGGGTTTTTTAAAAAAAAAATTTTGTCAAAATTGAAAGTAGCCCTCAAGCATTACATATGGCATGAATGAGCAATTTATTTAAGTTTATTTGAAACACTTCTAGAAAATTGAAAACTTGGTGAAATTTTTTATTATCAGCCAATGATAAATTCCATTGAAATCAATGTTTATTTATTAAAAATAGTATTTTCTCTTGTTCTAAATGAAACTTAAAATTCTAAGTGAATTTGTCATAATAAAACAAGAAGAGGAACCTTGTAAAAAAAATGTAAAAAAAAGCCATATAATATCTATTGACACTAATGTCTTTCATTTTTGAAATGCAAAGTTATTCATTATCAATAGGTAAGAGCCCTATTGAAAATCAATAAAGGTCTTGAATAAATGTATGATTATAAGTTGAATATTTCATAATGGTGATGGTTACCATTCCACCAAATGTTTTTATTTGAAAACAAAGCTGCCAGTGGGTATTTATTTCCTACCCTGGCAATCTTGAACAATTTTTAAACTACATGTATATAAATCTGTAGTGGAACTTTTACCATAATTTATGAATATATTGCCTATGTTTATTTTGTAGTTATGGTATTGTATTATGGGAGTTATTGACTGGTGAAACACCATATAAGGGAATTGATACTTTAGGCGTAGCATACGGTGTTGCTGTGAACAAACTCAAATTACCCATACCAGCAACATGCCCTGAACCCTTTTCAAGATTGATGTCCGGTATGTACATTCTCTTTCATAACATCAACATATTGGGACACTAAGTTTTTATAATTACTGCTTCTAGTCCAATTTGAAGAGTAGTGTTTTGTTCATTTGTTTTATAATAAGAACACAAGATATTACTACTTCTGAATTAATTACATAATACATTTTAAAACATATACAGGTAAAATCATCATGTAAAGATTTTCTTTATGTGTTTTAAAATGTATTATGTAATAAATTCAGAAGTATTATATCCATATATCTTGAGTTCTTTTGTCATATAATATATAATGTTGCTTATGCAGTAGGATTTTCAGCAATATGGTGGTCTTAATATTTTTATTAACAAGCTGATGGAGCTCAATCCAGCTTGCAATATTGTATCACTGAAGTATTGAAGTCAAATGTCCAGTGCCTTTACAATTCATGAAAAAATGTTAATCTGTTAGCTTATAAGAAATTATTTGATTCATAGATTGTTGGGATCAAGAGCCACATGAACGACCAACGTTTGGTGAAATACTCGACAGACTGGATGACATTTCTACCTCACCTTTTGTCAGTTATCCACAAGAATCATTTCATACCTTACAAGAAGACTGGAAGTTAGAGATTGAAGCTATGTTTGAAGAGCTACGCAGCTGTGAGAAGGTTGGTATTGTTCTCTGAAATATTAGTTATTCTGGCTAAGTGATGTTTGGTTGGTAAAAATTGGACCCTGATGATATAGTTTAACTACATCAACTATAATAACCATGATACCATAATTCCTAGTGGTCCAGTCTGGCAGCATGCAAGTTGCCAACCAGTTAATCAGATGTTTGCATTTCTAACAGAAATCAAAAATGATATATCACATCCTTCTATCACATCTGAGGAACAGAGTAGGACCAGATTGTCAGGCTGAGTTTTCATGTGATACTCAGGAATCTTATATATTGTTGATTTACATTTACAGGATTTAAGATGTAGAGAAGAGGAAATAACAAAAGCAGAACTACAACAAAAACATCACGAAGAATCTTTGAAGAAACGTGAACAAGAATTAGCTGAAAGGGAGATTGAATTATTGGAACGAGAATTAAATGTTTTGATTCTACAGCAAGTTATTCAAAAGCCAACTCCAAATAAACGTAAAAGGAAAAGTAAATTAAAAAATCTTCGAATTCATGGTGGAAAATACATCAGTGAACCTTCAGGTTTGGGCTCTTTTGTTATTTATCTTTAGTTAAATGCTGAATAATATGTTCAGCTCTTAAAAAAACATTACCCAAATATGAAACAGAAATTTTAATTCTGATTGTAATTCAGATGAAGGAAAATTTGAAAGGAGGCAGGGCTAATGGTTATGAAATTATACATTGCGATTCCAGTTTCCCTGATATAGTATCCTGATCCATCTATTCCTCATCTCTGAGCTATAGCATGGTGAGATGATATGGGCTTTACCGTAATTTTGTAGTAATTTTTTTTCAATGTAAATGATAAAGTATTGCCCGATGTTTTTCAGGATTTCGTCATAATATCACAGTTCAGAAAGACATGGAACAACCTATGGCTTCCAGTCCTGAGAGCCCGCCTGTCTCTCCTGCTCAATCAGGCCAATCTATTCCACGTCTCCGAGCAATAGCATGTAAGTAGGCCAATCTATTCCACGTCTCAGAGCAATAGCATGTAAGTAGGTCAATCTATACCACGTCTCAGAGCAATAGCATGTAAGTAGGTCAATCTATTCCACGTCTCAGAGCAATAGCATGTAAGTAGGTCATTCTATTCCATTTCTCAGGAATGGCATATATTGAGGTGCAGAATGTGTGTAGATATCATTAAGGGATTGTTTTGTTATTTTCAGATCCAGCTGTTCATCGTAAAGGTAAAACATGGGGTCCAAGTTCGGTTCAAAAAGATCGCCATCAACGTTCGTCAATAATTTTCGCGGATGGTCGCTGGTCTAAGAGTGCTCCAAATCTTGAGAAATCATTAAAGAATCTTGGAGCTGGACATTCCAATACTATTTGTGAGTCATTTCCCCTTATTTAGATCAGTTAGTTGATTTCTCAAAATAAAGCATCACTAACATACTCCTGATTACCAGTTGTCTTTTGTACTCTGAGCCTGAAAATTGTTTTTCAGGTTTGTAGATATAGCTACTTTGTAATATTTAGTTAGTTTAGCAGTTAGACAATTATGATACTGATGTGTATATTTATATAGTGCCCATCTTTGAAAGAGATATAAAGAAAATGGTTTTGGTGTTTCATTTCAGATAAGGAGGAAACAGATTGGCCAATATTTAATGGAGACCAACAACGTAACATTCCAACAACCACCACTAATTCTTTAGATAGCTCAATCAAACAACGTTCAAATGTTAAGAAAAAATATCTCAATGCTTGGTGTGGAATAGGAATGATGCTAGCCTCAGTGGGAAGTGGTTTTGATATCCGTGTTTCAAACTCTGTAGCCATCCATCCTCAGCTACATGAAACTGGTGACGATGGCAGGAAAAATCGTGATGCGTATATAGGAAACAGACGTGATGCCTATCTGGCAGCTGTGAGAGATAATTTGATTGAAGGTGAAGGTGACTATCGAAATAGCCAATATGCCAATCCCTCCGCTTTTCGTCATACATATCATGGAGTGACCCCGCGTCAAAGACCTTCTATTCAAATGGAAGATTCACCTCCGGAGGGGGAAGAAAATGGCACTTTGGATCTTACACCTTTTATGTTGCAAAAATTTCAGTTTAACAAAGATACATTCGTGATCTCACCAACTCCATCCAATGATCGCCCTGGTGGTGGAAATCAGCCCTTCAGACGTCAATATTCAAAAGACAGCAATGAAGACCATTCACGTGACTCCATAAGATCAAATAAACAAAGACACTCAGTGACTTTTGAAGACAATTTTGTAGTTGATGTGAATGATTTACCGGCAGCAACCTCTACGCCTACTTACTCTCACAAAAAATCCCCATCTGACTCTTCTTCTCCTTCCCCTCAACCTTACTCTCGACCTTTCGCTACTGAACGCACAGACAATATAGCAGGTCCAATACCACCACGCCGAAAGCCACAAGGCACAAATGGAACCAAACGCCCAACAACTTTGGCTTTAAATTCAAACTCTGCCACCCCAACATCTCGTTCGCGAGTAACTTTCGAATCAACACCTCCACAACAAGTTACATCCAGTGGTCAGGAAACGCCAATATGGCACACACCGACTGAATATTTTCATTCAACTCGATCACGATTAAGTCCAGGGAACACACCACCTCACATATCTCATCAAAAAACGTTGTTGGATATCGACGTGGAAGGACAGAGTCGGGACAGCACACGTCCATTAGTTTCCCATAATCCTTTACAAACCCTTCAACCACAAGAATTAGACCGAGAATTTATGTTCTGATGTTTATTTTATTTTTAGGTTATTATTATTATAATTATTAAAGAATATTTTAAATATGTACAATTTAATGTCATATTTTTTAATGTTACTTTAATGCAAATCTTCATGAATGTAAAAAACAAAATTTGATAAAATTTTTTTGGTTTGCCTTAAAGTGATTGAGAAAATATTGAATTTATCCAAGTTCTTCCAAAAAAACAAAAATAAAATCTTATTATGTATATTAGGTTTAAGAAATTTAGGCTTAGTTAAGCAATTCTTATTTTGATGAAATATGAGACATCATTATGATTTGACCAAGAAAAATGTTTGTTGAATTTGTGGATCTATGGGCTACGTAAAGTTTATGTCGTAAACGTTGGTTTGAGAAAATGTTGAGATTTCATTCACTCTAAGTTAACATTGTATTTGGTGCATTTATTTATTTTTTCCTTTCATAAACTCAAATTACCTGGTTGAGTTTGAAATAAAGGATTTTGGACCAATAGGATTGTAGTATTTAGTTATGTAATGTGACCAGTAAACTTTTTTGTTATTAGATTTTTTTTCAATCCAAATTTTAAGCCAAAAATGATTTATAAATTGTAGATTTTGAAAATATGTTATACAATTATTAATAAGGTTATTATTTAACAATATGCAACAACATCAGTCTTATTTCTGCGATAATCTCAAATTTATTTTGTTGTGAAATTTCTTATTTTTAGCTGAAAATACTATGGCATCTATTTGACACCCCTCAAAGCTTGATTGAACTTTTCTCTCTGCCCATACATTAGATCAATATGATACTGTTTTATGAATGATAAGAAGAGTTCATGTGTGAAATAAGGGGTACTTTTAATTGCTTGTCAATTTTTTTCAGTGTTTCGAAAGTTTCTAGAAGTGGCCTAGATTATTTATATAAGAAATTTCCATCTATTTGAGATCTTTCACAGGGTAAAAGTAAATAATAAGAAAAATATTTAGTATTGAAAGAACACAGAATATTTTGAATGCAAATTTTGATTTTTCTTCATATTTTTTTCGACCAGGACTCCACTTGCTTACCAAGTGTAGAAACCTGCAGAAAAACCATGATATGAAAAATCCAGAACTGCTTTATAATCAGATGGTTTAAAAGATCGTTACTCTAATATCGTTAATTGATTATTAATTTATATCTTCTGAACTTGATCTTCATAGTGAATTCATATCATTTCACTGATCTTAACCTTGGTCCATATCATCAATAAATCTTAATCTTGCATAATAAATTCAAATGATGCACAAAGTTTTAAATTTGTAAAGAGGTCCTCACGCATTAGCGATCACCAGTTGTGTTTGGTTGCAAATTAAAGAATAGCAGTCATAAGTTTCGACCACATCTCTCATGTGAATGAGTTGTGAATTGGAACTCATGATCACTTTCATTATTCACAAGCATTCTGACTAGTAATAGCTATGGTGTGAGGGGCCACTTTACTGAGAAAAGAAAAGTTAAGATTTTACCTCTCATCACTTTCTTAGAGAAATTTTTGAATTGTATCGAATTTCAAAGAATGAGGAGAAATTTCAGCAATAATCTTGCAATAACTTATTGATGATCATTTGAAGATAATTTCAGTCTTGAATTCATCTCTTACAATTATGAATGATTGAGTTGTGATCTTCTACAGGAGCCTGTTTCACAAAACCTCAACTTAAGATGATTTGAATGTTGCAGCTATCTGATTGGTCAATTAAAAATCTGAAAAAAAAAAGTCTAACTTTATTAACCAATCAGATTACTGTTTTGGCCTCTGTTTCACTAAACATAAGTACTGCATAATTTGCCTAATTCCTTTAATTCCTTTTCAACTGTCAATCGTAAGTGAAGACATTGTAAATGTCATGTTGAGGTCATTTCACATTTTGAGCAAAAATTCGCCAATCGTAAGTGTAATATTTTCGTGTAGACTATGCACTTTAGTGAAATGGGGGCCTGGATTTAGTTTCGATCAAATTTTGTGCAATGACTCCTGAATGTTATGAGAAAAAAGCCAAGTTAAAACCATAGATAGTGTATGATGCAAGAAAATGTATTATTTTTTTTTTATTCAGATAATAATAATATATAGTAATTTCATAATAATCTTATAGAGGTTTGTTTACAGTTGAAGTTAAAGTTTATAATTTGTGAATGTGGTAAAAGTCATGTTTTGGATAGAAAGCACATTGTAGTGAGAGTTTGTAGAAATTTAAGTAAAATGTTGAGGTCAGAGTTGATAGAGCTAAGTTAAGTTGATAGAGAGGAGTGTTTTTATAGTGCTGTTTAGAGTTCTGTTTAGAGTTGAAAGTTGGGTTCAGAGCTGAAAGTTGTTTGTAGATTAGAAAGTTGAGTTTATAGTAAAAAGTTGAGTTTATTCGAAAGATGTGTTAAGAGTTGTGAGACGAGCGTGTTTAAAGTATAGGGAATAGTGTGCTTAGATTTGATAGAAGAGTGTGTTTAGAGTTGAAAGAAGAGTGTGTTTAGAGTTGAAAGAAGAGTGTGTTTAGAGTTGAGGGAAGAGTGTATTTAGAGTTGAAAGAAGAGTGTGTTTAGAGTTGAAAGAAGAGTGTGTTTAGAGTTTTGAGAAGCTTGTATTTAGAGTTGAAAGAAGAGTGTGTTTAGAGTTGAAAGAAGAGTGTGTTTAGAGTTTAGGGAAGCTTGTATTTAGAGTTGAAAGAAGAGAGTGTTTAGAGTTAAGAGAAGTCTGTATTTAGAGATGAGAGATGTTTGTCTTTAGAGTTCAGAGAAGAGTGTGTTTAGAGTTGAGAAAAGAGTGTGTTTAGAGTTGAGAAAAGAGTGTGTTTAGAGAAGAAAGAAGTGTATGTTTAGAGTTGAAAGAAAGACGTTTTTAGGTTTGAGAGAAGTAGTGTTTAAAGTAGAGTTGAGAGTAGCTTGTATTTAGAGTTGAAAGAAGAGTGTGTTTAGAGTTGAAAGAAGAGTGTGTTTAGAGTTTAGGGAAGCTTGTATTTAGAGTTGAAAGAAGAGAGTGTTTAGAGTTAAGAGAAGTCTGTATTTAGAGATGAGAGATGTTTGTCTTTAGAGTTCAGAGAAGAGTGTGTTTAGAGTTGAGAAAAGAGTGTGTTTAGAGTTGAGAAAAGAGTGTGTTTAGAGAAGAAAGAAGTGTATGTTTAGAGTTGAAAGAAAGACGTTTTTAGGTTTGAGAGAAGTAGTGTTTAAAGTAGAGTTGAGAGTAGCTTGTATTTAGAGTTGAAAGAAGAGTGTGTTTAGAGTTGAGTGAAGTGTATGTATAGAGAAGAAAGAAGAGTGTGTTTAGGGTTGAGAGAAGGATGTGTTTAAAGTAGAGTTGAAAGAAGAAAGTGTTTAGAGGTGAAAGTTATGTTTTAGAGTTGAGAGAAGGGTTTTTGTGTTTGGAGTTAAAGGTTGTGTTAAGAAGCAAAAGGTGTGTTTATATTAGAAAGTTCATCGTAAAAAAAGATGAAAGAAGAGTGTGCTTAGTGTCAAGAAGAGTGTGTATAGAGTTGAAAGTTTAGAAATTAAAGTTGTGTTTAGAGTTGCTATATGTCTGTTTTTGTAGTAAACAGTAAATGTGTTTTAGAGAGCACTAAATATAATCATTTTGAAATGCTAAAATCAAAATTTTTCAAGTAAAGGTTGTTATAGGTATTGTTTTTAATAATTAGGATCACCTTTATTCTTTATCCCAATTGCTGACATGGTCAATTTATTTCTCAATCTTCCATTTAATACAGGGTAGCAATCAGTTTGTTTGATATCCGTAAGTCTCAATGTAAGAGTTTAAAGTCTTGCTGTTATGAATCAGCCATTTTACAGCAAGTTTTAAAATAGACTTCAAATGTGTTCACAAATCTGTCTCTATGAAAGTTTTCAGTTAAAAATCCAACATTGTTCTTGATAAGTCTCAACAATCTCTTTACCTCAAATTGTTCAGAATTACATTTTCTTTTCAACCATTGAATTTTACTAGTAAGGTCAGAGTTTTTTTTTTGTTTGATGGTTTACAAAGTGGATGTCTTCATTGTTCCCATATTGTCAAATGTAGAATATTCCAATGTTTTAAATTCAATAGATCCAACATACTTCATTGATACCAGTACATCAAGCCGAATTAGTTTTGTATCTGTTTTGAATATAGTATTCACAATATATGGTTCCTAAAAGGGATAAAGACTTGTTATATTTTTACATAATGGTTACTTTTACTGTAAACAGCATCTGTCAAGCTAATATGAACTTCATTTAATACCTTGACTGCAATAGCCACCTCTCTTTTATCAAGTAAAAGCAGTGATCTGATTGGATTGTTCCTTCAGCGAATACAGCCAATCAGAGTTCTAGACAGAAAATCTGTAAACAGTCTGTCAAAGGCTATAATTTGCTGTATTCGCTGGTGTACAATCCAATCAAATGGCTGCACTCTGTGATACAAGATAGGTGGGTATTGTAGTCAAGGTATAAGATAAAGTTGACATTGACCATTGTGAAGATGTGTTAACAGGAGCATGTGATTATTTCAGCTTATAATAATCTCCAAGCCAATACGAGTACTGGAATGCTCTCTCCACAAAATATTCTGAACTAGTCAGACAATATCTAACGTAAGATTCTATATTGTAGATTTGTTATTTAGTTATCTCAATTTAAGGCCAGACTTTTTTTATTTAATAGTTTACAAGAGAAAAAAATTGATGCCTTTTCAGAGATATAAAAATAAATTTTCTTTTTTTAGAAAAATCTTGTAAAAGAGGAAATATAAAAAAGTCTGACTTAAATACATTTTAAATCAAATTTTTACATTTTTAGTAGAAAAGGCTGGACCTTTTAATTCATTTCATTTTTAATTTCTAGCACAATATATAACATTTTGAATATCCACCTGAATTGTACAGTATTGCAAGAAAGATAAAATTTTATTCAATTTTTTTAAGACCAGTGTAAATGTTATATTGAGGTATAAATTATGATGAGGGTAAACAAACAGATTTTGTCACCGATTTTTGTCACAGACTGGAGTCTTGTCAAGAGTTTCACAGATAATCTTGTCTTAGAAGAGGAAAATCAGCAACAAAACTGTTTGTGTGCCCTCAACATTAGATAGAGAAGTTTTGCTACAGCATTGGTTCTTTCTACTGCTCTATTATGATTGTGTTTTAAAATTCGCAGCAAAATTTCTCGGGTTTCATTGTGCCTTATAGAGCAATATCTAATTTGGAGTTTATGCAATTATTGATGGGCCTTTGTAGAACTCATAAAATTGTAAAAGGAATCCTTGTGTCCTGTGGTTTGCGATCTGTGAATTATTTTGTAGCATGATCTTCTTTGATACAATTCTGCATGAATCTTATATTGTGTGAGTTTGGTAGAGTAATTTTGCGAGATACCAAAATGTATTATGTGTATTTGTACTTTAGGGCCTAACCTCGAAAATTTACTCATGAAATTATAACCTTAATCTGAATAAATTAATCTGAGTTAAGCTAGCTGACTTTCAATAACTCAAGTTTTTTCGAAAAAGACACCCCAGTTTCATGTGTTAGTAGATATATGCTTAATGGCACTGGATGTTTGAGTATATAGTCCTGATTGCTTGTTAATTTGTTTGAGAAAGTATTTGTTGTTTATGTCTTAATGTTTGAGTCTATATGATTGGATGATTGAGTCTATTTATGAAGTTATTTGTTTGGATGACTTTATACTTTTATACTTGCTTTCATTTTAATACACCAAATATCTATCTATATCGTATAAATTTTAACAACTGTCGTCTGAATTTGGATTGTCAAGTAGTCGCGATTTTTTTAAGTTTGATTTTTAACCTTCATTAAACGTTAACTTATACTCTTTGGTAAATAGAAATGAAATTATTAAGCATAATATATTCTGCATATACTAACAAACCAAAGTCAATTTTTCCCATTTAGTACAATTTACAAGTCAAGTTAGGAGATAATTCCCAACAAAAGTATTTCAAGATGAAGACAACTGTCAATCATTATTTTTTGTCGTCAATTTTCTAGGATTCTGGGGTACATTCAGTTAATGAGAATAAGAAATATTCAAGAAATAGATGAAACCTAGGAATGTATTCCCATAAATATGCCTCCATTAAAATTTGATGATTTGACAGTATTTGAAATATTTGAGTAAAGATGCAATATTTGTCAAAGATAAGTAACTTTGTGTTAAGAAGGTTAGATATTTCTAAAGCCTTTCCTATATACATTTATATAATTAATATTGAATATTTAAAAATTATATATATATATATATAAGAGACTATTTATATACATTACATTACTCCTGAATTGCCTTTTTCAATTGGTGCAAAATTTTTAGTAATTCTATGCCTTCCATAGTTGCTCCTTATTAGGGTACATCCATAATTTTAGATGGAGTTTGTATGGCAACAAGTTTCTATGGTAACCACTTATATTTATTGTAACCATGGATTTGTATCTGTTGCCATAGATTTTATTTAGTAAATGTATCATTTGTTTTTGTAACCATGAACAAATGATAAAAAATTTTTTTTAATCATGGATATATTTTGTATGTGTATTGTAACCATGGAAACAATGTGTAAATATTTATATTATAATATATTAATTTACAGTCTTGTTTTTATCCGAACTCCCAAAACTTTGATTAGGGCACAAAACTTAAGTTCAAGAATTGTGGGACAAAATCAAAGAATTTTTTATTCAAACTTCACAAGATAAAATTATACGGAGCAAGGTCATCTAAGACCCTCAGCACCCTTCCCTTTTGAGAGATTCTCTCTTGATCTGGTTGACAATGTTCCAGCTGTACAACATATATTCAATAAAGGTCCAAGAAGATGCAATACAGTAAGACACATTCCAAACTTCTGCCAATAGATGCATTTTTGAAAGGGATTTGAAAAGCACTGCATTAAAAAAGTATATTTTAATATTTTTCCATTAAAATAAAACAATACAACGATAATATTAAATACAGACTACAGTAATAAAAACAATGACAGAACAGTAGGTTTTTTTTAATAGACAAATTCATGACTTTAACTTCACGTAAAAGCTTACTTCCAACAGCAAGGATTAGTTAGTGGCAACATTGAAGGATAGAATCATTTTTACAAGAATAACAACTAAAGTTGATGAAATCAGTTTTCTTGCTTATCCTTGGAGAAACCTTTTGCATTAATCTTTCCCAGTACCTATACAACTAGATTGACTAAAATACATGTAATGAAGAAAGGTGATTTATTCTCACATTGACTGACTTAATGCTTTGAAAAAATAACCATACCTAAATCTGATCCAATCAAAACTGATTTCAAATTTTGAAAATATATTTTTATGCTCTTGAACACAATTTGTTGTATGAAAAATAAAAATTTCTGCAAGAGATCAAGGAACAGAAGCTCTTTTGTTTCGGACTGAATGATTTTGTTTTTGGTAGGAAATCAAGAAGTAGTCTCCATTATTTGAGATCATTTTTGAAACAATGACAGTTGGTCCAAAGACAATCACAAATTTCTTAATATTTAATTACAAAACATGATTAATAACTTCAAAAAATTGGATTAAATAGCTAAATTTAACCAATGAAATTTTGCATTTCAATGGAATTCTTAATCTAAGATGAAAACGAGACTGGATACCATGGTAACACAGAACGTGAACATGGTTCATAAGAGTTAATAGTTGATACAGTATCATGGTTACCATCTGCAGTGTAGTCTTCAACACCAGGGTAGGTAGATGAGATCGCTGGAAAATATGCAGGTTTAACTCCACTGTACTCTAAAGGACTTGATGTTAGAGATGAAAGATGATAAGGTTGTTTTAATGAATGATGGGATACCCCATTACAATTTTCAGTGAAGTTACCCGGGTCACCAAATGGAGACTGATGTTTCTCGTGGGGGGAAACAGACGAGGGAGGGGTCATGCCAAAAGTTTCCATACCTGTTGGCATAGAAACAGATAACGATGATGTTGTGTAGGTAGCCATATTTGAATAATGGCCGTTAAGTGAAGGTTTCGAAAGTCCCGCAACACAAAATGGATGCTGTTCTTTATATTGCTCACTAGAGGGGGGTGTTAATATATTAGATGACATATCGTTGTAGTAGGTTGGACGGGTATTACAGCGTATAACTGACTCCCGATTAGCATATAGACTTCGTAAGAAATTGGTAGCTGGTAGTGTTTCAGCACCATTATGACTGTTTGACCCCGCCCATTGTATTGTAGATTTTTTACCAGATTGTCCAGAGTATAAATGAGGATCCGATTTAGAGTCTTTACTTGCTGGTAAATGTCTGTTCATGGCTACTTCTAAATCTTTAACAGAGCTAGGAGTAGTCTCCCCAGCATGTGATGTTGATCCTATTGTCCAGTCTTTATCATGATTGTGTATTAAATCTGATTTACTTGTTAGATCTTGTGGCCCTGACACTACTTGGTTTCCATTTGTATCTATGGTACCACACATCACGTCTGCATTGTCAGAAAAACTATAACAGTTCCTAAGTTTCTTGTCACTCTCAGATTCATTCAAATCAACAGAAAAATCATCCCGTTTACGTTTCCGAGGTTTATCCATTTTTCTGCGACTATTTTTGACATCTCTGCTGTCACTTTTTTCTCCATATATGATCACTTCTTGGCCAAGTTCTTTGTTATCATTGTCATTTCTATCTTTAGCATTTTCATCCTTTCCTTCATGGCAGACATTGTTATTGGTTGAAGACATTATATCTTCATCTTTACTATTATGGGATATAGAAGGTTCTAGTTTGGGACTTGTCGAATCTGAAACAAGAAAAATTTAAAACTGAATTTCAATGCAAATTATGGAGTAATAAAAAAATGTTCATCGATGAAAATGGATTTTCAAGAATTTGCCCTCGGTATTGCCTATGACAGTCATAATAAGCCATTTCGGAAATGTCTTCCATATTGGATAGATCAGAAAGGCAAATGAAAGATGATTTTCACATTGAAGAGCTATCATACCTAATTGAGAGCCGAGTTCACTCTGATCGCTGTGATCTGATTGGTCAGTTCCAAGATTGGAGGATCCTGGTAGTTGCCACAGGTCTAAAATGATGTCTTCATTTTCAACACCACTAGAATAGAGAATATAAATTATTACATAATTATTTCTACTGTTGGCTTTATTTTGCCTTGTTTATCTTTGTTATCTTTAAGCTAAGCAGTTCACAAAATGAAGGACATCTTGAAACCAAGAGGCAAAAGGCCTGAATATCAGCAACACACTGTGGAATGTGCTAGAATGTACTAAAGTAAAGGAAATTATTGGTCACAAATTTGTGTATGAAAATTGTACCTTAAAACATAGTTAATGGCCACAATACTTTGTTCATCGTTATTTTTACTACTATATATTGTAGTAGCACACGTCTGTAGCCAGATGTATCCTCCATTCTTATTGGTTAATCTATAATAGTCTGATAAAACTTGACCCTTGGCTAATACTGAAAATATACAATTTCATCAGAAATATAACTTAGTAAGACCCCATCCTATTAGGGACTAGGACCATATCAAAAGTTTAACAGGAGAAAATTTCCCAGAAGTAGGCTGTATATCTTCATTTGCCATATACCTTTTAATTTTGTCCCATTCTAAAGGGAGCCATTAACCTTTGATGGTTGGGAGTTGATAATTTCATATATTAGTACACAGTAATTTACTTTTTCACCAAAACTCACTTGAAGGAGTTGATGAAAAAGACATTAAGTTGGTATGAAAAGTTAATATCTACTTACAGTCAACATGAGCTTTACGTAGTTTATGTAAATCAGCAGCATGACAGAAATCATATATCAATCTATTGGTCATATCTTCTGATGATAAATCCATTAATTCACAAATACTAAAATATATAGATAATATCAAAAATAAAAAATTTTGCATATATTCTTTACAATTTGCTACAAGGTTTTGGTCAGAACTAGCGCCTTATTCTTGACAATTCATTGATTATAAAATTGCTGTAAGCTGATTGGATAGTAAAACTAAATTGAGTTCAGTGATTGACCAATTACTTTCATATTTGGAGAATAAGACTATATAAAAGAATGAGGAGTTTTATCAGAATTTAACATAGATTATCTCCCTTTAGTCTTCGAATCATCAACCAATACACCACAAACTGAACTTTGGAAAGCTCTTCCATTGTACAAGCTATACTATAATGGAAATTTCTTGAGATTTTCTACCAAATGAGACTTGTAAATTTGGCTTTCTTATCAATTGAATTTTTGGAAGAAAAAAAGGAAAGAAAAAAGTTGCTCTCTGGATGTGTTGGGTACTTAAAGTGTTGTAGCAAGCAGACTATGCAAGGAAGGAACTTGGACAAAATACTTACATAGGCTCACAATAGACAAGTTTAAAATCAGGAGTCATTCGTGTTATAAAAGTATCATTATCTATTCGTAACTCAGTAATGGTAGGTGGCGGTAATGCTATTGCTACGGCAACCATACCCAATAAGGTTGGTGATTGTTTACGATTTACAGTAAAGCTCATCTGATGCCTCATTCTTCCCAAAATATGGACAACCTGTAAAAGAGAAAATCAATGTCAAAACATTTCCTTGCAAAATTTTGTTCTTTTGTAATACAAACTATTGTATGCTTATAATGGGAAATGTTTCTCTCATTTATGTCACATGATTTCCTATACAAGTCATCAAATAAATTATGCCAAATACATGTGAGACACAATTTCATTAAACTCTGTATCATTTGTGCTTGTACATCAAGGTGTAAAATCTTCCAAGAGTTATCTCCCATTAGTCTACAAGCTTCACTTTAGGTACACTGAGATGATCAAAGCAACTTTCAACTTTTAATCGATTTTCAACTGTTTGTAATCTGCTTTTATTCAATGATGGCATACTATATAAAACAATTTGATCCATACCTGATAACATATGATCTTTGAAGATTTACTTGAAACTATGAAAAGATGTATTTTATATTTGCAATTATATGCTACCGTATTTCATTATTCCAAAATATTTTTTGATATGACTCTTTCTTGGTTTAATAGATAAAGAAATCAAACTTATACTGCAAAAAAAATAATTTCTCACCCTATAGCCTTGTGATTTAGTATGAACACCACGTTTAGTTAAAGTTGATTTCATTCGAATACAGAACGATCGGTCTGGTCCTTTTGCTGGGTTTGGGTTCATCACATACCCTCTCTCTCCAGGGGGAGTTGTAGATCGTGGTCGTGATGTAGATGATACATCATCTGATGGCGACCCAGGTGTTGAACTACCTGAAAACATCAAAATCAATTATGAAGTTCTTGTTAAAAATATTTGAATCTTTGAAAAAAAAAGGATGGACTAACTGTCTATATGTGGCCATGTGTGCTACAGGTTGTGCATGTTCAAGATCCCTTGTTACTTGGAAACTGAATAATAGTAGGTTAATGCTGCTATTCTAGTAGTTTCCTCCTTGAACACTGCATGGCATTGCCTGTCTCCACAGGTGAACAACAGTTGGATGTAAAACTCCACATTATTTGACTATGTACTTACATTGTGGTAAAGAGAGACCAAGTTGTTCTGAGAGTTCAGGATGATCAGCTTGGTGAGTATAATCAAAAATACTACTTCCTGTCATCTCAACCTATAATATCAACATTTTACACTCAGTGATTACACAGAAACAACCAGGCCTATATTTTACAAGGTTAACAACTTAGGTTTACAAGTAAGGATCCTTTCTACCGGCTGGTTCTTGGCCAAATTCTTGGCATTGATCTTCCCAGGATTAACCATTCTCATTTACAGCTTGGTCGATGCTTGGAAATTAGGAGAAAATTTGAATTTTATGTCATTGAATCCTAGCAAACTAGAGTAGTGAGTGCATAAGAAAACAGAGCGAGATAATGGTTATGTCAAATACAATCTTTCTCATTATTAGCTTTTAGCTTGTTAGGTATAAAGAAAAATACATAAACTATGCTGGTAGATTCTGTTGCACCTAGTCCAATACTATCACATGATCTTTGGTAAATTTTAAAACAATTGTTTGAATTATTTAACAATTATCTGGAGGCATTAAAAAAGAAGAGTAAATTTTGTACTTAATCAAAAATAGTTTTCAATCAATAGTAATTTTTGTACAAGAATTTTATTTCAACGACAATTTGACTATGAAGAACTATCATTGTGTTCAAACAAGAAATCACTATCATAGTGTCATTTTAAATAATTTTTTGGATGAAATTGTAGCAGACATTTTATCTCAAAGGAAAGGCTATTTCTCAGAATAATCCAGGTTAACTCGTTTGATTCAATTTACTTTTTTTAACGATAGTAGTCCCTGTTGTCTAATTAACCATAATCTAATTAGCTGTTTTATCATCATTAATTACACCAAGTGATTAAACTCCATCAAAATAAACCCTGGTTTTTAATTGGTTAATTTGAGGAGAGCGAAAATTGTCACATGAAAACTCTGTCAGCGAATTAACATACAGATGGCAACACTTACTGTCCAACAGTAAATTAAATGCTTGGAGATAATTTCTCATTTCCGCCCAAATTAAGCGTTTATTCACCAATCAATCAAATTAATCAATTTGCCGTCAATTATTGAGTGGGTGGAGCAACTGTAAAATGATTGACAGATCAATCTTGAGGATCAGTGTGAATTACGACAAGATAATTAGACGCTTGTCAACACCAGAAACAACATGGAGGGAAACAATTTAACCGTCAGGACCCTAGGGAGCAATTGATCAAACACTAGTCTTGTGTTTCAGGGTTGGTTTAATATGCCTAGTGCCATCACACCAAATTTTAAAATCATTATTTGTTGTAGACATCTTAAAACTGATTCCAAAATTCTGAGAAACGCACAAAGAATGCAGACATCAGACAAAAAGATCCAAAATTAATCTCTATCTAATGTTTTAAAGTGCCAGAGGTTAATTGACCAAAATAGATATGCCCCAACCAATTTCATAAGCTCTATCTATCAAACTTTATATTTGACTTATGTTTTGGGGGTGGGACAAAAATCAAAGTTCCAAGGCCAATTTGATTCATAATCCTTAAGTCCAAAAAGATTTTTTCATAGGGCATTTTACACTTTCCTATCAACAAATGATTAAACATTATTATTGTTATATGGAGTTGAAGTTAAACAACCCCTAGGGTTCACCTGCCTCAATACCCAATCAAAGTCCATTATATTCAACTCTAATTTGATTTTAGGGGTTGACCTGAAATAACCCTGGGTCACGTGGGGCATGTTGTTGTCATCCCCCCAGGCTCAATAAAATCTCTCTATTTAATTTTCCTTTCAATCAACTCTCTAATTTGATGATTTGGAGATTTTATTGGGAGTCTTACGGGACTCAGTCTAACTCTAAATTGAAGATTTCTTTGAAGTCACAGACTTGTGGAAGCTTGAAATTTTCCTGCAATTTATAAGAAATGTCTTAACAGAAATTCTTTTTTTAACATGTAATATATTTTTAACATTTAATTCCTTAATTAAAATGTTGTCACTCTTACTGAAATTTCACTCAGAAAACTAACCATCGCAGATTTCAAATTCAAAAACCATAAAGTGAAATAGCCTCAAGTGTCTGAAGTCTGAAATTTCATTGTTTTTTTTTTCTTTTTTAGTTTTTTTGGAATTTAATTTCAAATGTGATCTAAATAGTTGAAATCCAACTTTATCAGGTAGTTAAAAACATGATGATAATCAATAAATAACTAAGAACACTATTATAGATATACTACTCCTTTCTTTAATTCACATACAGGAATCTTTATCAAGCACAAAATAATAATGATAGAACACAGAACAACAGGTATATATACATTTAGAGATTATGATGATAATCATTTTATCAAAATTACCTTGCCTTAAATCACTTATCTGGATGACTTTTGAAAATGTTTCATGAATTAAAATAGACACATTTCATGATTTTTAACTGATATTTTTCATGGACAGAGGAATTTAAGGACTTGTATTTGATTTTTGATATTGACTATTCAGTATGTGATAGTTGGCCTGCATTAGTTTATTTCTGTAACAGAAGCATTTTGTGATTTCTCAAGCTAAAAGCTATAATGAAACTTTTCCCTGATATTCAATTTTCAGTTCAGATGTAAAATGTTGCAGTTTCATACTAGGGGATTATGAGATTAATATAGGATTAGCAGGAGTTAATTGGTATTTAATTAATATATAATATAACCTACCTGTGATAAGCCCAGGTATATTGACACTGTTTCTGATATATATAAAAATCGACCATCATTCGACAAAGCAAAACCAAACCCATCCAATGACTGAAATAGAAAAAAAATTGATTTTACAAATACTGAGAATGTCAGCTCCACTATAATAATCTATAATGAAAATTTCCACCATTACACTTGAAAAATCTATCATAGAATATTCTTTAAGGCCTTGACAATTCCAAAAAATATAACCTCAGTTTAAATCTTTGACGAAAAACTTAAATTACTAGTTTGATACTTTTGATTAAGAAGTTTGAAATTATAGATGAAAAATATATGCAAGCATTCAGGTAAAGATAGAAACAGAACTCTCTGTTAAAATTCTTTTACTATTTGACAAAAAAAAATATTCAAAGTTAAAAGTTAATTAATATTAACGAAGTCTATTCTGAATTAATTAGAATTTTATTTGAAAGAGAACATTAAATATTTGAAATCAACTTAAATTCTTCAATTCAGCAAGTAAAGGACGACCAAACGATATTCTTCAAAATTTTCAATCTGGTTCTTGAGATGTGGAATGCCTTTGACACAAATAACTTAGGATCAAAATAAATTCTTCTCAAACACTGGACTGAGAGGAAAACCAAATCAATTTAAAGAATAAGTAAGAGAAATTAGTGAAATGAATAGTTTCAATTTTTGGATAAAAAAGTCTGGTATAATTTGTCGAGCTCCTAATTGCGATGAAATTTGACTATGTTTGTTAAAACAGTTCAAAGAAAGTTTGTATACCAAACAAACATACAATTCATTTCTGTCAATATTTGATGGTAAGCCTTCGCGTTCTTTCTACTTTCGTTTTGTAAATACAGATTGTAGAAACATCATACAGGTCTTTTACATTAGTCCAATTTCCAATCGGATTCAACACCTAATCTAAAATAAACGTAGAGATTAGGACAGTACTTTGAAAGGTACGGTACTCTACTACTAATAAACAGTCACCTTTTGACTTCACTTGTCAAAGTCCTGATTTCAAAACCTCAGAATTAGTACAGAGGTGAAAACAGGTGAATCTGTGGTAAAATATTCACTTTTAACTATTTACTCAACTTTATTTATAAAAAATTGACAAATTTCACTATTTTTGATTTTTAATTTTTTTTTTTTTAAATAATTAACAAAACTAAATTGAGGACATAAAAAATAAATAAATCAATAAATAAATATTCATTAAAAGCACATTTAAGCTCAATTAAACAATTATTTTTAAGGGAATTCAGAGCCAATAAAAGGGATCACCAAAAAATGGTTCGAATTCTTTTAAAAATCTAATCCACCGCATATAAACAGAAAAAGGAAAATCAGAAAAATGAAAAATAAACGAATTAAAAGTTGTTGAAATAAAAACTAATACAATTAAAGTTGAGTTGAAGAGATCTTGACTCGGGTTGAAATTGTCACAGAAAATATTGACATAATATTTCAACATGAGGAAAGATAAAAGACAAGGTTTTGTTAATCCAAGTTTTTGATATTTGGGTTGACTGAAGTTGTTTGTACTCTGTTTGTACCTATATAGTCATACTGTGTGGTGTAACAAGTCTTAAATATGGAGTTTTACATCCTATTTTTCTACACCTTAATAGACTAATGTAGAAAAAGAGCAATTACTCATTCTTTCACAAGTCTGCACTCAGAAAGATAATCACAGGAAAGGTGTAATATGGTGGTATAAAGGTTTTTGTAAAATGTAAAATCTATTTTTCTTTCAGATGAGATAAGTAACCATGGAAGATTGTATAATTTTCATCTAATGTGCCTTTCAGTTTTCAATAAATAAAAATCCCACTTGATTTTGAATTTGACTGAATGGAGACCACCTCAAAGTTTAACTTTATATTTTGAATATCCAAGATAAGTCAATGTAGATTTTCAACTTCATTTTTAATAAAAACTGTACCAGGTCTTTTTATGCCTAATAAAAAAATTCAGTCTCAAATGTAAAAAGAATTCAACGTTTAAATTTGAGGTTTTAAGCTAAAAACATTTACTCCTAGCATTCAACTTGGTAATTAGCATAATGTTACTACGACAACGCTAATATTATACCAAGGTGATAAGGACTAATAAAACGTAACACACGGTAACTAGATAATACATAAATTATCTCCCTTGTCTTGTCTTTAAATTCACGCACTATTTACTCAGCTGACTTGGCTCATGTAGACAAATATTGTAGTAAATCGGTTTAATCCTAACGTATTCCTACCTACTTTTATGTATAATTAGTTCACTTTGATGAAAATAATTAAAAACAGTTGAAAACTTGAATCTCTTCACTCCATGGTTGACATTTTTTATAAAACTCTCCAGTGATATTTAACAAATGAAGCAAAGGAAGGCAACTCTGAATCTGACAAATTATCTTTAATCTGTCCTACAAAATATTTCAGACTGTCATGATTGTTGCTAAGACGTTAAAATTTACATTTTTGCTACATCTAATATGCCTATCATAGATTTAGCATCAGACTCAAAAATGGCAAAGCAAACTCACAAACCATAAAATGACGATTTAAAATCGAAGACTAATGACAAATCTATGGTCTAATTTGACTGGCTATATTTTTTATCCAATTTGTATAGAAATCAATTTTTTGTCAAATCATATCGACTGATACATAATTTATTATTTCTGGGCCGATAGTATGTCAATGTCAACTTCCTGTGGTTTATTCAACACGGAAGACCAAACAAAATATAACAATGTAAGGTTACAGTTCGTACCACTGTTATTAACCCTTTTATAATCAAATTAAGCATAAAGTTAACCCTTGACGCGTGATGTTTAATCAATTATTATCTGCCTCTGGAATTCCGTGGAGAACATCGTCACCTTGTGGTACTGGAATTCCTTCGACAGAAACATTTGTCATCATCGCCATCAATCGGAAATAAAATTTCAACGGAAAATTCTGAAGAAATTGTCGAGGGAATTGAAAAGAGAATTTCCAAGTCGTCGCACGTTCAAGTTTCATCAAAATATAATTCTACTCGCCTAATTTAATTCTGGCGTATGAATTTCCTCATTTATCTCTGTTTGTTTATTTCATAATTTAATTTTGGAATTCATGAATTTTGTTAATTGCAAATCAGCCGAAATCAACCGAAATCCTGGCGCCATTTTCTTGATATCATTATTAAGACAATATTGCTTCTATAATTAGTGTTTTTCTTCAATAACAAAATATTTCATTAATTAAACTAATTGATAATACGGAAGCAAAAGTGAATATTCAATATTGAAAAATACCACAAAAAGTTAAAATTTGTCATTTGAAAACATTAATTACACAGAATCAATTCCCCTGAATCGCTATTACACCTACCCCCCTCTACACCACCATAAATATAATAGATCATTGTGTCTCACAAATTCAAAATGAGCTGATATAGCAATAACTAAAAAAATATAAATCAAAGAAAATGAAATCAGGTGTAAATTTTAACAGAAAAATTCTCATAAATATTGAACCAAAAATACCAGAATGATACAAAACTTATACAAAGTACAGAAAACAAAATGTCGTTAATATTGGATATTAATTAACATTGACGGACAAAATGAATCAATATCCAGAATAATCTGTCAATTAACAGGAAGATTCCTTTAAATCACAGTCAGACGCCATGAAATTCCAACTTGTCAATAATCAATTAATATGATAATGAGGCTATGACTCTACGTTAAGACGTAATAATTGCCCCAGCTAAGACTAATTTACGAGTTAGGGGGATTAATACTTCAGATTGAGTTGAAATCATTTTACCATGTTTTGATGATTTGTTGTTAATTAAATTCTGATTATTTTTAGTATTTATGATTAATTTTTGATCAATAGTATTCATTGAATAATTTAAATACAAAATATCTTCAGTATCTAGAAGGCACTGATCAGCTAAGTTCCATTTTGTTTAATAGATAGTATAGAAATAAAATCAAAAAGCAATCAAATGGCTCCCAAATTGAGTTTTTCTATTTCTGTTCAGTTGATATAGATTATATGTATAAATTCATGTTTAAGTTCGTGATCTCTTCAGAGTTTTGCAAATCATAAGTCAATATTCATTGATTGATGCTTTAATTCAAAGTTGATTATTGAGGCAAAATATTTAAATTTAAAGTTTCCAACCACCCCATCAGCTGAAGTTATAAGAATCAATGACATTTTGATATGATGGTCTCATGCTAGAAAATGAAGTTATAAGTATCAAGTTACCTGTAAAACATGTGTACCATGTCGTGTATCAAAAATATCCATAGCTATATTACTCCTTCTTCTTCCTCCACCTAGAATCAAACAGATTCACATTACAACAAAATACAACATATTTTCAATTTTTTTAAACATTTCTAGACTGTGGTAAAACAGTATGGGAGAAATTGTGGGGACTTTGACAGGAGAACATTTATTAGCAGGCCTGTAGATAAGAAATCTTTTGCCCCTCCTGAAAAGTTAAGATTACTTGACTTTCTCGTTGAGTCACACAGTTGAAGCCCCCTTTGTAAGATTTGCCCCCCCCCCCCCCCCCCCCTAAAAACCTTGGGTAGCTATCTGCCTGTTTAATAGAACGTATTACAGTACAATATCAATGTTGGTGCTCTATTCTGTACTTATTGACAGTAGAGATGTAGGAATCGAGTTTTAAGTCACAATTTTTAGCACCAAAATGGCTAATAGATCGAAATTTCAAAGCAATCTCTGCACGAATATTTTGGACCAGGACCATGTGACCTTGATATGTCCGAACTGATAGTCTATATACTTTATACAGATAATAATAATCATGATAAAGATAAATAACAATATGAATGTTATCATTGTATATCATAATCATAGGGGATTAACTAACAGTCACAAGATACTATTTAAATCTAGTAATAGGACAATAAATGGGTGTACCAAAACATTTATTTTTGCTGTACTAGAAGAGCATTGTATCCGAATTTTTTTAGATGAATGTTGCTCGCAAAAGATGTGTTTTACATGCAAATGGAGCTCAGTTTCTATCTACATCACTTTTTAGAATTAAAATCTGGCATAAGTCTCCCCTACATTTGACAAAAATACACCATGGAAGTTTTGACAGTTGTTCCTTCTCAGATTAAATCAATGTTATATGCAGATATTATAGATATTTATGGCCAATAAAAATACTTTTATTCCTCATTGTATGGTCAAGTTCTTCAAAACAATAACAAAGTTCGGACGCAACAAATATGATTTTTTTGTTCTCACACAAACCAATCCTAATATCCAGTGTCTTAAAATTGACATATTTATCTTCGTGACTGTCCTAATTAATTATTGTAAAAACACGAGATGACCATGTCCTAGAGTAAAAAATATAATAATAATCATCACTGACCGACGTCCACTTGTCTAGACTACCTGAATTATGACCACTACCTTTCTCCTAATTAATTATTTTTTATTTTGTGTTTTTATTTTCTCGCAAGATGAGTGTCAGGTAAATAAACATTTTTGGATTTTTTTTCTTTTTTATCTTTTTGATTTATACTTTTTGTAGTTTGTTTTTCTCATTTCATAAACCAATATAGAATCTTTAGTTTAATAATTTACAATGTTATTTTACAGGTAAAATTTTTGATAGAACAATCAAACCTAGAGCTTAACTTGATGTAAATGTAGAATATCAAAAGGCATCAACCAAAATAATCTTAATTTTTTTATGATTTGTAATGATCAAATTTCAGATCAGTGCTAGAAAATGATCACTGTCTATTTTATGGCGTCTAAGATACTACCAGCTGGTAGCAATTCCATGCTTAGTGATTCTGAAAGTAGCAATATCATCTGAGCCCACTTTACAGCAATAGACCTTATTCACATGACGGCCATATTGAATTCTAAACAAGGCTCATAATGCAAAGCCTCCTTCTCTAATCTCACTAACTCGAAACTAATTATAATTTACACTAATTAACATTTACATCATTAAATTTGGAATTGATGAATTTTACCATTTTTGAGAAAGGACAGTTTTAGACCATTTTCTTAGTTTATCGAGTGTATAATGACGTCAAATTGGCTATTAATTCATATGACGTCGCCATCTTATCAATGGATGACGTAATTTGAGTTATGAACCTCGCTTTCAGCGTGTATAAGGTCTATGATACTCAAACAAGTGGCTAAGATGCGCTCACTGAATGGATGCTGTGAAACAAATGTGTCATGAATCTTAAATATATTTGTACCGTGTAGAACCACCCGTGAATTTGTCATGATGCTGATAACTAGCTCTGTTTAATTTCTATTTCATTATTTCCTTTTCACAATAAATTCATATTTTATCTCATTAAACTCTTCTAAAAACATCCCAGTTACTGTCACAAGTTTCAAAATGTCTTCCGAAATGACAATGCTGGTTGAGAACTGTGACAGTAACGGTCATGTCAGTTGTATAATGTAGAAATATGTCAAGTCATAATATTCTGATGATGTTGTATTATATAGAAATATCACCAATTGTAAGATTATGATAATGATTTACCATGTTCCCCTTTCCCCCGGGAACAGACCCATGGCTACAAGGGGCACAGGGGAACAATGTTCCCGAAAAATATGGATTGCCCCCCAGAAAAAATTCTTTAACCAAATCCCCCCACTCCCCACCGCCCATTTTCAAATTCTTTATTATTGTTCATTGTGAAAGAATTGCTGATTGATTCATAGAAATGGTGAAATTCATCTAAAGTATTTTGCTCATCAGGTGCTTAATGCTATCATATATTATATTATTCAAATTCATTATAAAATTTGGCAACTGAATAAAATGAAAACAATTAAGAAATTTGAAGTTTAATCAGATTGAGAGAGACATTTACAGGATATTAAATTTTGAGTTCACATCATTATTTCAAAAAAACCTGAGTATTTTTATAAATAAAAAGGGAATAAAAAAATGACAACCGTGTTGTTTGCTAGAGTTGTTGACAGTTTAATATGGCTGGTAAATAGTTTGTTACTAGAAGACAGTTGGCAGTGTTGACTGTTATTGTTTTACTATTATCTACCTGACAACTTGTCCAAAATCAACCTAATCCACAAATTTACCTCAGCTACTCTCACGCAAATATCGGGATGATGGGCCACTTATGGGCACCTTGGTCATCTGAGGATCTCGATAGGGATGCCGCTAAAAACAACCCCTCACTAAACAGTGTCAGAGCTTTCAACAAAAGCTCCAGGTTGATGGCGAGATAAGGGAACCTACAAAAGACCTTCGGACGACCAAACACATCCGACTGACAGTTTTAAGAATGTACTGTTTTCCAAAAGATTTAACAACAGAAGATGATTCCTTGAGGACTGAGGCTTCAAATCTAAAAGGTAGAGCTCAATCGCAGGATCTTGATGTTTTTCAAAAAATGTCGCCAATTGACCAAAGAAATGATCAGGTATTATTGGGACCTAAACAATACTTGGTGAAATGGGTTATTATTCCAAAAAAATGGTTAAAGGCATTCAAATGTCTAAACTAAAATGAATGACTGACAGTCTCCTTAAATCTTTAAATAAAACAATTTAAGAAAATCTGAAGGAAATTTTTGTGGTTTTTCAAGGAGCTAGGCTACAATAAATAACTGAAGTTTTTCAAGAATTTGACATTTATATCTATATGAAGAATTTTCTACGAAGGATGGGGCATTTACACTCGGAAATATCAAAATATGCTTTCTTCAGTTAATGGTTTTGTTGGCAAATGGTCAAACTGATTAGACACTGTTTCCTAGGTTACAAATGTCCAAAATGTCATTCTGGGTTGTGGATATTGGAAGAAAAATTCCTGAAAGTTTTTGCAAACATTGAGAGTGGTATCATTTAATCCATGTACTAAAGATTCTTGTGACTTTGAATCCAATTGTAAGTAAATGTTTATCAAACTTAATGTCCAAAATCTATTTTGTGGTGAACAAATTGAAGAAGCAGAAGTATATTTTGGAAGCATTGAAAGTGGCACCATAAATCTTGCACAGAGATTGTGACTGACGATTCCCTCAATAAAAGCTCTTCATTGAAGTTATCATACAGAAAATGGTTTTAAAGGTTAAAAAACCTTAAAGATAAAAACCTGATATAACATTAATGAATAAAACTTGATAAAACTAGCAGATTCTCTCACAGAGAGACTCGCCACGCCATTTTATTTCAAGCCACTGTTTTATGACATAATTATCGTAAAATTACGCTATCTGTCCCGTAAACAAGATTTAGAAATTATTATCTCTAAAAGGGTCATCTAATGGCGTGAATTATTAGCGAAATTTGACAGTTTTAGCTGCACTAGCTTTTCACGGTTTCAGGCAATTTCTGTTCGTTTACATCATTTAGATAGTGGACTGATTATTCTGACTGGAAATAGAATCAATTTAAAAATGTACTCAGGATGTGCTCAAATTGTGGGCGGTCAATGCTGGAGTTACTTGAGATGTTTTCTGTGTCAGAGAGAAACCCAAGTTTAATTTCAAAGTAAAAGATATACTTATACTTAAAGATGTAAGGGTGGTTGAAAGGTAACTAGTTATTTTTTAACAGAAGGCACTGGCACAGGGTAAAAGTATTATTCCTTAAATTTTATGTGAAAAAAAGGAAGTTACAATAGATGATCATAAGAAATTGTCTCCAAAATGCTACTTTTATTTATTCACTGAAACTAGTAAATGGTGTCTATTAGAGGGGCCGTCCTTTTCAGACTAAACATATAGCTAGATAACCAATGAATACCAAAACATGATGTCATGCTGTATTGGAGATAATCAACTCTATTTCATCGTCAATGTAGGTTTAAATTTTTAATTCTCTGAATCTGTATTTTATTAGCCTGATACAAGTCAATAAATAAGAAATTTATCATGTAATAGTTTTATAACATCTTGATTACTACATCTGGTTTTAACGTCTGCTAAATATCACTGCCATTAAAACATATATCACCTTAAATTAGTTTCTGTTAACAAATCTATCCCCCTGTCAGTGACTTGGGCAGATGCCCGCAGATGACCTTAACCGTCTAAAAAAATTTGACTGCATTTATGCTGTCAGTTTGAAAATACCATTAAGCCATTTTGAATTCAGTTTATTGGTGCACTTGACAGCCATCATTCTTCAGGCTTAAAGACCAATTCTTAAGAAATAATATAAATGGATTTTAACATACTATTCTGCATTCAATTGGGCAAATGGAGCTCGGTAATACCATTCAATGTGCAATGAGACAAATTTTGCTAAGACAGACAGACAACTCTTTTTCAATCTCCGACACAACACAATATCACAGATACACAGTTTAAAGTTAAATTGACCCTACCTTTATTTTTATTGGGAGCTGGATCTCGATTCCAAGGTGGGTCACCATGACCCGAGAAATCACGTAACCGTAGGTAACTTATAGAAAGGCGTATAATAGAGGCTTTATCCAGTTGACTAGTAATGGCCGCTGGCAATGGCAACATCTTGGCCAATTCGTAAAACTCATAATTCTCCTTCCCTCGTCTGGACCTGGCAGCATCACGAGATTTCTCTTTCCTTACTTCTAAAATACTGAAAATAAAAATAGTTTGAATTTAAACAAATGGAAACATACATGACAAATATTTTCAGATTTTCTAATCAGCTCAACTGAGAGTTTAACATCTTTGTTTGTCAGATTCTTTGATAATTCACTTTTTACATTATTGAGGTTTGGCTGACCTTGCTAGGTTAAGGGGAGATTGATCTCCCCACTTCTAAAAAGATTTAGGCTATACACAACCCCCCTTGTAAGTACACTAATTTTAAATTAACACAAGAATTTAACCGGTCCACTATTTGGATGGACAACATCTAAATTATATTGTTTGGATGTTACTGGAGTTCAGTACGTATTGTAAGGTGAAATGTCTATCTTCAATATTTGGCAATGGAAAAGTCAAGCGATAATGCTGTATTACTCTAATTAAATTCTAAATTCTAATTCTTGAACCATTCAAGAGCAAAAACCAACACTTTGTCTTTTTGTTTCTTGTTTAAGTTAAGATTAAATTTAATCAAAAACACTCAAAGGAAAAACATGTCACATTGAAAACAATAAGATTAATTCATCTTCTATAGTTCCATCATAATGGTCTTAATAACGACCATATATGGCTTGATTGACCTAATATGGTATGAACACAGAGGTTACCAATGACAACTAAAGAAGGTCATTTAGGATTAAATTAGAACTAAATGGAACCAATTTAGCCAAGAGTTGAGTATCATCAATTGATGAGGTGAGAAGAAGGACTGATGAAAACTGGAAAACTTGGAGGATTAAGATAAATTGAATCCGCTTCTATCCGAGTAAAATAATTTCGTCTCTACCAATTCCATGAATAAATTACCAGCGACGGAATGAAGAATGCCGCGAAATCCACTTCAGATGATTGATGTCTCCGCTAGAAAAATGAATCCCAGCTTAAATTTAAACGAAAATGTGATGATTTTTATTTTTCTGGAAGTTTTGAAAATGAAATTGACAGTTAGTGAGAAATGAAATGACTGATAGACGGAAAATGATGATTTATTGCCCCTGATTTGTAAATTTAGTTTCTAAAAATGGTACTTGTGTTTATTAACTGGTCTTCATGATTAATAAGGTTAAAAACTGTGGGAGCCCAATATACTTTTATTCTGTTCTTATAGAGAAACTTTCCCAGTTCATGTTTTATATTCAAAAAAGCTTCTAGAAGATGAAGTCAAGTTTTCAGACAATGGAAGACTACCTAAACGGTTAAAAAATATCACATTGATGTAATGGGCCTCAAGTGGACTGAAAATTCAGGACAAAATGTTCTTAACTATATTCCATATATGTGCAATTTTATAAATATAAAAACATGTCCTAAACCCTAAAAATTAACTCTTTTACTGGTGTTGTAACTATCAGAAATTGTGAGATTATCCTCAATGTTCCTATGTAGCACCAATTTAACAACCTATGTCTTACCTTCTATATTCTTTATCCCTGATAATACCTATTGTATATCAAATTCACATAAAAAAAACTGTACCTTGTCTGATATAGAAATTTACAAGGAAACTTTTCAATAACAGACAGCATTTTGAATCAACTGTTTCTGCCAGACTGACAAGAAATTTTTTTTACTTTCCTTTTATATACAGCCTACTATTCCATTAAAACTCTTTCTAATCACCTTTATAATATGTTTTTATTGTAATTAAAGAATTTCCCACGCTCGTATGATATCAAACGTGACAAAGGTATAAAATTCTGGAATAAAGATAAAATCCTGCCACAAGGCAATCAGATTGGCATCAACCAAGTATTTAATCATCAATTTAATTGTGGTCTAAATACATTGAATTTTTAAAAAATCTAATCAGCTTTGAAAGAATTAGGTTCAAAATGAAAACAAGAGGATCATAATTTGTTTTCCAGAAAAATTGAGAATTTAAAAAAATAAAGGTGTCAAGAGGCCATCAAAACTAATGCTGAAAAAGCATGTTTCATGATCATACATAAGTAACTTTGCATTGATTTCAATGAAATTGACATTGTACAGTGAAACAGATAACAGAAACTTACCAAGAATGGTGTATTGTATCCTGTATAGTAAATTGATATCCTGAATATAGTCCAAACATTTTCACAAAAATTCTAATTCCTCAACTTACTCCTCAAAGTTTTCTACAAATTTAAGCTCAATTAAAAATTAACATTTTTACTCAAAATATTCAAATCTGTTTCATTTTGTTTCCTGATCAAAATTCATACCTCTATGTTTCTTCAAATGATTCCTTTATTAAAAATATTTCTTTGAATATACTTTTGAAAAATTTTAAAGTAAAAGATCTTTCAAAAATTGACTAAAAGATTTTTTTGTGACATAAATTTTCTTACAAAATGATATTTCAGAAAATTTGTCTTGATTCACAAAGTTGCCGAAATAATTGAGCGTTTAAATCGAGTGGTCACTTTGAATTAATTTAATAAAGAGAAGAGATGAAGTGAGGAAGTTGAAGTATCCAGATGGAATAATGAAGCCCTACTCCTCAGCAATCTATTTATCAATTTTACGTTAATCTGTTAATTCGCTCCTAATCCTAATTACTAGCCAAATTCTCCTAAAATAAACATCAATTATAATAATAATTGTTTTCTATTAGCACATTCATGATTTTTATAGACTTTTATTACACCTAACTCTTCTATTATTCAGACGCTGGGGACGATAGCGTTCAGATGAGAGCAATTCACAGAAGGTGTTCACATAAGCATGATCAACTGAAGGCATTTAACAGATAACTACATATCGCTTAAGTTCTCCTTAGTGTTCAGATGAGAGTGATCCACTGAAGGTGTTTAGATGAGGGTGATCCTATTCATGGCGTTCAGATGAGAGAGATCCACTGAAGGTGTTCAGATGAGAGTGATCCACTGAAGGTGTTCAGATGAGAGTGATCCACTGAAGGTGTTCAGATGAGAGTGATCCACCTAAGGTGCTCAGATGAGAGTGATCCACTGAAGGTGTTCGGATGAGAGATGAGAGGGTTCAGATGAAGTCAATATCATGTGGTGTTCATGTGAGACTGTTCAGATCAACGTAGTTTGCTTAATGGGTTCACATAAAGTTTTGACAAATACAAGCCTATGCTTATCCTATGCTTCAACTATAATATAATGAATATGAAATGACCTGTACCAGACAATTTCTAGCAGGACAATACAATATATTACCTAATAAAATTGTGAATTTGTTTAAGAAAATACGACCACCATATTGCGGAGAAATTGAACGAGAATTTAAGTCAATTACGTATCAAGACGATTAATTTAGTTGCCTTGATTGGATTATCTCCCTGTCTCTCAACACTAGCATAATAGTGTTCTACACTATTTGCCTAATTAATAAATCAAATTTAACCTCTTCAGTTAAGTCTGGATAATCTAATAACAATACTTGATAACCTAATCTACCGACACAAAGACTGAAATAACGTCAAGACTGATACCATCTTAGAAATATCACTACACAAGATATTCTTTGTTGGTGTAGAATGATGCTATTCAATGGCTGCAATGGATCATTTTCAGGGAATTTCCGTATTCTACTCATTGCATTGGTCAAATTTAAAAAATGAAAAAAATGTAGCCTACTTTAAATCTGAAATTGGACTGTGAAATGTCTCCATTCATAATCTCTTTTGCAAAACTAACAAAATGAAAGAAATTATGAAATTATAACATGTCACCAAATTAATATACAGTGGTGTAACCTATTTTCGTGGATATAAGGATTCAACACCGAATTTCGTCAAAGTTAAAAAAACAAAAAAAAAATTTTATGTCTTAGAAGTGTCCTCAGATATTCTACAAAATAATTAAAATTGGTTTATTTCGATTTTCTTTATGAATCCTTCACTTTGACCCATATTTCATGAACAACCAACTCGGCAACGGCGGCAGAATGCGTCACCTATTTTCGCGTACAATGTTTGATCTATAAATAAGTCTAGAAAAACTCGTTGTATGGATACCGGGTGGTATAATTAACTTCTCTTAGTATTTATCTTTAATATCAATTCATTATAACTAGTGACAATTCCTTCAAAGAACCATGATTTTAAAAAAAAAATTGTGACTGACAAAATAAGATACGTAGCGTGATTTATTGCTAAAAGTCACTGAAATAACATAAGAATACGGTCCACTTTGTGTTCCGTAGAAATTTTCTGCTGACACGGAATCTGCCAGTTGATCATGTGACTTCATTCGTTGGACTACATTCTAGCAGACGACACTTGGAATTCCGATTACCGCTTGGGATTATAAGGAAATTCAACCGATAAAAAATGGTGACGTTTGGTAATAACTGAAATCCGCCATTTTGTATTTGTCAAAGTATACATTATTACATTTTACCTTGCTTGAAACTACTGGATTCATTCTACTAGCTGATATTGTAGAGAAAACCCATGTTTATCAAAACAAACTAATGCGAAGGTCGCGCAAGGTCGCTCATGTAAATTATTAATCCTTTCCGGAAATCCACGAATAATAGGTTTCCACGAAATTAGGTTACTTGACTGTAATATATGTTAAATTGAAATCAAAGGTCCTACTTCAATACACCTGTCTGGGCTAATGAGGACCGACAACAACATACAGTCAGTGGCTCAAGCACCACAGGTACTGGTTGATGACTTACCATCTGGTCGTGATATTTTCATTAACAAATCTAAGGGGGCCCTCATCCCCCGAAAAAAAAGCAGGAGAGCATAAGTTAAAAGAAAAAGTCCCAGTTTGAGGAGCCCCTACCCACTAAAGTCCACGGACCCCAACTCATCTTCTTGTGCCACTGCATATAGTGTAAAATTAAGTCAAGACAGCATTTTGATTTCCTACTGTCCTGGTATCTTTGCTGTTTGATGTGCTCAATCTGAAGCACAAAGGGCCTCAGTTTATTGGCGCATCACTAATAGGTTAACAGGGATACATTATGGTGTAATACAGTTGATATTTATAAATCCTTCCACAAACATAATAAATAGTCCAGGT